TCCTTCACAGGCTGTAACTCCATAATGAAAACCACTCGATTTGTCGCCACATACCTTGCATAATGCCGGCTTGTCACTTGTTGAACTGTCTGGATAAAGTTCTAAAATTATGTTTCTGTAAGCTGTCGATTTCTCCTTCCCTAAAGTTGAGAGCAACATATTTATATAAAAATGAACGGAAAAATGCAAACTAAAGTTATACTAACTCGTGCAGTCAATCAGTTGTGGATTGAAGAAAATACTTTAATGAGAGCTCGTAAATAGTATGTAAGTTTTGTTCACCAAAACAATATAAATGCTGTCAGCGGCAACCTCAACATGAGGTACGCTGCATTTGATCGTCGAATTATTCCAATTATTATGCAGACATGCATTCCTCAAATTAAAAATTTGTTAGAATGGTTTGCCTTCGTGTGCAAATTTGAAGTTTTCTCTCATTCAAGATTCCTCATTTATCCAGAATGCCAGACAGAGCCGAAAATGAATGTAGTGTATTATACGGAGGTAAAAAGGATGATGATAAATTAGAATTTGCCATTTCTCATAGATATGTAAGGATTGAAGAATTAGAATTTGTTCCCTTTAGCCAAACACCAAAACTATTTACAAATAAAAAAAAGTGAAGCTATGCCTTGATGCAAAACACAAATAAATTTGATAAAAAAAAGAGATGCCGTAATTTTCTGCAAATTCATTTTATACTTTTTAATGATATGTTTGAAACTAGTCAAATAAGACTAATTTGAAAAAATTTGCACAATACAAATCTAATTGAGATCTACATGGAAGAGGGAAAAAAACGAAATCAGCTTTTATAATACGAGTCGGTGATATGAGACATGTAATGGGTTCCCTGGAGCAGCTTTGAAAAACCTTATTGTTCTCATAGCAGCATGTGGGTCCTATTAAGCATTGCTTTTATCCACTTCATTATATCTTCAGGTATGCGAGAAATATTTTTTCATTATATATTAATTAAAACATTACTTCAAATCAGAGAAAATAAATAAAAACAATGGCGTGTCTACCAACAAATTCAGATAACTTGGTTTAGCATTAATCAATCATAGAGAGACGTTTCAAAAAGAGTTAGAAAAATAAGACTAAAGTATCATAATAATTAATTCATTCGAAGAAGCATTACAGATGGAGGTGTAAAATATTAAAGAGAGATGTTATAATTTCGATATACTTTGCTCAAAATATCACAAATATATACAAGTGCATTTCTCCGTTGCTTGTGATAGGTACGTCATATATTCCGGGTCGGAATTTTTTCTTACATGCAGTGCAAAACAAATGACAAATAACGGTAAGATAAGGAATGTACCCATTCTTATAAGAACCAGAAAAATTAAAAAATTTTTTGAAAAATCTTAAAATGCTCTAACCATCTACAGCATTCGGAGCCGAATGTGATTGCGTCTTATTGGCTGATTCGTTATCGTAATAAGGCGTATCGCAATAACGCAAATCAGCGAGGCGCGTTTGTTGTGGATACGACTGTACTCCATTATAGGTTCCGGATTGGATGACATAACCATTCGTTGAATTTGTTTCATTCTGTGATATTACTGCACATGAAGTATTATTTGACTGTCGAAAATTCGCAGTAATCACATAGTTAGATTGGGATAAGGTCCCGGATGATCTATTCCAATTGTTCTGCGTAATATTCATTGGACGTTGTGGTGGCGCATTATATGGCACAGATCCATTAGTTTGTCCAGGAATTACTGGTGTTGATGACTTTCTTGACGACAAAAAAACTGACCCTTTTGACGCTTCATTTGAGGGGATGACTCTTCTCGGAGCTGACGTTACGTAACTCATCGTTCCAATCTTAACAAATAAGCTAGTGTCTCAATCTTTTCTTACTACTTAACAAGAGATTGATAATATTGTCTGCTAGATTTGAGTATAAAATACATGATCAAAATGTCATATTATTAATAAACAGAATTGACCTAAGTTTCATTTCTTTGATAGCAGTCATGCGAAAGAAGAAAATGATACTATAACCCTTATGATATGATAACATTATCATAGCAACCGGTTCACCTGTAAGCCTCCATGAAATATGGAAGAAGTGATTAAAAGGAGTGCTCATGTTTCGGATTAAAACTCAAAATCACTGCTATTCCTTAAATACTTTCATTCATCGTTCAATATTCTCTTTTCCCGCTAAATCTCTCGGAAGTATCCAACTGCTAATTTATTGATCAAATCACAAAGCATCATTAAAAGTTCTTTCTTATCATATCGAAATAAGGAAGTAAAGAAAGAAGTGAAGAAGAACATGAAAATCCATACCAAATGATAAATCACTAGTCAAATGGAATGAGAAGCTCCTCTTCGATGTGTCTTCAATTGTAAGCTGAACTTCACCTATTACATCTGCATCGTTTAAGTACCACATTTCTAGCGCCCATCACTCGCACAGTTCACGTGGTCACCACCTCTCTTTCTACCTCACATTCGCTCGCTGTTCTTCCCATGGTCCATTCTTACATATCGTTAGTGACCAGAAGTGGTTATTTTACTCGACGTGTACTAGAGTGATCAGGATATAATATAATAAAGAGAAAGAGAGAGAGTGAGAGAATTTATGCTGCAGAGAGGGAAGGATTGAAAGAGTGAGATGGACAACCTAGTGAATAAAAAAAAATGAGTATGGGTCAGAGGTCATCAGCTAACGAGACATACAGATATTTGTGGTACACATATGCTAATACTGCTGCCTAAATTACATCCTCCAATACAGTTGAATGGATGATGAAATATGAAAAATTGGAGGGAAGTGTAAAGACTAAGAGTTTTCCCGGATAGGATTATTTCCGCGCGAAGGTCTCTTATGATCGACCTCCTAACAAAAATTCTAAAAGAATGGATGTTGAAGTTGTATTTCTTTGCATCTATGAGATCAACTGAGAAGGGTAACGAAAGATTATTATTCATCGTACTTTTAACACAATTATTCGCTATGGATATCATGATAATATTCAAAAATTATCAGAGATAAATAGCTATTTCTATCACTAACTTTAAAATTTATTCACGAATTGATGGTAATAAATGCTACTAATTGTTTTAGCATTCCTATCAGTGATAACATAAATTCATTTCCTCAGGAGAAATCCATAAAAGTTTAAATGATTTATCAATTGTTAAATATATATATTCCTCTCTTAAATCTTTTTCAATATGTTGCTACTATCTATGATTAAATATAAAAAGGATTTCATTCTCTCAATAAGCAATCGATTTATTACCTTTCTTATCCACATTAAGAAAATGTTGATACATGTAGACAAATTCCGAAAAATTCAAATTCAATCAATTCAATTTGTCCCGCCTGTAGTTAATTCAAAAGGCGGATCGTATTTAACCTATATATTTTACTGGGATAGAAAAATGAACTTCGTGTAATTGATGTTTTATCAGTATTTATTATTAACAGCATTCTCATATTGCAAAATTATATGATCATCTACATGAAATGACGATAAAAACATGAAGTGATGACAAAAGACATCCATTATCCATTTTCATCGTAATTGTTCGGTGTACATCGCTTGTGAGTAACTCAATATATTCCAATAAATGTTTGTCTTCGATGAAGTTTTTAAAGTTTTCAAAAAAATATCAATTCATTCAAAATAGCGCTAATATTCATAGTTCATTATCTCACTGCGATGACCACTTCATAGAACGTTTCAAATATTGGAAATAGTTTAACAGTTCTTTGCTTTTTGAGAAATCTGAAGAGACAATAATAAATGGAACTACTAAATCGTTGCTTTAGAATTTAGATGTCAATAGAAACAAAAAAAAAATGTTTGAATTGGCTATGTCAAACAAATATCACAATAGCCAAACTAAATTTGTATATTAATAATTATTCAGTTTGTACTAGGTCTTTTGTTTTTAACATTTAATGTAGCAGTCAAGTTGTTGAAGACAAACTACCATCCAATGGTCTCAAACAGATCGCAGAATTCATATAACAAGCGACCCAGAATTTCCCATGCCTTTTCACTTCATCCATTCATTTCTCATTTCTCTTCGCGTCATTGCAAATCAGAAAATTATCAAACGACTACCAGCACAGGTGAGAGTTGCTAAAAGTTCATGAAAGTCAAGATACATATAATTCAAGAAAACCCAAATAAAATGCGAGTTATTGTTTTACTATACAATATCGGATCCATAAGATTATATTGACTCCATACAGATTATTTAAATGAAAGCTTATGAGTTATGAAAACAGTAATCATTTTGTGGATGAAAAATTACTCAAAAATTCCCATTATTTAAGTATTCATAATTTAGGAATGGCCAGTGACTTGAATGAATATGACAAGCGGCAATGGAACTTAGGAAAAAGTGAATGTAATCTATCCCTTCTATAATTTAATCGTAACTGAGCTTAGGGCACGAAATCAGCATTATAAGCTGAATGAAAGGGATTCTGTCCATATATTTCAATAATTACTATATTGCCAATACAGCGTCACCATTTAAATATTTAATTTGTATTACTGCCTTCTTAAAAGTTCGAGACAGGAGTGAAAGGATCATCTAGAGCATATGAAAATGGTAATATAATCGTCTAAAATGGAAAATGTTATTCACCAGAGACTACTGTCACTATCAATTTTGAAGAGGCAAAAAAAATGATCAGGCGTATACAATAAATAAGAATATCTTTAATGTTCGGCGCCAGTTTTATGCAATTCGCTGTATACGATTTTATGTTAATTACATACAAAATTACAAATTATGAAACAAATAAAGAATGGACTGTCAGCAATAACCGCTCATTGCTAGAAGAAATCCTAAGCTGACCAGTAAATCAGCTAACAATTCAAAAGGATGGAACTTCCGCTTGCATTTGCTCGATCGACATTAAATAAAGTTGATAGCATAAATACTCGTAATAGATTATTCAAATTATTTGGTTAATCCCATTGTAACACAATGAATTCAAAGATAAAAAATCAGGACAGGAAAATAGGTGGAGGAATAGTGAGTGCAACGGCTTCCCATTCCACTGGAAAGAAGCAAAGTGCCGCCAATACAGCACTCACCGCAAGTATCAACAGTTGCCAATGCAACAGCAGCACAGACCCATAAAAGAAAGTGACAGAAGCCGCAAGTGACTGCAAAAAATCAAAGCAGAATATTATTTATCAAAGTAAGAGCAACTGTGGTCAAAAGACCTTACGAAAAAGTAAATACTAGCATGAGTACTAGCATAAGTAATACTGGCATGAGATATTAGATAAAAGAAATAGAACTTCCGACTAAAATCATTCGATCATTTTTCCCTTTACTGCAGATAATCAATAGAGCTTAAGTTTATTTAATGGTTACCCTAACATTAAATCTTGTCCGCAAAAGAAGAATAACAAGAGATAATCTTTTACTCGTTTATAAATAAATGAGAGCAACAAATGAAATTCAATGAGCCTTTAATATGACTTTATCACTTAAGTACAGCACCAATTCTCTAAGATCCGAAAAATTTCTGCGCCTTTTTCAGTCAAATTGAAATTTTGTATATGTAATTGAATGCACGCATATTTTACATTATATTGTTCTCTAAATCTTTAGCAAGAGCATATAGTCCATTATAATTCAAAATTAAAGCTTTCAAGGCGTTTATGATACCTGGTAAAATTTGAAAAGCGCAAATGCGTTGGAACTGTTGATGTTATAAAGAGAACTGAGAAGTGAATAAATCTGTGTGCTCCAACAACTCTCCGCAAAACCAAGCATAAAACCACAAATCAAGGCTAATGAATAACTGAAATTGAATGGAAGTAATAAGAAAAGTGCGTAAACTGATTGTATTTAATTTGCAGTTTACTCTTGTTCGACTAATGGATTCTACCGCACATCATACTACTATTGTGGGTGTGAAATAAAAACATTCAGAAAAGTGGAATCATTAAAAAGTGTAAAAAATAGCTTAAAACAGAGTCCAGCAATTCACAGACCAAATGATATCATTCTCAAAGTCACCGACAGGACCACTATAAAAACCTATTATTTTTCTAGAGGAAACTAAAATTATATGAATTAGGAACTAAAAAGGTACTTATTATGATTAATAAGCGTATTTCAAGGTCTTCTTAGAACTTACTTTGGTTCAATGAAACCTTTCGAATACGTTTTATGCAATGGTGCTTCCATTGGAATATTCAAAAAAATACAAAAGAAGGCCAACAGATGAATAATGGTTCCCACAAGAATTATTGGATTGCGACCATAAGCAACCAATCTATTTGCGAAAACTCCAAACGTAAGACTACCTGTGAACCACAAAGATAATAAAAACTTTGCAAAAAAAGAGTATTGAGACATTTTCGCCAAATTTTTATTGAAATCTATTAATGAAGCAAACTTGAACATTACCGATGACTTGCCCTCCTCCAACAGCAAAAGCATTGTATGCAATGACTAAGCCATTATCTCCCAAATGCCCAAATGCTGCAAGGCATGCTGGATAAATACCAGTATAAAACGTCATTTCTATACCCATATACATGAACACTACAGCAAGCAGGGACATTCGTCGAGTGACCGCCAAACGAAATGTACTATCTTAATACAGAATAAATTAAAAGTCCATGCATCTTTTAGAACCGAAGTCAAGCTGACTTTACAAACTCACCTCAACACTTCCAAGCCTGAAATTTTGAAATCTTAAGGATCTGGAACTTTTCTCGGAATTTATCAAAGTAAGCATTTAAAGAATGTCATCGATGAGTAAATGTCAGCTTCCAATATCAGCACTATATAACACTTTTTCTTTATGTTTCAGCAATTAAAGAAAATATAACTAACGGAATTCGTTTTTCCAATTAACAACAGTACGCGGTGTTACTGCACCACGTATTGATCGTGTTTCAAAATTAATTCGACCATTGACAATACTGACTTCATTTTCCTCATCTATTATACCCTCATTCCTCTCTCCATCAGCTTGTTCAGCAAAACACGTCACTCCACTCGGTTTCGCAGGAAGCAGTGCTAATACTATTACACCAATAAAAGTAATCACAGAAAATACTGCATAAATTAAATTCACCGAAGAAACGATAGTACTGCAAATAATTTTATTATAAGACAGCTGCTTAACGCTCATAACTGAAATTCTATTCACCACTGATCTGATTTTCAGTAGTGCTGTAAATAGCGATGCATTTGAGTGATGTTACTACGTATTATCTATATCTAGTTTGAAGTGATCTCACTCAAGTAGTGAAAACAGTGATAAAAGTCAAAAGAAACTAACAGCAATCTAAATTACGAACCCTGAAAAGGAGATGAACAAAAGAAACAGTCCGCCGAAAATAAAACATGATTGTAGCATAGCACAGAGAATGCCACTGTTACGTGCGACAGTATCAATCCGAGACCAAGTTGTGAGATAGACTCCCTGTCCAGTCCATATCACTAAAATTAATATTTGTCAGTGAAGTAAAAATATGAAAAATTCGACAGAGGGAATCTCCCCAAAGATGGCCTACGCAACTGATTCCAAATCTAACATGAAAGCTGAATTTAACTGGTAGCTTCACGGATAACTCACTTGCAGCGCCGAAGCCTGTGAGTGCCGAAAATATGTAAAGAGAATATATATTCAGGTTCATAAAGCCAAGCATAAAGATGCAGTACATCAAAGCTCCAAAAATCATTGTCCATTTTGAACTCAGAGCATTTATTATGGCAGGTGCAAGAAAATTCGAAAATGTGAAAGTCAGATAAATGATAGATAAGCTACAAAATACATCAGTTTATATGAAAACAATTTAATCATGTTAATATTTTTTATTTTTTTACTGGACGCATCATTCAAGTCAAGCAATACTTCCAAGCAATATCTAGAGAATGTCCTATCTGTCCAATCTTCCTGTCTGCTGCATATGCGCAGGTGAGCTCAACTAGATGGAAGTAATCCAGAATGGCGTGATCGTAATTGCCTTGCAAACGGGTCCCAGTAATATTGGCAGCACAACACTGACAGTCCAAACAACCTGGGTGGGAGAATTCGATAGAGTTTGTATGTGTAAGAATAAGGAATAAAAAGATACCTATAGTAACCGGACTGCTCGGTTATACCTGATGTCGGTTGTTTTTCAGCAATATTTTTGATAATAGCAATCTGAGAATGAGGAAACGATTAAAGCAAATAGATTTTCTTTTTGAGAAAGAAAAAGTATGTCACAAAAAGCAATATGTATACAAAACCTGTCGTTCTACATAAACATAAGGGTCCACTAACCTCAATCATTCCATGGCTAGTGAAGGCTGAAAATATCAACATGAAGCCCAAGCCAAGCTGGAAAATACTACAGAAATCCCTGTCAAACAATCCCATTCCACGTAGGGAGCGGCGCTTTATACAAGTCTCCTGAAAATCATCATTTAACCGTCAGATGAACTGAACAGAAGGGATGACATAGCGAATTTCAACCTATGGCGATTAAAGTCTTCCCAGCACTGAGCTCAGCTATTCCATCTAATCGACGCATCATAGTTTTGAAATGTCCCAATACGAGGTATATATGTACCTTGAACTTCACCTCCCAACTCTATCACTAGACGCGAGAACTTTCCCAGCTATTGAACCACTTAGAATCCCGACGTCCAGTCGTAAAGTATTGGCCGGCCGAATCTACAATGCAGCTTGTTAATGGAAAAGAAAGGCGAGCTTGAGTGCTGGGAGGAGGCTGAGCATGAGTGCTTGAGATTGTGGTGGATTGAAGGGTGGTGTTACGATATGGTCTGAAATCCAACACCTTGAATTTATTAGACGGTGAGGAACGGCAGAGCAGTGTTACTTCTTGCCAGCCTTTTTTTGTTTAATTTGAACTGTATGGAAGATTTCAATCATAAATATGAAATTACCGTTTGAGGAGTCTCCTCCGTTCTCTTTGCTTTTCTTGGCATCAACACTGCTTAATTGTTTATGTTTGACAGCAAAAACTGCAATATGTTGAAATGGCTAAAAAGAATACACTCATTTGATAAATTAAACTTTAATTCTGCAGCTAAATGAAACCTTTCCTATGTACAGTAAAGAAAACAGGTAATCAAGAATGTGTCATTTCTCAGTATTTATTGTCTGCTTATGTGAATTGCAGTTGCTGCAACCTTCACTACAATATGGCCAATAAATGATCTGATAGAAACCATCATTTATGTTTATCTATTATTTTTTCCTATGAATGCTAATGTGTAATCATAGAGCAGTAACATAGGACATGATGGAGGTAAAGAAATCTGATGTTTCTAGGAACAACAATAACAGTGGCTCAGTAAAGAAAATGAAGCAAATGATCGTTGCACATTTTCAATCTTCAACTAATTGTGTAAACAGATGCATGATGGGTGAAGATGAATCATTATTGTATTTTTGGCTGTAAAAATGAAAAAAATAACAAAAATTCTGCAGCGCATTCATTAAGAGTTATTTCGCGGAGAGATTGAATAATAACTTCCAAAATGATTTAGGAAGCACGTACAATTTAAAAATTATGTTGCAATGAACGGCAATAAAAGTGGAATTAATTTGTTAAATAGGAAGGAGGGAGATGGGAGAACACACCGTAATCTGATAACTTCTGAACATGAAAAAGCATGCATCAATATCTTGAAATACTTATTAATGAACTAATATGAATCAAAAAATATCAAAAGGAGCCAAAATGAAAACGTCATTCTTCATAACAAATGATACGACTATGAATTTTCGAATTAAAAACTTTTAAAATACCGCTGTATTACTAATACTGACATTGAGACATTTACGTTTGGTGAATGAGTTAGACAAACAACGTCTTCATGAATTGCAAAAATAAAGTCAATTTGGATGGAATACACGACCTTTAACTTGTCATCAATTGGCAAAAAAGAGTATCATACACTGTTGAGTTATAGGCAATACAAAAATGACGACGATAGCTTGGCCAAGTTTCATAAATATAAACCGCTGGCCCTCTATATTGAATTTCCATACTTATGCGGAATCTGTATAGGCCTTTGATTAATTATCATTTATAGACATATTTGAATGCTATGCATGTTTTATGTTTTGTTTTGGCTATTTTTAAAGTCATATTACAAGTAAAGCTATCTCTTCTGTCCACTCTTACTTTTCTTCAGCATTTTCGAATTATATTTTCTACAAAGCTATTTTCAATGTTATTTCCAAATCTTTTTTTCTTTCCATTGATTAAAATAAAGTTTGAAAAATTGACATTCCATAATTTCTATTGTCTAGCCACTTTTGATTTTTGATGAAGGAAATAATTACATTTGTTCTGAAATGACAATAAGAATTTTTGGTTTTTAATTAATTGATATGAAATCTCTACAGCACCTTGAAAGAAAAAGGATTTGTAGGTCTTTTGCTTTGTTAAATGCCATACGTATAGAACACCGTAAATTCAAATTTGTTCACTGCTGCAGACATAATGAGAAAGGAAGAGAAAGAGATGAAGAGAACACACGGCCAAGTAAATTATGCAAATAATTTCGGTATCATATTGAGCTTAATAAGTACAATAACTTTTCTTTTCCTTTATGATTATTTCAATTGTCGAGTGGTGGTCGGTTGGTTATATCTGCCTTCGTTGCTATTGCTTTCTGTGAATTTCTTTATGATGACTTCATTTGTGGCGGAAGAATTTTCAACGGCAGATGAATTTCCAAACGAAATACAGTCATATTCGTACAGACGTGAACGCCGAAGCTTGAGTAGTGTTATAAGTCTGTAAGTTGAGAGGAATTCGATTAATGTATTATGAATCGTATTATTCAGAATTACAGTTTAGTATTGGTCCTTCGCTGAAAAGAAAAAAATGCTAAAGTAATAATAATAATTTCACAAAATGCTCTCTCATCTTAGCCAAATTAGCGTAGCTTTTATATACCCTTCCAGATATCCTGTAAATAATTACTCTGTACGAAACAGTAACAACGAGGATACTCCATTGTTATGCGACTATAAGCAGTCTTTGAAATTGCGGGAAGATTATGAAAATGATGGGATGATTCGCACGATACAGGCTGTTCTACTGAGTCACCAAAATTCAATTGTTCACGTGTTGCTCTTAAAAAATGGACTCAGTCAGCCGCAATGGTCGAAGTTGTATGTTTTGCTTCTTCTCTACAGGAGTACAAACTTTAAAGTTAAAAAATTAACTATAGTCAGAAGGACACATATACTGTGTTAACTTATAGGCCGACGGTAACATTATATCCCGATGAAAATGAAAGTGATGGAATGAAACGATTAATGGTCCAGGTACAACGAATTTTATTTGTTATTAGAGCTCTAGTAGGCAATGGCAAATATCTCATTGAGTTGACGTATTATCTGCTTTTCCAGGTTATGGGATTTGAAAGTGAAACTGCGGAAGTAATTTGTAAAGTACAGCATGTTGTCGCGAAATGGTGGCGTCCTAACTTTGAACCACCCATTGTAGGTCACCTCCTGAGATTCTAATTTCTTAGAAAGGTAGTGAATGAACTGTAAAATGAAGTTTACCGTTGTGAATCCTATCGCATCATCGTTTCAAAGTTGCAATTCAATAGTCAGTATGTTAGAGGCCTTTTACTTCAACAATCACACATCTTATACAGAACCTTTCTTGAGAAAGTGCTGATGTAAAAAGCTCCTATTTAGTATCCGTACATTCCTTCACATATCACTAAACCAAAAGAGATGATAAAAGTGTTCACCGTGGACCTTCCTAAGCACGCAGTATTTACAATTGCGAAGAACAGTTTGTTAGTGGCAGCTCCTCTTTTTGAAATCTATGATAATACACATGAATATGGACCTATCATTGCAAGTTTACCGCATGTTCTTGGCCGGTTAGTTCTTCCTTTTCAATCTGTTCTCTTTACCAGACTGAATCAACCGTCTATTAGAACGGACTGATAGATTTAATAAAATGATCATAATAGCTTCTCGAAATGTTTCAATTTTAGCTTTAACTATCTCTACAATCCATGAAGTTATCTTTCACAATAATTCAGTGGTACTGAGAAAATATGCGATTAGAAGAGCAGTGATCAATTATTTAACGATCAAAATTTTTTTGTATTTCTTTTAGGATCATCTTAAATATCCCGTTAGCCTGTATTATATTGATTCTTTCAAAATTTATGGTGCAGAACAATGAGTTCCTAATAAAGTTTTATGATAATGGTTATCGGTTAGTTACAAAGAATACTGAAAACATTTTATTAGTGTAAGCAGTAATGATTTTGTTTTTCAAAATGTTAAAACCATCTCCATCATCAAATTTTTTAAAATTTCTTATATTCTTTTTTTTACCGGCCAGTAATATCTATTAATATATTTACAAATTTGTTAAGTCAATGAATCGAACTTGACTTGCGTCAGTTCAACTTTTTGCAATGATGATTTCTCAATTTAATATATCTCACCTATCGTTATGGGTACAAAAAAGAGAGAAAAAGAAATTAATTATCTCAAACAACATTTTTAGATGTATTCAGAGAAGGTGCGATTCAAATAAATTGTATCGGATGATAAGCCATCAACTCGAAACAGTACTTTTTGTCCTTTTATCCTTTTTCCAGCTCTACTGCGCTTCGTACTATGATGTCTTCTAAACGAATGACGCAATTCTACATCAAAAAACTCTTGAATAAACATTTTGATTGTTTTACATCTTGTATTTTGTTGACAAATTTCTTGTTTTATAAATTCAGGAACAATCGTTGTTTGTTATCAGCTTCGCTTAGTTCAGAGGCAGCAGCGATCTCTATCTGTTCATTAATAGATTGTCTAAGTGATGTCGTTGATGACGAAATGTGTCTTAGTACATTTTGATGAACTATTGATGATGTAACGTAATTCGATACATTTTGGTGAAAAGAAAAAAAGAAAAACATAAATTTAAATGGTAAAAAGAATATTCAACATATTTTCGAAAAACTGAAATTTAAAAAACTGATTTTACAATCAAATCAAGGTGAATTTCTATTGCATATTTATATAATGATCAGTAATTTCTTCAGTCGTCTTGCATCCGCAATGATTAAGACTAATTAAGCGTTATCTTAATTAAATATAAATGCATCATCCAACAGGTAATTGAATTTTCTTCTGTTCTTTCGTTTTAAACATATGGCTAGAATATTTTGATCAAAGTAAAATGCATCATCAAATACTGTAACAATGCATTTTTTGAAATTAACATCTTGTGTGACGATGGCTTTTACTTGTTTTCGTTTTTCTATGATATTGCAGAAGAAATTACGCAAGTTACTGCTTTATACAAACTGCTATTGATGTTGATCGTGCAACTTTCATTCTGAAATCATCTGGGTATCGATGCTACTTGAACAGTTACGTTCGTAGGCTTTCTTCAAAATGAAATTAATAGATTAGAAACTGCCTGATGTACAGAAATTAGCCATGCTCTATATAATTTAACCACTAACTGCTATATCTTTCTCCCTTGCCATCGAATCTTCAAATTGTTACTGAATGCATGACATCAACATTTTAGTAGAAATCTTCTGAAAGCGCCTGAATATTGATATCGCTGAAATAGTAAAAAATGCATGCCTTTACTACGTTGCTTATGAGAGTAACGGTGCATTATTAGAAAAAGCATAAAATAGTGAATAAGGGAGAACGAATACCAGCGTCGCCTATTCATCTCATTTATACGTAAAAATCTTCATTGTTTATTTGTGATATTTATGTTACATTTATTTATCTTCATTGTTTATTAATTTATTGCCCGATTAACTTATTCCCTAATATAAAGAAATAGGTTATTAATCATTAATGCCATAGTACTCTAGCTATTTTAAACTTGTATTTTACACACCTTACATTGCATACTTTACAATGCTTTGATAATAATTATGGAGAAATTATTGAAAATTTAACAAAAATTTACGTCGTTCACTAAATGATAAGATAGTGTTAGCGAAGCACGGGAGGAATGAAGAGATGGATTGGTTGATTTTGATTCGAGAATTCAGATAAAAATCAAAAAAAAGACTTGAACGGAATGCCGATAGAGTGTGATATGAAGTCATATTATTTGTCACAAAATATTGACTCTGCGGAAGCAACCATTGTTCTAATCATTCGTTATCATATCATTGGTGCTTGATTTTACTAGAATACTTAAAATCAACAATTGCATTTTCTTTTAGTATGGTTAAAAGCAACATTTTTGAAATAAAATATTTCTTATGTGTGTTCTGTTGAATTCAGCGACATTTTGCAGTTTTCTCGCCGTATTTTTGAGTTCTTTGTAGCTTCCACACGGGTGTTAATATGAAGTATCAATATTAAGTACCTATATTTTGACTTGTTTAGCGTAATTTAAAGCTGATGGATAGATATTGCCCATGATGGAGTTTATTTTCAAATTTGTGATCACTTTACCACACTCTTTTTCACAGCTGCTTCCCTAAATACTTGAAAAATGCAACAAATCGGGCATGCAAATATTTATGCATACCCGGTTTCTTGACAATTTTACAAATAACATCTATCAATGGAAAAAAAGATTGAGCTGAACCAGATTGTTGTAAAGTGAACAAATAACATTTATTTTCATATTTGATTCAGGAGCCAATAAACATTTAAGAAATCAGCTTACATTTTATGACGAATAGTTAGCACTAAAAATATCCTCTAACTGAACTCCATGATATTCTCAATGTAAGATGGACAATCTTTAACTGTAAACAAATTTAAAATCCAACTGGCCAATAATTTTGCAATAGTGAGATATACTGATGACTATCTGTGACTTCACATATCTGACAGCAACAACAATTGATATGTATATATGCATGTAACGATGATGAAATAAAAGCATTGCGCATCTATCCTACCATTTTCTTTTTGTACAAAACGATGACAAGTGGACAGCCATATGTTTGAAACAGTTGGATTGAGGATATTTTTTATCATTGTCCTCAAATTTCCACACTACAGCCATGTATACGAACCGGCGAAACATGCCTTACATGTAACGCATCCTAACTGAGTTACAGAGACTGGATGAAATGGCTTTATTTAGATTATATTAATCATTGAATTCAATTCTTCAGAGCAATTAAAATGCAAATGAGAATAATTTACCGCGTTTTGGTTTTTGAATTTTAGTGGTACGTATTCGTCACAATATCTAATATTAGTTATATCGTATTGGCACAAATTGTTTAACGTAAATTTTTACCTTCTAATTACAAGGTAAAAAGCAATGTGAAATAGTTTCGCTATTTACGGAATCAGCACAACAAATCCTCAATTAGATTATCCTTTGATATATATTACGAGTTCTATTTTCCATTATTTTTACTTTTCTATTAATTATTATGAGGACTAGCTTTTTGCAAATAATGCAATTATGCAACCGCAACAAATTAAACAGGCACATCGATCCAATGCTAAAGCTGTCAGAAGTAAATATTCATAACTTATAGTGATTGAGAATGGTTGATATATTTCAGTTTATCTCGCATATTCATATTAGTAAATACAATCATTTAAAAATGTTCACTGTTTTTTTGAAGGGTATTATGCATTTACTGGACAACTTCTCAAAAAAAAATGAGACATAATTTTGATAATGATTTGATTCAGATGGGAAATATTTGTTTAATCGAAGTTGCTATGATTATGACATTGACTGTTTTGCTATGCTACAAAAGCAATATACACAATATTCTTATAGTTTCATGTAAAAACTTTGCCACCTACATTATATAAATCAGAGATGTTTTCCATAAATGTATGATAATATATTATTGATTATATGTTATAATATAACTGATTCTAATAATAATTGCCTTCATTCGAATATTGGTGAAGTGTAGCTCTTGGAAAACTCATTGTTGGAATATCAATATTACTTAATATATCACAATCACTTATAATAACCGTTGAACTTGAAAAAAATTCTCGATTCCAGCAGTCAAACCTTTACGTGTAATTTAGTAAATTACACGTAAAGATTAGCTATCATTGATTCATTTAGCTATCATTTGATTCATTTGATTTTAAAGGGCGATGTTAATGAAATTTTTTTTTCAAATGTAGAGTTTTGTTAAAATGTTTGGCCGATCATTTCCTTGAAAATGTTGTATCTGTTTTTAAAAGGCTACGAAGTTTCCCTTTGCTAGAGTTTAATAAATTGATATCATCACTTCTGATATTTGCTGTACAACCATTTGCTCTTAGAAGATAGTGTAATCGAAAATCATCCTTCTGTGCTTTGCAACAATTATATTATCTATTGCTAATCACTTTATCCACTAACAATTTCTATTCCATTCTTCATCTTTCCACAGATGATAAGAAATATTGCCATTTTAACTATATTAATAAGTAACGATGTTTGTTGCTCACTACGAACATATTTTATTAAAGCAGCAAAAATTATGCCTTTTTTTTTCTGCGTTTTGATAAATTTCTCCAAATTATTCAATTTTAGGAATAAGCAAAAATGCGGAGTTTTTGAAAATTTATTTGAATGAATTACAAAAATTTTAATAGATTAATTTCTGTAATTTCGTCTATGTTTACCAATCAAATTTCTACGGTCTCTGTATTTCTGTAAATACGTCTGTCAGCAAATAACTGAAGGCAAAATTAAAAAAAGTGACTCGCTAGATTTTTTGGATCGTAACACTGATATCGCTAGTTCGAGAAGTTCGAGCAGCGTATCACAAGAAATGATATCTTTCTCTTGTTTACACAGAACAGTTGTGGGTTGTGTCTCTAAAGATCACTGAACTTTCATCTTTCGTTGAAGAAGTATTCCAATTATCTCTCTTGTTTGTTTTACTTTGAATTATATAATCTCCAATAAAAATTAATTCTGGATAGGATGAACTATGAAATCAATCAGATCGATATTAAACATTTGTAATTCTAATAATAAAGTAAATTTTTAGTTGAAAAATCTAATTTTAGTGTCTTCGGCAACGACTATATCTTCATTTTCAAATACTCTACGAACTACTAAAAGTTAGAAAATAATCCGTACACTCAACCAATTACCGGAATGTTGCTCAAGATAATAGTTTATGTTAATTGAATAGGTAGATGGATAACAGAATTTTTGAGCAGCCGATTAATACAAATGACAGTTTCGAATCGATGATTGGTACATGAATATAATTTGCATATATTGATTTATTAAAACGATATTGCATTTTCAGTTAATGTTGGAGGAAATTTTTATAACTTTTTCCAGAATGCTTTCCCATATTTTAGACAGAAGAAAAAAAACCGTGACGCTTTATGAGAATTTTTGATGATTGCAATATTCGTTCTTTGTTTAATAAGTAGTGTCGAATGTATCATCAAACAAGTACCACCAGACCAGCGAGTTGATTGCTCGCCAAAACCAGGAATTGATAAAGCTACATGCTTATCTTTTAAATGCATTTGGGATGATGAGCATTATTCCGTATGTTTGCAGTATATTAGAAGTTTTTTATCTAATTTAAATAATTCATTTACAATCTTAAACAGTATTGAATGTGATTTTGACCAGACCCCGTCTTTATAAAAGCAATGTTTTAGGATACGACTGTTCCAGCTTGCTACTTTCCGCCGGATACGGGATATATGATTGCCCAAAAATCTAATTTATCGTTAAAATTGCAAAAATCAAAAGATGCGGCGTTGAATCCTTATGATGTTGACATACCAGAAATCGAAGTACAGATTACAAATTCTTATTCCATCCTAAATGTGCGAATTGGTGTTGAAGGAAGGTAGGTGTAATTTGATTAGCATATTGAAACTATTAATGCAAATAATCTGTAATATTTTCAACATTTGCTTTATAAATCTTCTGAAATTTTTAACAGATAATAAACATTTCTGATTTTAATGATTATTTCTATTTCTGATCATATGTGAAATGGAAACTTTAAATATTGCCACATCAGATACGAGCCAACAGTGCCTTTACCAAGAGCCTGCAGCACAACAGAACAGCATTTTACCACAGAAATTCCCAACGAATCTGAACTTTTTATACTTCGAATTCGTCGTATGACAACAGGAGAACTGATTTGGGATACCTCAATCGGTACTTTTAGCAATTAATTCTTATACTAGAATAACAAAAAGAAAGATATTTAAATTACAAAATGAACTTTCCTCTTCAATGTGTTAGGTCATATGCTGATTGCAAATTTAAAGTGAATTTTTAGGTGGTTTACTTTTTGCTAATCAATACATTCAAATTGCAACTTTTTTACCGACTGATAAAATTTATGGGATTGGTGAGCATGTTCATTCAAGCTTGAAGGTAGGCATATAAAGCAAAGATTTTTATTTTGGAAAATTATATTATAATAGCTAAATTTATCATATTTACCGATAGTTTTGGCTTTTTTGGCTTTCAACTTCAAAATGCTTCTTGTATATTTAGCATAAATTCACAAAATATACAACATGGCCAATGCTTGCAAGAGACCAGCCACCTGATCCGGAGAATCCGTATCGCAATTTGTACGGAGTGCATCCATTTTATCTGGGCTTAGAAAAGAACAACAATGCACACGGTGTACTTCTTTGGAATAGTAATCCACAGGTAGAAGCACTTGTCACAACAAGTTTATTCCGATTAACTGTGAGCTTAAAACTTGAAATGAATAGTAATGCTGTTTAGGAAATAACAACAGGGCCTGGGCCACATCTAATATATCGCTCTATTGGTGGAATACTTGATGTGACATTTTTCCCAGGGCCAAAACCAGAGCAAGTTATACAGCAATATCTTGAATACATTGGACGACCATTTCTTCCAGCTTACTTTGCACTTGGATTCCAGGTGTGCTTTTTTTAAGGTTATTTTCTTTCCTGCATTTGGAAATTCGTTGAAAATGTATAATTTGCTTCAAAGTTAGTAAGAATACTAAATCTTTAGTTTTGTCGATATGGTTATAAAAATTTGGCTGAAATGAAGGAGACAATTGAAAGAATTCAAAATGCCAGTATACCAATTGATGTTGCATATGCAGACATTGATTACATGGAACGGTACAAAGATTTTACTATCGGGAAAGTATGAATTTAAAATTGGTTATTTTAATATTTCATTTCTTTTTTGATTTTTTTTGATTATAAAATAAAGTGAAAAGTGGTTATACTTAAAATGGTTGTGTTTGCAATGTACCAAATATAGTTGTGTTGGAAGTGCACGAAAATCATACTTTTCATCATAACGACCTCTGAGATATCTGAGTGATCTTGATAATAATTTAGGAACACTGGTCAAATTTTAAAGAATATGCTGATGAACTACATAATAATGGAATGCACTTGGTGCTTATTATCGACCCTGCAGTACAAGTTAACTATTCTACTTTTCAAAGAGCAATTGAAAAAGTGAGCTTGCAATTTCGATTTAAAATCTAATGATCTTATTAATTGAATTTCAATAATACTGTTATGTTTTCAAGTTAGCATTTAATCTTTTTGAAAAACAAAAAAAAAACTTTAAAGGTTTGTTTGATGAACAGATCTCATTGTTTATTTTCCTTACAATAATTAAAAGATTAATAATATCTAAATTATTAAAAAAACATTCTACATCTAGCTTTGAGATTTTGCGATTTCAGAATGCTAGTTTTATAGAATGGGAAAATTATGATCATGTACAACATGAGATCCAGAACAAATACCCGTCAACAAAAGGGACAAAGGTTTCCTTCCTACATGAATTTTCAACTTTTAATTATTAATCGCTATGTTTACCGGTCATACCTGATTCCCAAATGATATTAAATTTGCGTCACTTGAGCTGTGAGTTCACGTTTTTGAATGAATCTCATATTTAGATAATGCTTTCTGTTGTGTGGCCGGACTGGCATGTTGCTTTTCCTGATTTTCTCGATCCAGAACCATCGACTGCAGAATGGTGGATTGAGGAATTCAAGCGTTTCTATCAAATGGTTATTAACTTTTTTAATGATATCAAAAATTAAGCACAATGTCATATATTTCTTTCTCGAATTAATTAAAAATATTTTGAGCTCCCATTTGATGGCATCTGGATCGATATGAATGAACCGGCTGCTTTTGGTACTAATGAATATCATCCATTTTATTTTGACGATCCGGATAGACCAGCAAAGATAATACCGCTCAAATGCCCTCTCAATGATGCGACATTGAAATATGATAACCCACCTTATGAAACCTGGAACTCTTATGCTTACAATTTTTTTGAAGCTGCACGTTTTTCTTTTTTCTACACTTTTCTTCTACATTCTACAAATATAGTGCTACTATCGAGGATTTTCAGATTGCGACAATTAATTCTACGATATTTCGATGCTCCAATAAAATTTATAAAATAGCTGCCTAAAATTCACAAACTTAAAAATGATACTATTTTAGCATTTATCAAACAAAACTGTTTGTATGTCCGGGATGACAAACAGGGGAACTCAGAGAATTTATGATACGAAAAATTTGTATGGATTAGCAGAAACGATAATAACTCAAAAGGCGCAGCATGCAGTAACAGGAAAACGAGGCTTAATTTTATCCAGGTTCTTTTCAATCTTTTACTAGAACTCAAAAGTTAATTTTAAATGACACGAAGTCAACTACTTAGAAAAACAAAGGAGAATAAAGTGATGAGGAAGATTCAGAGAACTGAAGAAATAGGATTAAATCCTATTTTTAATGAGTAATTGAAATGGACCAAACCAATTCTGAAATGAAAACGAACGATTTTATGAGCTAATAGTTCATAATTTAACAGTCTTCATTGATAATGCTTTATGTTCTAAGATGGAAAGAATGAGTTCGTACAGATGGGAAAAGTTTAATAATGACAGAAAATCGGGCAGTTATAATTAATTACTCAGTGAATATTATGATTCATGAAAATGTGATTTTCATGATTTCTCTTGAATTTTTGTAGATAAACTGGTGCAAACCACTATATAAATTGTTTATAAAAGTATGTTAAATTGTGAGTTGTATATTAAATTTCATCAATGAATAATGAGGTAAATGAAATCTTGAGCTCTGATCATAATAGAGTGATGCGATCAGCAAGTTAACTTGTATAATGACTTCATATATGCTTCTATATGTCAGGTCCACATTTGTTTCATCGGGCCATTATGGCGGCCACTGGCTTGGTGATAATAGTGCTCGTTGGATAGATTTGAGATCTTCCATTATTGGTATTCAAGAATTTAATTTATTTGGTATACCATACATTGGAGCAGATATTTGCGGTTTCAATGGAGAAACAACTGAGGAATTGTGTTTACGATGGCAACAACTCGGTGCATTTTATCCCTTTTCAAGGTTGAACTTTTACAAGTCATTCTTTTTTTTTTTTAAGTTTTAATTTCTGGTTTAAAAACTAACGATTAAAACTTTAAAAAATAATTGAAAGTCGTCATTTTTCAGAAATCATAATGAAAAAGGTATAACAGGCCAGGATCCATCTCGATGGCCAGATGTTGCAAAAGCCACTCGAAAAGCTAATCTTTTTCGATATTATTACCTCCCATATCTCTATAGGTTGGTTCATCTTTCATCTTTATTAATGCTTACTTATTTTTTTTTTGCAAAAAAAATCCAATTAATTCATTCTTCAGCTTATTATTCGATGTTTCATTGTATGGCGGGACTGTTATTCGGCCAGTTTTCTTTGAATTTACTTATGATCCAGAAACTCATGACCTTGGAGAACAATTTATGTGGGGAAGTGCAATGATTATTATTCCAGTATATCAACCAGTAAGTTCTACTAAACATTTAAATCGTATCAGAACAGCAAATAGAAATTTAATCAATCTTCCAGGGCGCTACGTCTGTGTCTGGTTATTTGCCCTCGACAATATGGTATTCTCTTCGAGATTTTGACTATGGTACACTGATAGAACCAGGCCGCAGTGAATTTAGCGCACCGAAGGATGAACTCATTCCTGTTTTTATTAAAGGTGTGACTCGTCGAAAATTTTGAGAAAACCACTAAATTATTTCTTTATTGTAAATTAAAAGTCTTATGGGATTATTCATCCAGTTCCTAATTTTTGTTCTTAACTCTTTTGAAATTATCGTAATTGCTTCTGCTATTTCATTTCTTTTCTTTAAAACAGTTGCGAAAAACTATGAAGCATTTTCTACTCCTTTACTACTTAACTTTTCTTCTCGGGAAAACAGCAAAAAAATTAAATTCGTTGAAAATAGCAATTTCCAATACGATACGAATGAATGAACATTATGTTTTTCATTTCAGGAGGTGCTGTGATACCACGACAACAGCCAAATATGACAACCACTCTTTCAAGAAACAACCCTTTTGAATTGCTTATTGCAGTTGGTAAAAAAATTAATTTTCCTGAATTTTGCTTCTAAATATATAATACGCTTTCGTAAATTAAGGAACGTTCAAAATCTATGACTTAGCAGAGCAGATTCATTGAGGGAATTTAAAAGCATATTATTTTTGAAGACCGCTTATTGATTCCTTAAATGCTTCCAACAAAACAGTGCTTAATACATAGGGAATGAAGGGAAATCGTAGCGTAAAAAAAATGATTATTTACTAAAATTTCAAGATAACGAAGTGAAATTAAATTAGGATGCTTTGATTCGTCTTTTCTTTGTACTAATTATAATTGGAACTTTGTTTTTTCATGACTGAGATCATGTTTTAGGTCCGAGCAAATCAATTGGTATGCTGTACTGGGACGATGGTGAAAGTATTATAGAAGCTTCTATGGCTTACAATTATTTCCATTGGTTATTCGAATTTATACTCACTGATGACAGTGCTACTTTATATATCACTCCAAACCATACTGCTGTTAGCATTTTTTGTCTTTTTAAGTTTGGAGAGAAGTAATAATAGTAGAATGTGCAATACGAAACAGGCAAATCCGCTCCACCGTCAACATGACCATTAAATAACGATTAATAACGTCCATAAGAATTGCTAACAATTGAATGAATTTTATTATAGGTAGGACTGGTAGTGCCTACGTTAGATGTTGTGGATGTCATCGGTTATCGTTATCATCCCAAACTGAATGAGGTATGGCTCAACGGCATGCTAGTTGAAATTGATATTCAACAATCACATTACGACGATTCAAAGAATCGTTTACTGATAATTAAGAAGAATTTGGTGAACATCGCTAATGGAAAAAAACAGACATTATCTTGGTCACATCAAAAGCCAATTTGTAATAATGCTTATTACTGATCGTATCATTTGTGCATGTATGAGATAGGCTTTGGTAAATACGTGAAGCATTCAGCAATTTATAATCACATACCTAATTGAATATGAAAACACTTATCATCAGTGTTAATCACTAATGCCATTTGTGCAATAAACAAGATGTAGCGCGTCACTATTTTCCTAGCATTTCAATGTATGTTGTAACGATAATGCTGAGAAGAGGAGAAACTACAAACGTGCGTAAATATTTAATTGAAGAAAAGAAAAAGTACTAAACATTTCTCAAAGGAAAAAATAAACAAAAGAGAAATGTCTGATTGAAATACATATAGAAAAAGACAGGTATGAAAGTACAGTGTATATGTGGATCAGGCAATGATTGAGGGTATAACGTATGCAAGGGTCAACCAATAAAAAAAACAGTACATAACACCGCCATGCTTAGAAGAAAATGAAATGAACATCGGTCAAATGAAAAGCTTTGTATTCGACGTAGAATACAAGTCCAACGTCAAGTTAACGTTATAACATATCTGAGATAGCGATGATAATCTCCAAATCCAATCGTTTATGTGTGGGAAATTATGTGTGCACGAATACTTCTCAAGAAAGGAAACAGGTCATCACAACATGCCAGAAATAAACCTTATCTAGATAAGGTTACGCTATTTTCTATATGATATCAGGAGAACCGAAATTCTGAAACGGCTACCAAATCGGCTTCCTGTTAGTCTTATCAGTTACGATAGTGTATCTTTGTCTTCACAACTACTCAATGACAAATATGAGACTATCGTTTTCATAGCATCGTCACAATGATATCTCTCAATTGTTGTTCGGAAGTTTGAACGGTTCGGTAGATTGGTTAAATTGGGGCGGGTGGTTGTGTTTAAGGAGGGGATGTAGTATGTGTTTATCGAGCGGGTTCATGATTCACGGATATTCTTACAGGACTTGAACATTTACATTGGTATTGTTCACACTATTAGAACTTGGAGATTCTTTGCAAATTTGACTTGCGGAAGTGATTTTGTCCTTAAGGAACACTGTTGAAGTTAAAGGTCAGTAATCAGTTACGTTATGTCGATCACAGATGTTCCGGGGACAGATCATCATGTTGGTGAGATCATACCATCAACGGATGACGACAACAACGCTAGGGTGGCTGAGGATCAGCCACAGGAGGAAGTAAGTTAGCTATGTGAAAATAACTTTATTTAGGTAGTATGACATATGAAGTATGTCAAGTTTTGCAAGAACGAAGATAACTTCTGTATAGTGGTTTTAGGGATCCGATGAAAAACAACAAAATCAGAGTTGGATAACTACAAACAAGTCTACTTTGTTAAGTCAAGGTTTGTTGGCCTTGTGCAATGAAATTAACGATGGTTTTTTCCCAAAAATTTTTTGCAAACTTCTCAAAAATTTTTCACAACATGTGATATTAGTGACTCTGAATTTTATTGTAGACACTGCAACGGACGAAGCTTATTCACTTGAACCCTCAGAGGATTATGCCTTGCACTATCTTACACAATCTGTTGTGAAGATGATAGATAATATTGGCTTCTCAACATGTCACGAATCCGTTTTAAACATTCTAACGGATCTTTGCAGACGGTACATGCAGAAACTTTGGGTTGATTCAAAAGTATTCGCAGAGCATGGTAACTCCAAGAATATATTATACTTTAATTAGGCTCAGTAAATGAATTATCCTCTTTTTATTTGAAGGTCTGAAATATGTTTTTATTTGTTTTTTAAGCTGGTAGACGATATCCCATCTTTGAAGATGCAAATATGGTTTTTGGAAAACTGATGTTCAGTGCAGCGGAATTGCACTCATTCATGAAGCAGGTACAACATGATCCTCTTGAAAACAGTGTAAGTAATTCGTTATTGGATTGATATTTTTCTTCACTTGTTTTATCTTTAATACTTCAGTTGCTGAGAGTTTTCTCATTTTAAGGTGCCACTTTTCCCAGTTAGGAAATCCTCGACAAATTTGCTCGGTATATATGGACCAGTCTCAGATAAAGAATTGGCAGAACGACCAGAACACATACCTCGTTATTTTCCTGCTATGCATCCAGAGTGGTGCATCGATCATGTGGGAGGTAATACTTTTTCTTCACTTTTTCGAGATAACTGTTCGTTACGCATTAACGGATTGTTAATTTGTGTATCACTTTATAGTTCGAGCAGTCAATGTTTTAATGAAAGATGCAGCACTGAGGCAAGCGAAAAACAACAGATGTACACCCCGGTGAGCAAAATCTTTGGTTTAAATTCCTTCGTTCTTGAACTTGGGGAGTTGGGATTGAGCGCCTTTGTTTAATAGCTACGTTTTGTCTATGCGAACTTTTCGAATCTTTTGGGAGTTTGCAAAAATAAAGCGTGAAATAGAATACTAAACTTTCATTTATTTTACATCCATTTTTATTTTTAAGTTGAAAGATTTTATGATTAGATTTGCTTTACAGAGGAAGAGTGACGAGACCGAGGATTTCTTTTCCTGATTTTAGTGGATCGACAGCTAAAGAATTGGGCTTTGTGCGCCCTCAAAAATTGCCATCCAGAAAAGTGATTGAAGAACCAAGTGGCATTTCAAGTAGTGCCAATATCGCAGCCTTACAGACGACGAGTACAGCAACAAACAGTGCTACTAAAACAAAGCATAGGAAGTGGTCGGCACATGAAGTGAGATATCCTTGATGATACTTTTGTCGAAACATAAATGCTTTATTATGAGCAGGTTTTTTTTATGTATATATCGGTATTGCAGCCTGCTGGTAGTTCAAAACACTGCGATGAACATCACGTGAAAGCAGAAACCCCTAAAGAGAAGGATATAACAGATAAATCTTTCTCACAGGTAACGTTGGTTCTCATGTCTGATCTTATTTTCTTTTGGATATGAATTCAACTGCATTCCTCTTACAGACACTGAATTTATATAGCTTTCCTCGCTTCAATTTTCTTCGTCATTCTTTAGAATGATCATATTGTTACCTGCTGTATTTATTGTATTTATAGAGGTCGATTGGTATGTTTGGCATGCCGCCATCAGCCTTGGTACATCCGGAGAATGTCGTGATTGAGAAGATGAAAAAGAAAAAGAAAAGAGACAGAGATCGAGACGAAGATCGGACTAGGGAAAGGAAAATAAAGCATCGTGACAAAGGGAAGCCTAAAGAGAAAAATGTACGTCATATCTGCATTTGTGGTGTTACATGTGACTCAAGTTTCCTTTTATCACAATCATTATACAAAAGAAATCTTCCAGGAAGGAAATCCAAGTGCAAGTAGTGCAATTTCGCTGGCAATTGAATCTTTTGCAAATGAGAAGGCAAGCACAAGTGCGAGTTGTTTAATTGACGTTAAGAGTGATGATCAAGGCACGTAATTAATGTTTTCATTTGTTAATTCCCTTTTAGCTTTTCCTGATTTGCTTAGTGACTGCTATGGAAGTTTTTCTGGGTGAGTTCAAAGTTACTGGTTTAAAGGAAGAGATATACTCATGAAAACTTTTACTTAAAAGATTAGCTATAATCTTGTGTAACGATGCACTAGAGTTGTGTAAATTTGATAATCCTTGATTTTATTATGGAGACTGAATCAAGCTATGGATTGTATATTTCCTCGAAGTCCCGCTGAAATGTTCTTTCATTCGTCATTGTTGGGATTAATTATTGTGTTTTCACATCAGTTCTTTACTTAACAGTGTCTTTAGGCACTGGTGGTTGGTGCTGTTCACTTGCTTACTTAGATTTGATTAATGCGCAATAACTTAAGCTTACAAATGCGGTGGTTAGTTTTAGGGAATGGTAAAAATGTTTTAGTCGCCAGAAATTGACTGACCTTTTCTTTGAACTTTGCAAATTATTTCAGCAAAAAAATCAGCGAACCGAAAGCAAAGCATTCTTTCAGCATTGCACAAACAACCGAGTTCCTCGGAGCAGTAAGTTTTGATTTTATTAGTTGATTTGATAGCTCGAAGATGGATAGTTATCGTTTCTCTCCGAAATATTTAAATGGATGTGCGTGTTTTATGAACAGTGTGCATCTGATGTATTTCAGCCAACAAATAGGGCGAGATGTGATTAATTTAAAGAACGTTACGAATGAAAAATCTCTTATAGATGTCCATTTTTCTCACTGTCTTTCTGGAAGTAGTCGAGAAGACAGAGCAGTTTGCATAAAGGTTTCATAATATTTTTCGTCATTATATTTTCAAATTTTTTCTTTTTTCGATGTTACATATAATTTAGGTGAAGAATTAAAATATTTTAGCTATAAATCAATTTTTTTATAAATAGTTTAGAATTCCCGTGGTAAATTGTTCACGACAAAGCAGCTGCAAAATACAATAGAACAAAATTTATTTTTGTTTACATTTCCTAAATTAACTCTCTGATGTAAATGTGGATTTCCATTTTCCGAGTCAAGGTGATGGGGACTTTTCAAGTTATCTCTTTAACTGTCACAGTTGAAAAAGGAAGTTAACGTCACACTGTATTTAGAAGGAAGGCGCTTACAAATTTAAACATGACCATTCAGTGGACTTAAGGGTGAATGATGATCACAGTGCTAGCGGTGCTGGTTTGCAAACGCCTGAAGTATTGCTACCGCAACATTCCTCAGTTAGGTATGTTTAGTGGATGCCAGTCAAATGATCCTGTTGTTTTTATTTACCAGTCGATCCCTTATTTTTTCATAATTATAAAACGAACGAGTATTCATAATTCCTCTCAGCTTTATCGTTACCCCAACTGCTTGTTGATATATGCAAATTTTTTGGTACGAGACATTTCAATGTCTTATATCAAAAATTTGCATATATTTGCAAGCGTCGTGCGGTTGCATTTTGCCTTCATTAGTGTTGTTGTTTCTGACGTTGAGCAGTTGCATTTTTTCTGGGAGGTTTCAATGTACCGTTCTGTAAACTGTTTAGTTTTGAAGTTAGTCTTTTTGGAACTTTGCTTTTTTATTCGCCCTCATTAATTATTGCATCCTATTCTGCTTGATCATCTTTGTTATATTTCAGCTCAGGGTGAGAAAGCTTAGTGGCATTTTTCTTTTCTTATGAAAGTTCCAGAGACCTCTGTTGTCTTATAAAGTCAAATTATAATAATTTAATTTGTAGCGCTGGTGATGTAGGGGAAGATGGTATTAGTGATGGCAGTAAAGCTATACAGAAAGCAAAGGAAGAAGTGAAGGATGGAATTCAGCAAAGTGATAAAAGAGATCCAAGTAGAAGCACAGTAGTCGAAATCGCTAAAGGGAAGTTAGAAAAGCAGAAATTTGGAGAAAAAGGCTGTGAATGGAAAAAAGCTGCAAGAAAAACAGCAGCAGAGGACTCTTTATCAATGATTATTGATGGCATCGCCAAAAACTCAACAACTGATAATATTCCTCCGCCTCGTAAGTCTTCAATTTTTATGTATGTCTTTCATCAATATAACTTGTTGAAAATTTATGTTAAGAATTTATACATCACTTTTTTTGTTTCAATTTCCTTTCTGTGCAATTTATTAATGCTTATAATTTTAATATTTCATTTCTTAAAACTGTTCAATATAACTCCACACTATATTCTCTTGTGAGTTAAATCATATTTAGAATGGAAGTATCGGCTTTTTAAAGATTCCATATCTTTATTTATTTTCCTTAAGATAATTATGATCTGAATCATCATCTTCTAATAATTAATAGTGCTTTTATAACGTTTTTGAACTTTTGGGATATTCCACCCTTCTTTCCTTTTTTATTGGGCCATGCATTCCACTGCAACATATTCAGACTTGAAACTAATTTTTGATGTTATTTTAAGTGATGCAAGATGCAATGCACTGTTTGGAATATTAATTGAAAATTTCTTTTTCTTATTATATACAAAAAAATCTTTTCAGAAGACCTCAAGGCACTCAAAGTGGTTTTATCAAGGTCAGCTGGACAGAAAGTATTCACTGCACTGTCACCATCCAGTATGAACTTATCTGCTATTCTTTTAGATGTCATTTTTTTGGTCTCCTTTCATCGTGCATCTTTGATATTTTCTGTTTAGGTGGCACTGAACGGGCAGCCAAAGAGGAGGAACAGAAATGTGATCCAGGAAGTGTGCAGAGTGGTGCAAATATAAATCCGTTTTCAAATGATGAATCACAAGTTGCAGAAAGTATTTATGAGAAAAAGAAGCACAGAAAGGTAGTTGAGTAGTATTATGGAGCTTGAAAATTGCTATCGAATTAGTGTTAACATAATGATTTCAAGGAGAAAGATCGAGATAAACACCACAGCAAGGAGCACAAACGAAAGGATAAAGAGAAGTACAAAGAGCACAAGAAAAGCAAGACGAAAGACAAAGAGAAGGAATATATCAAACTGAGGCCTGAAAAACTTTGCTTGAAGAGACCTGGCGAACATATCCGTAAGTCTTGTAAAATTGTTTTGCATTTTATCCATATTTTGCAGATCAGGTTCCGCATTCTCTCAGCTGTGTAACTCTTTCTGTTTTTCAAATGTTAAAAATGAATTAAGATTTCTTTATAGTTTTAGCTAGAGATTTATCATTTTTCTTAAATTACTCATTGAACTTGACGCTATGTCAAGTGTCGATAAAAAATTTTTTCTGTTTTAAAGAATTTGTTCCAGTGCCAGATGAAACGCCTACTCCAAAAATACCGAAACTAAAAATCCGATTTGGATCCAACTCAAGTGGTGTTAGTGCTTCGCCATCGGTATCTACAACATCGACTATCTTGACCTCTACTTTGTCGTCTGACCAACTGTAAGTGTTTCCACAGGGACTTATGATTCATGTTTTCTCCAACCGTTACTTTTTTTAGTTTTCCACTTGCTAATTTTTATTGTTAGTACTTTCAGGTCAGAGAGAGACAATCTCTCATTAGTCGATCAAAGCATTCAGATTATGCAACCTACAAATAAATTAGAGGTTGCAGAGGCGACCAATCCGTTTCACGCATCCCTCAAATCTGATGTAAATATTAAACCTAGAAAGCGGCAGCCAGTGACCAAAGCAGAGGTTGTTCTGTTTTTTCAAATGAATTTCCGTTGTAATAAATTTTCGTTTTTTGTCGTCATGGTTTCGTGTCCGTTTATTTGTCCGTTCACATCCATAACTCCACTGCTATTAAATAGCCTAACCTTGAACTGATATGAATCAGTTTATCATATGGATGGTTTCTGCAGCCATCTTTTTTGCAGGAGAAAATTTTTTGACAGTTAAACACATTTACTTACCTCAGTTGTTAAAAATATATAAAACTAAAAAGTAAGTGATGCTGACTGATATGGGCAGAGTTTGGATTTTATGACTTATTAGGACTTAGTAAGCTTGGAGAGTTGGAAGAGTTGGATATTGCTATTAAGGAAAGCTATTTTTATGGGGTAATGAGGTTTTGTAACTTTTACTCAGTAAGAGTATCTATTCGCTTGATAATATTTCTACAGACCAAATTTAACCCTTGCTATGGCTGGTTTTGCCTTTCAACTGCATTGCCATCGATTTTTTACTTGAGAAAATTGTACTTCTAGACGAATAGAAGTATTCAATTGCAACTGTCCGGCTGCTTCTCTTTAAGAAGGCATGGGTTATTTTACAAATATTGCATATAAATTCAGTTATGTTTCAAAGAGTGCTAGTTTAAAAGAATTAAATTATTCACTGACAGTGAAATTTTCAGTTGAAAGCGCTGCCGAAATTGCCATTGAAAGCAAGAACTTATGGAACTAAAGAGTAAGTTATGTGAAGATGCAGTTGTATTTTTAAATTCTTACAGGTGGACATATTACATTTCAAAGCTTCGCTATTTTGTTGCTTCCACAACTTTCTGAGTAGTGTTGTCGTTGTCTCTTCGCTTTATTTTACTGCTCTACTTATTCTTTCTCTTTTTTTAATTTGCTGTTTATTTGCATATGCATTTCATTTCCTCCCAAACAATAATTTGTTATGGTACCCTCTTGTTTTCAGTACTTTTTTTCAGTACTTGGTTTCCTTTATTTCTTCCTAAACATAATTTACCTCAACTACACTGTCACAACTACCAGCGTTTCATATTGCTCCATGAGTTTAACTGTGTAAAACTAGTCATTCAGGGTCATTTGTACAGTAAGATCATAGAGATCTCAATCTGTTTAAAGAGCTTTTCCGCACACGTAACTGTGCGCTTCATAATGAAGAACATGCTCTAGTAAATGTAGGATGGGGATGTGGAAATGTACTTTGTTTATTTTCTGTCGTTATTATATTTTAGGATAATCTTTACTTTGTTGCAATTAGTTTTGTGTGTTCGTTCACAACAGCCAGCACTTCAACGATAACGCCCTACCTTTTTACTCTCAGCACTTAGTTTCCTGATACCTTTCATCCGAGTACCGCGTTGAACATGCTTCAAAGATATTGCTCATAAAGAAATGAAATACGGAAAGTGGGGAATGCGGGTGGTACTCCCAACTAGTCGCAGTTTGATAATCAGTTGTCTTGTTTTGTCTGAATTAAGATTTACGCGTTATTAGTAATTACCTTCTAATTGCTGGGAAGTGGTGGCACTGTCTCGCTTCTATTAAGAGCTATTATTGTGCGTTCGTAGTAATTGTGTACTGTTGACGGATGAAAAGGCTGATGCCCGCTGCTCAGCACGCCAAGAGGACTTTAAAATAACGCACCGGTGCTTTGTGTCATGTTTTCTCATTGAATGTTCGGAAATAAAGTTTTATCCTTTACTTCCCGCCGTGCATTATTTTAAGAGACCGGTCATTATCTTAAGGTCTTCAGTGGTAAGCGGAAGCAACCAATATGGTTTTCACACCATTTTACGTTATCTTATATCTAGTATACCACTGTCCATCTTCGCTACGTCGTCTTTTTCGGATTGTTTTTGGACCTACAAAATTATGTTTTGTTGGGAAGTGCTGCAACCAGTCTTCTAGTCACTGACCACGGTTTTGTACTACTTCAGTAACCCAACAGAAACGTGGAACTTTCGATGAGTGGATCTCCTATGCAGTTTTAAGCAGGTTATGTATATAAGATCTTTATCCTTTGTGCCTCCTATTAATTTAAGCATTTAGTAAAATGTTTAGCTCTCAGCACTTCCTGAGCAAAGCAGGACTCGGGAAACTTGCGGATTCGGAATTGCTTTAGTCTCGTATATTTGCTGAGAGTAAAGGTAAATATTTCAGGGGAAGTGGACTCACAAGTGGACAAGGACTAGCAGAGGTAGCAGTCAAAACAGTTATTTCTAGAGCAGATTCTGAGCTTGAACAAAGAAATTATGCGCAACAAGCAACGGGTAAGCGTATACGCGTGGACAATGGAAAGAAAGAATTTCTGGGAAGCTGCTTCGACCCCTATGACGCTGTTGCTTCCAGTCCGGCAGAGAAATTGTTCAAAAGTATGGAGAAAGAAAGAAGTTGTGAAAGTCATGTCCAAGGCATGACGCCAAAAGATTGGGGGCAGTTAGCGTCTGCAGACACTTTGAGCACATGTTTGACCGATGGACGACGGCAAGAAAGAGAATCTTTAAAGAGAGATTTAGGAGGATTGAAAAGGAAACCGGATCAGGTGGATGTTGAGGCTGAGTTGGGTTCAGTTAAACCAAAGTTCGGAAAAGAAAAGGATCCTTTTAAGCACACGTGCGACGCCGTATTACCATTTGATAAAGAGAAGCTGTTTATCAAAGACCGGTCTTTAGGAAAGTTGAAGTGTAAAGAGCCAGAGAAAGAGAAGAGAAGAGAGCGACATCACAGCTTCGAGAAAGTAAAGGAGAATGTGCGAGAAAAGGAATCGCACTATATGCAAAAGGCTCCTGAGAAGGAAAAAGATCAAACCAAGCGAGACGAGAAAGGTCTGGGAATAGTAGATGAAAAGAAAGAAGCGCAGCAAGATCGACAAAGGGAGAAGGAGAGTGATGGGGAGAAAAAGAAAGGGAGTGATGAAGGTGAGAAAGGGAAGGGGAGGAAAATAGAAATGATTGGGATAAGGTCGGGAGATATTTCGGGTAGTTGCACTGCTGGGGATAACAAGAAGCATCGGGAGAAGGTGGGAAACGTTGCTGGATTTGAAGGACGACGTAAGCGGAAGAGTGTCGACAAAGATGAGGAACGTGGGAAAGGTGCGGAGGATGCGAAGAAATATTCGAAAGAAAGGGGATGCTCTAGCGAAACAAAGGAGAAAGCGAAACACCATAGCAGAAAAACTGCTGTGGAGGTAAAGGGTAAAGGTCGTGACAAGGATTTCAAGGATAAAGAGAAGCGAAAAAAGCATTCAAGTAGTTGGGATAGAGAGCACAGCGCTGGAAAAAGCACCAAGGAGGTGGAGAACGTTTCTTCTAACGAAGATGAGAGTTTTGGCTGTTTGAAAAACGTAAAAAACAATAATTCCGGTAAAGATGAACTTACGGGTGATACGAACAGTTCCTATCTTCCGTACGATGCAATGCAAAAAACTGATCGAGGTAACAGTACTTCATTAACTCCCCTCATCTCTGAAGGAATATATTCCCTTTCCTGCATTTAAATTTATTAATCTTTGATAGGTATGTTGGGTACAAAAATCTCCGGACATATATGGATATTTTTGGTTCAGTTCAGGGCGCTTACATAAGCCTATATGTTCACTAAAACCTATCTGTGTTGGATAATCGGACTCATGAGAACTACCATGCTTTTTATGAGTCTAAAAAAAGTTCGTAATTGAAGTTTTTAGGTGTACAGAGTGTTAATTGATATCACATGGGTTTAGTTTGTCGTCGTTAGGTATAATAGATTTACTAGTTTGGAAAAAAGGTATAGCCTTAGGAATTGGAAAGTGGTGGAGCGGAAAATTGGCGCTTTTTCGTACCCTGGAAATCTTTTAGTACTAGTTGCGAACTTTGGAGGGGGTCCTGTACATCCACAAAGCTCTTGTCTAGAATTCCCTGGTTGGAATTCTCAGACTGGTCTCATAAATGTGCCGGTATCGTTTGATGATTAAGCATATTTTGATGGATTGGTTCATATTTAGGAAAATTGTAGTTCGTTGTGTTTCTAGTCATATTTGCGAAAGAACAGCTATCAAAGCGATGTAGTGCTGATAGTGATATCTTTGGAAGCAGATCATCGACCGCTGATTCGCTAACGAAATCTTCTGATAAGGTAGTATTTTCAAAACGTTCGAAAGTTCGTGATTTTCAGAAGTGATTGGTAAGACGACTGTTAGTTGGTCAGCCTTTAATTAGAGCTGCAGCAAGAAGGATAAGGGGCATCTAACAGCTTTTTTCTGCAGCGCTGCTACAATAGGCATGAGTTTTTAAGTGAGATCGTATTTGCGATGGATTTGCTTAAAATTAGTAAAATATGAATTGAAGCCAAGAGCGGAATTGGATTTCATGCTTACTGCATTGGTAACTATGATTAATATATCGCTTACAACCGTTTTAAACTGTGCATTTTGTTCATTAAGAAATCAGCCATCTTGGATAGTGATGACTCTTTGGATACTATGTGGATTTGTCCAGAGTGTTCAGTAGCATATGTGGAAGGTGCAACTGATATGGTCGGTTGTGATGCTTGCGACAACTGGTTCCACTGGTTAGTTCTTTTTAATATATATGTTATGAAGATGTTCATTGGCTACTATATGCATAGATCCATCGGTATTTTCTTATTAATTCAGGAATTGTGTGGGTTTATTGGTTGCACCGCCAGATGACGCTCCCTGGTATTGTCAAAACTGTGCGAAAAAGAAGCTTAAGAAAAAAAACGTTTTGAAGAGCTCTACTTCGAAGAAAGGCAAGAAGTGATATGGTTGTGATAATGGATTAATTTTTTATAATATTTTTTTCTAGTTGTGGAGGTCAGCAAATTTAAAAGTTACTTTTCTCTGTTAGTCACTTGACTGCTGTATATGGGTTCAATGAACTGAACAGAGTAGGTTCTATTTATTATTGAGGAATTTGCGTTGCTAGCATATGTCCATATTCCAAAATATCCTTCTAAAGAACACCCTCCCCTATATCATTATCTCTTCTTCAATCTGCATTTCTAGATATTTAGTTGCTTTATGCGCATTTCTAGAAATCCTCAGTGCTTGCATGTATCTTTGAGAATTTGTTGTGCGCAGTTGTATTAATAATGCGATGTCAATGTAAAGCTGGCCTCTTTTCATTTGTTGCGAGTGTTTTTAATATTTGTAATTGTAAAACAATTTTATCTACTAATTATTTGCTCAACGTATTATAAGCATTCTTATATGACTGTTCTTTTGGTACTGGGAAGCACTGTACAACAATGATGAGTTGCAATAAAAAAAGAAAGGCTACAATATCATATTGTGTTCTAGCTTCTCATTTTTATCCTTTTTAAAGAGATGGCTGAAGGAGCTCAGGGCAGTAATTCGGATGTTTCTAAAAACTTAGTCATTCCTCCTTTTCTTTTATTGTTTCTGCATTCATTTGCTACCCTTCTTGGTGTCTTTCCGTTTTATCCTTTTTATGACACACAAATATAAAAATGATTTGTTCAGATGATCAATTCTTGCGCTTGTTTGTTTAAGAATTTAAATGGTGAGGTATGCCATCATTATGTGTGTATGTTTAGTGTCGTGTATTTCTTGTTTGTCTCAATACAGTTTTACATCTTAGCTGCTTAATCCCATATAGATGTTTGCACCCAAGTTGTTGCCTTGTGGCATCAACTTAGTGAAGGAAACGAGCAAATATATCAGATCCAAGTTTTTCAAGCTCAGCATGTGTACATGTACGTTTTTCCTGCAAGACTGTGCTCTCTTAGACGGGAAGGAGAAAGTTATTTGCACTTGTGGATATATTTCTTTGAATCTTAATCAGCGAGGATAGTACTGCTGGATTGTTTAGCTCAGGCTTCTAATCTTGTGAGACTGTGGTTGTCGGGTAAAAGGTTGCCAAAACGTTTGCAAATTCCCACCTCAAGTTATATTTCGGTTGAGAAGCTACTAAAAAAAGGGTGTTACATACTCTTGGGAATCGGTTGGTTGGAGGTATTGGATTGATAGTGAGGGATCTGGGTTTATTATTTTCTAGAGTCTACCATTTAAAATACAAATTTTTTCACTAAATTTATTCCATATTTACTTCTTTTAAGTTTCTTAACTCGGAAGAAGAGTGATGTGACTAAAACAAAACATCGGCACTAACATAATGACAAACTTGTGATGATAAAGTGGAAACACAAATATATCCAGCAAAGACGATCACTATATATACTCAATAAGTTCGAACATTTCACAGTTATCAGGCAATTGTGAAAAATGTTGGACAGTTAAAGTAGTGTGGATATTGCTGGTAAGCGATATTATGCCGCATGCTCAATCATTCAAATTTGCAACTTCGCACTATTTTATCTTCTTTATCGGGAACAGCAAAATTGAAAAACAGCCATGGAGTATTAACTAAGTGATGATAGTATTGAAAATTGTAGCTACGCTTAGAATAGTGCAAAAAATGCAGAGTTAAGAAATTTGGCTAAGAATATCTAAAATTAGTTTTCAGTTTATATGTTTTCAATAATATTTTGGAAACAAGAATAAATATGAGATTGAGAAAAGTGAAATATGATCAGATGAACCTGTATCACAAAGTATCACATCATAAAAGTCAATTTTTGAAAATAGTGCTGATAGTGGATCGTCAACCATTTTTTCAAAAGTCTTGTCACTAATAAGCTGTTCCATGAGAAGTTTTTTCCTTAAAAAAAACTTGAAAATTCTTATCGTTAATTTAATGATGGATGTACTTTCAGCCGTACAAGTCGGATGAGACTTCTTCCTAGGAATGTCATTTCAATTTGCAACGAAATGAACAAATATACATTCCAGATAAACAATACATCCCTAAATTGAGAATGGTTAACGTAATTTCAATTCTGTAATTCCTAGTAAATAGCAATGATGCAACAAACAAAGGTAATCAGATCCCGGCGATGGACGTAGTGTAGTATCATTTGTTCAATTACTTCAATGTGATTTGTTATTTCTTCATTATTAATCAATTACCTGAAATTGATGCTGTTAGGAAAGTGGTAAAATAAATGTTAAAGACTTCAGGATAATGGATGTTAATAACTTTAGAAATGTATGCTAGTCTCTTCTTTCCTTTTTTCCCATATATTTTTGAGAAATATCCATGGATTAGGAGATCAAAATGGTTTACTTATAATAGTTTTGGTTTTTTATAACTTCCAGCAATGGTTTGTGATAAGACCTGAAGGAATGTGTCATTAAGATGGATAAGGAGAATAATGGATATGTCCCGCTAAATGGTTTTCGGCGTTTTTTTTTTCCCTTTTTCTCGCATTCTACCATGTCACAACTCATTTTTGTGTTGTCGGAAGTCGGGAATATAAACAGTGGAAGCCTGTGACTCTACAACAATGTCATTTGATGATATCCTTTTGCTATTGTTAGGTAAGAAATTCGAAATAACTTCAGTTTGGTAAAAGAGAGAAATGATTTGAGATTACTTTAGTTTGATAAAAGAGAGATGATTTGCTTTTGTAGCTTACCGTTTTGGGTAATTTGACAACCATAAGAAACCTGTTAATATTAGTAAAGTGTTTAGTTAGTGCAAAGTACAAGTTAATGTGTCGGGAATGACCAGTAAAGGAAGGGAACGAGTGTCGAGGAGAAAGACCTTTTTGTTAATGGATGTTACATAGCGTCAGTATTGTTCAGGTAAGCCAAAGGAATAGGTGAAGGAAGGCGGGCAGTAATTGCAGATGGTTACAAGGTCACTACCGGGTTTCCACCCACCAGCACTTTATTAACGATTCAAAAATTCAGAAACATACATAACGAGGCATATAACATTTTAGTCTCGAGAGCAACACAATGCTCCAAATTGTACCTATTCTCCTTTTAGCTTCATTGGCTCCATTTGGTATTTCTAATATTATTAAAAAAGTTAGTCTGTCTCGTATTCTTAATTTATTTCTCAATTCTGGTAAGAGTGACCAATGGCTAAATAATCTTACGCAACTTAAAATCAGGCGTGATGCCCTCTGACTAGCCCTGTAATTGCAATAGAAATTAGCTTAAATTATGAAAAAAATTGCTTTCTCTAGGCTCTTTATTGAACAGTTTTAATTCCAAGATGAAAAGAGGATAAAAACAAAATTGAAGACAAAGTATTATGTTTCAATTGCTTATCGAATATTATTTAAACTATTTTTGCCTAAGGGAAATGTCAATAATCTGTTGAATGAATGGATCGTTTTCTCAAAACCTTTCCTATCACAATAAAAAGAGCAAAACTTTGAACAGAACTTGCGTATTGTTGTTCAATAATACTTCTTTAAACATTTATCAACAGAACAAATCATTTTTTTTAAAAGAAAAAAACCAAACTTCTTCAAACATCAGGTATTAAAAGAAAATGAATTGCAGGAGAATTACAGGACAATTGACATAATCATGCAAAAATACAAAGCACTTGGAGCATCAGAAATAGATGAAGTGAAAAATGAACGATACGATTTCCGGTGAAAAATATTTTCGTGATTTTATCTTGTCTGTCTATATTATTGTTATCAAAACTAAATACTGACATTAATCATACTACACCTTTAGTGTTTATGCAATTTTCATCAATTAAATTGAAATTTTTTAAAAAAATCATGAAAAAGGCATGTTCACATCTATTTCATACAATGATCACTTAATAATTCACGATTTTATCTCGAAATAATTGGATTTAATCTCGAACTCATTCGGGCAATATATTTGCAAGCTTTTAATGACAATGATTGCTTATTACAGGTTTTGCGTTTGTGAGGATGAAACTGCAGAACCGGAAAGAAATAACGGTTGTAGCTGTTCGACAGTTGTTAGCGGTCAGACAACGCATAACTCGATACCACAAGCGCTGTACTCCTCTAGCTGCGTTCATAATCCCCAGTACAACAAATGTCTTGTGGCCCAAGTGACAGCTAATACCATTCAGGCATTATTCTTGTACCCTTAGTTTCAATTCGTCTTTTTCTACATCAAATTTTTGAAAAATCACAATTATTTTTTTGCAGAATCTGTTATACATACAAATTAAAATTGGCTCGCATCATTTGACAGATCCGCCGTATCAGTCAATTACAAATTCCAGATTCAAAAACACCGCTTTATTGTCGTGCTCCAAGGATACTAACTGCCGGAACTGCATTCCTTGCAAAAACGGATTCATCCAGTACATGCAATTCATAATTGCACTTTATTTTTAGCCATATTTTCCAATGCATAATATAAGTATCAATAAAAATCAATTTTATTGTTGTATATGCTTAGTACTTTTATATATTTAGGCTCAACTATATCTGTTTATCCGGTGTCTCACTAGCTGATTCAAAGCAAACATACTTGCCAGCCATTGTACAACCTGTCAGGACGGAACGATGGCCATCCAAATCATCCAAATCATTCAAAAAATTGTCCTTCATTGAAATAAACATGAAGGAACTTAATAGTGTAAGTTAAAAAAAAATAAATTTTTTAATAGATTGAGAATATTGTGAACCCTTTAGTGGATAGAAGTCCTTCTTGAATAGAAATTGGCCGAGAGAGAGAGAGAGAGAGAGCTATTTCTTAGAAATTCTTTAGAGTTAGTTGTATCATTTATTACAGTATTAATACTTGACTTAAAAAAGCTTTCGTTTCTTAACTTAGTGCTACGATTACTGTTTTTGTCAAAAACAGCTGTTTTAATTACATGGCTCTTATCCGTAAAATTTTTGCCAGATAAGTTATATCCTAATGATGATGGAAAGATTTTATCGTAAACATTCCCAAGCCAGCTACTTGCTAATAACTACTTCGATTCTTGCCTAATTTATCATTCAACGCCTTCGTTCAACAATTAGCGCTATGAGAATAATGACATTAATACAATGATGGCTTTAAAAGTTTAAGATGAAATATTCCGGTCCTATGCTTCGAATTTCTTGAAAATTTTTATGCCTAACAAAAATGGTTTAGTAGTCCTAATACTTTTATAAAAGCTTAGAAAATAAAACGGATAAGCAAGTAGGTACTACAAGCAAGAATTATTTGTAAAAGAGTACAATGTACTAAAGTAAATAACTGCATTGAATTTTGGCTTGTAGTTATGTCCGTAAAACAAAAAAAAAAGAACTAGCAAAAAGGTTGTTGAGGTCAAGTTAGAAGAAAGGAAATCATAATGATCTTTCTCTATCAAACAACATTTTGTAATGTTTAATGTATTGTAACGGAAAGACTGAAACTTCAGGAGGCTAAAAGATTCCCTTATCAATTATTATCTAATCTATATCTTCAGCGCGTATATCATGTTTTGTTTTTGCACTTCTTATCTACCTTATGTCCATTTCAATGTGAAGTGATAGATTGTTGATATCATTTCTAAACAAACTTTATTTTATTCAGATTGCGAAAATCAAGGAATACTTACTACAAAGCGCGAAAAAGCATCATTTATTACCTTCTCATTTCAATATTGCTTTCTACAAGGATGTTGTAAGGTTTTCTTATTTTTAATGGCAGCTATTAATAGTAGCATAATTTATCTTTTTCAACAAATATATCTGCACGTGTAAATACACCTTTGTGTTGACGTCTGTATGTGGTAGCTATATTAATACTTTTTTTTCAACTTTTTCAAATTTTATGATGCGCAAAAAGAATGGTAATGGTCTATGGTTTTGTGTGAGAAGTTTGCTCTGCAAATACCCGTTAACTTTTGTTAGAAGTAACGAGAATAAGTGTTGTAAAGCGGCGGTAACAGTGGTACACCATTTCTTTTTTTTTCAAACAAACCGAAAGTTAAAAACTAATAGTTTGCAAAGTACATAACTGGTAAATCGGAAATGGCGTGCTTCGATTGAAAAGATTATTAGTATGAACAGTCAGTGTCTTATAGTATGAACACATTACTACTTCTATTCCTATGCACACCTGCACACCTGTGCGTATGTATGTGCGCATGGGTAAGTGCTTTGAAGTGAAATGTAATGACAGTAGGATGATAAAGTACAGGAAATGCTTGTGCACAGCTGCCCCGGAAAATGCGTTGAATTTGCGTATTCTGTCGTCATTGTCCGTTTCACTCCGCTAATTGGAAGTGTAACTCCTAAATGATGGGTGGGTGGAAGGTAAAGGTCTTATTAATTTCCTTGGAATGTTGATAGAAAAATGGATGCTTATTCAAACTTTTATAGTTATTTCCTAGAACTGGACGTTTCGATAAAATATATAGCCCAATAAATATAAAAAAGTAATGGTAATAGAAAGGTGAAATCTTAAACGAGTACATATTATTCAGAAGACTTTCCTTTTAATCTTTAAAGAAGTCCTCTTCCAAGTATCATCATTTCATTCACCTTTTTCCCGACTCCCGGATATCGGACTGAAAGTGTCAAATTATTCCAGTCAACAATTACTAGACTTCGTTAACGACTGAGCTTTTTTATTTTGTCATGGGTTTTTTTTAAAGCAACAAATTATTGTTCCTTCTTAGCTTCATAAATCCCAATTGAGTACAATGATATTCTAATTGATGCAAAGTATTTCTTCATTCCTTGCAGCTCGTTACTCGGCATAATGATTATCGTAGCAAACACGGTGTCGGGTTGCTCACAGCCAGCAGCGAACTTGAACGAATAGCTGAAGTATGGGCACAACATTTAGCTAGTAAAGCAGACTGTCTGATACACGACCCATCAAAAAGGTTATTTTAATGCAGAACTATTCTTATTCTCCTTTACTTGAAATATATACGATGGATTTTTCTCCTATGGTCAAAATTGAACACAATCTTGTGAAATATAATTCTAATAACTGATAGGTTTGGAGAAAACTTATTCTACTACGCAACGGATTTATTACCAGACGAAGAAACAATGGCATTGATGACAGTACAAAGCTTCTATCTCGAAGCATATGGATATAATTACAAAACGTCAGTTACTATAAAACTGTATTCTGAGATAAAATTCAGTCATCTAGTGCATCATGCTTTTTTTAATACAACTAACTGCAAACTGAAATTTCTAGTATCGACGGGCCAATTTTTAAGCCATTTAATTTAATCTTAAGCCTCCTTACATTATTGTTGGTTCAGATTTGCTGTGTACGTCAATTTAATCCCCGGACTAGCGATATTGCACTCACTGCACGAGTGGCACTCGTTTCATACTACTATTGCTTATGGCTCATCATACATCAACATTTTTTTGATACAGATATGCCACATGCAAAGTGTCTATAATACATTACCATCATGATGTATTATGGATACCTCAAATATAGAGTGACATGTAAACATTGAATCTAGAGTGGATTAGAGTGGATTTAAATACAAGGCAACATGGTTGTTGCCGATGATTGAAAGTATACATGCCATTCTTTCATCGGGAAGAACAACAGTGTTCTTCCCAATGAAAGAAAACATTCTCCCTTCCCACGTTTTCGGAAATCAAAATTGATTTGAGTAGTAGTCAAATTTTTCAACAACATGATGGAATAGAATTTGCACCGGATAAACCGACTCTGAATATTGCAAAGATCTCAATCAGCACCCACATTCGGTTGAATTTTTATTGTTTCCATTCCTGTTTGTTGAAGTTCTTCCGATCAAAAAAACCAAAAATTCAGTCTTACCATCTTCCTCTAGTCTAACTTTACGCTCTTGATCGCCTGAAAAAAAAAAGCGTTCCAAAACGTTCAAAGGTGTAAGATGATGTAACACAGATCCTGCACTTTCATTTGACAAATGCGAATGAATTAACTGTAATTTGCACCAGCGGTATGTACGCATTGCTCAGAAATAGAAAAATTACTAACAAGCTGTCGATTATTAATATGTAATCTTAAAGACTATGTTCAAGCAAAGTATAATTCATTTCTTCACTAGATACATACAGTTTCATAATTACGAACAATCCAGAAATCAAATTGACAGGCGTAGTATGTCCAGCCGTACTTCGATGTTGTCTAATCACTTCCATTCTTACGTCGCAATAAGATGTCAATATAAGAATAATCGTAGAAAAGAATTAAATGATGGGAACGCAAGTTTCGATTTTATAGTTTTAGCCATAGAATTCAACAGCTAGCAATTACTTCTTTCAGGCATCATCATTTGGATTATCATCGCACTGGACACTTTACTCAACTTGTATGGAAGTCTACAACACAAATGGGTGTTGGCGTAGCAATGCGACACTTCAATGGACGCCGCGCTAACAAATGTCAGCCTGATTTCCCATCTACACTGATTTATGTCGTTGTTAAATATGATCCACCCGGAAATGTACTTGACAAGAAAAATTATGACGACAATGTCTTGCCACTCATACAGTAAGACAGCTAAATTCCTTCCAGGATTTTAACTTCGCTACTGTGGTCACCCTTCTTCATAAGCAATATATCTGAATTGCAAAACAAATTTAATCATTCTCATTTTGAAAAAACTACATGTCTGCATGACTATGATATAATCGACTTTGATACTGGGTAACCTCGGTGGAAGGAACTATTTTTTTGTTGAAAAATCGCAAGATTAAATAGCGCTCATCCTAACATTTATTACTGTTTCAGCGGCTATAAATTTGAACTCATTTACTCTTGTTATTTTAGCGGTTATAAGTCTGAACTTGTTGTGCAAGAGCTGATAATGATCTCAATAGTTTGTTTAATAAAAATATTGCTCAAAAAACATGATGTTAATTCACTAAGTATGCATTTTAGGAAAAGCATTTGACAAAAAGCTTGAAGTGCACTCACAAAACAAGCGATTCATTAAAATATAAATGTACAGAATCCATCAAAATATAAAATGTCTCCTCCGATGAGAATTCCATATCGATCGTAAATTAAGCGATTTGAACTGCCGACAACTTGCACAGTTCGCAGAAAGATACTGGTGTCCTATTTCATTGCTTACACAAATTTGACGAGAAAATTTTTATTACTCCCTCCATATAAATTTAGATCCGATCATTTTGGATTTCAATACAGTGAAGCTTCTGAATCTATTTATGCAAAAGATTTCAAAAACTGAACAGCCATTTTTATTTTGGTAGAAGTCACGGTTGTTTTCCTTCGTGCAAAGTGATAAACTACCTTTATTATTTAGGCCATGCTTGATGTTAGTATAATGTAAACACTGACTTCAATTGCAATCATTAATAAAATCAGATTTTACTGTTTGCTGGTAGCTGGAATTTTAAATTTATCAAGATTAAACCGCGAAAATTCACCCATCTCAGGAGAATGAACGGAAGGAAGCAAGAAATTCCGCAACGGATAGTACATAAAAGATTCTTTACTGTTTAGTTTAAACGCTACTGAAGTTGTGGCACATGCAAGAAAGGTGTCTATTTAGCGGCTTCCGAAGGAAGGCTACATGTTAGTCCTCCGAGATTTCCCAGACTTGCCCTCCCCACGTTCATATATCCATAGCTTCCGCATTTCATCTGGCTGGTATTTTGCGGCTCGTTAAAGTTTCTGGTAAAATTTCTTGCAAATGGAAGTATATGTTTTTTGACAAGTCTGAATTTGTGTAAAAGATTTATGGGTTGAGTGAGTGTACCTTTCTTAGGTAAGTTAGCCTGGTAGTGGATGGCAGGGTAGGAATAGAAAGGGACTACATGATCGGATAACAAATAATTTAAAACCGCTCTAGCTTAATGGTCACAAAAAGAAATAACGAGAGTCAAGAATGAGTAAGTGAAAGAAGATGGGTTATTTTGATAGTATGAAACTAAGTTGACAACATTCACAATTTTTGCACCCAATTTTAGAAATAAAAATTGTAGGATACATGTGAATTATTCTCTGGATTCAAATCGTCATGCAGATTACTGCTTAAAAGGCAGGAAAATGATCGAGGATGAGTCAACATTTGTCTATACACAGTCTTTCCCATATCTTACTATTTGAATTAATTTATTACATCATCCTGCAAAGAAGCCAAGCCGTACGAATTGTTGGTACTTGGAGCTCCCGCAATAGTCGATTCTCAATCCTTGCTAAATTTGGCTTCCAGCAGATAGATCCATTGGATGCGGAGCATAGTCGTGGGTTTGTTTATGGAAATATATCGTCACATATAGTTAATGGAGGTAATTCTCATTTTATTTTTTAAAAGATTTACTGCACTTCAAACGATTAAAATTCTTTCAAGATATTATATTTGTTTAACTGTTTAATTTTTACGACTGTAGCACGAGGGATATTGCTGATTGTACCGAGAACACTTATCAATGGATTTCTTGATAAAACAGCCCACGAACAGTCATGCGACTTTTTGCTACAGGTATTTCAAAAATGCTTGATAGAAAATTTTGTTTCTCTTCTTTGTGGAGTTTAGTGGACTGCATGATTTTCAACCTTTTATGTTGACGATGGATTTTGCAGTTTTCTCTCTTTTCCCATACGTCTACAAGTATATAACCATGCGAAATTTTAGAAAAAGTTTTTGATTCTTTGAAATGTTCTTTCAGTTTCACAGCTCTCGTACAGTCAATTCATTAACTTTTTAGGATTGTGCATTTCATCCTTGAATTTTGCACTTTTATTCAGAATTGGCATTTCGAAAAGAGTCAAGTAAAAAAAGGACGTTTTTTCATTACTTTCAGAATATCAGTTCACTTGCGTTTGAAACGAAATGCCTTCCGAATGGTAAAGGCGATGTGATGAGGTGGATTCCATGTCCAAAAGGAAAATTGTGTGTTGAGGAAGATATTCCTGGAAAGGTTTCAGTTTACTATGTGCTTCTTTATTTTCTAATTGGTTCTATGTAGCATTCTACGCATTGGTACTGCAGTACTAAACTTTATTCTGCAAATGTTTTGTTTTATATATTATAATTTTTTAAAAAATAAGTTAGACCTAAAAGTATTTAACTGAAAGTGAATTGAAATTGACATTCCCAGAGCGAGTAAGGCATATATAATAGCTTCCTAGTTCAATCATAACAAAAAACTTAATAAGTAGCGTGGTTCACATTGCTCTTTAGGTAATAAATGGTTCACAATTGACTCTAAGGATAGAGGAACCATCAACTCCTCAATATTGGTATGTGATGATGGCTGCCTGTTATTTGGATTCTTCCTGTCTGTGGAAATCCTCAGTTAAGGAGATTATTGTACATTATGATTTGTGGCTTACAAACGGAAGTCCTCTTATGCGCTATTTGAATCCATTTGGCCATCAGTTCAGCTTCGAAGAGCAAGTATGCTTCAATTTTTTTTTTCAAAATGAATAAAATTATATTTCGGTTTTAAAATCGGTAAACGAATCGGTAAAAAAAATCGGTAAAAAAATAAACTGAAAATCATAAATGATTTTCAGTTTATTTTTTTTTCTCTCGAAGAGAATTATTTCTTGTTAATATGATCATTTGCAGAATTCTGCTGAGATATACATACTTTTGTTTATATTATATATAGTGGTTGGATTTTGTCAGTGGCGTTCTGTGGTATTATGCAACTCTGCATCGGTTTTACCGCGCCATCAGCTTCTTAGCTGTATTATTGTACTGAAAGCGTTTGGTCTAGCTTTGCACTGCTTAAATGTTATCACATTCTCTTTTGATGGCCAGGCAAGCTTCAAGCTTATTTAAACACAAGTTTTTCAGATAACATCATTTGGTAATATATTTTTGTTATAGGGAACGTTATTTGCTCGTCTTCTTGGTGAAATTGCTCGCTTGATGTCGACGTGCCTTCTTTGCTTACTGCTCATATTACTTAGCTGTGGTTGGTCATTCGGCAGCAGTAGTAAAATTTTACTACATCCAAAAGTTGTTATTGTCTGGGGGCTTCTTACATCTGCTCATTTCGTGCTCTTTTTTATCAATTTTGTATGTTTTTATATCATTTTCAAAATATTTGAATATTTTCCTTTCCAGATTAACTTTCTTATGCTTAGGATCGTTTTCTCTACTTTCTATTTTTATTCCTAACTTTTTACATATATGATTTGTTGAAAAATATGCAGTTTTTTGTTGACGACGTACTACAAGATATCGACATATTTAAATCTTGGCCAGGCTACGCGATGATTATGATTCGCATGCTGCAAACGCTCTGGTTCTTGGTGCAAATTCGCTGCTTGATAAATGAGTCAGTTTCATTTAATGGCTTCAAAATGGCATTAGAGAATGACCGTCATAATTTTCATCGATCTAAATTGCAGAGAGAGTGATGAGCAGAAGGCAGTCTTCTTGGCGCATTTCGGTGCTGGTTTTCTCGTATGGTTTGTTTATATCTTAGGTCTTGGGATTATTGCTTCTTTTGTATCTGCTTTGTGGAGATTTAAAATCATCCTTGGTAAGCTGCAATTTTATCTGTCCCTTATTATCCAACTTTTATTTTAATTTTTTTGTCATATATCTGTTTGTAAATAAAGTTACTTCAGTGTTATCATTACTATTGCTTTTTTCAGCCATAACAACAACGGCAAATTTTGCGGCAATTGCGTGCCTAGTGCATTTATTTTGGCCTACTAGTTCGAACCGACATTATTTTTTGGCGGATATCACGTAAGCATTCTTATTTTTTTTCAGTATTTTCATATTGCGTTCAAAAATTTATTGGGTTTTGAAGATAATACCAACTCGTAGAATACTGGTTAGTTTTATTATTGATGCATTTTTTACAACTTAATTATATTTAGATCCCACAGACGGTTTGTTCTGGCCAATGATAATGAAGGCGAGGATTTTGAGAATCTGCTGATTAGTGATAGTGCTGATGCTGATACGAATAGTCTTGTTAGTAGCATATTAGAAAATATCTGAGATTCATTCATAATGATGGCGCATCATTGACATATAATTTTATGACTCAATGCCTTATTTATTTCTGGCAGTTTGGAAAGTCCGAATATTTGTCTTGGGAATACGGGATTACTTTGTTCACCTAGAACAAATCTTACTATAATACCTCCTTGTTATTCGGTGTTGCCTTTATAATGTTTATCTTTGCTGTTGGTACTCGTATTTTGATTTTTTAGAGAAGTTGTGGTGGGACTTTTCTCACCAAAAAAACATTTCATCAAGGACGGGTAAAAGATGATACAGACGTGTTTAATTTCTCTTCTCCACATATTGTTTCATTTGTTTTGAAAGTTTTTGGGTTGTTTTCTGTGAAATATCTTCTTTCCTAACTTATTTTTTGGTATTTCACTTATTTCATATATTATCATTTAAATTAATTGCAGTAAGTTTCGAATAACAAAATATAATTAACCAGAAATACAACTTTACGCGAATTATCATTATTACATTACAACGAGGTGAGGCTAATTATGTGTTACCCGTTTCAGTTATCAATGCAAATAGCCACATTTCTAGGCTTTCCTTGCTTTTTTTAGAAGCTTGGCTGATCGTCTCATCCTTTTTTAAATGTGTTTCTGTTTTATCCATTCAAATGAATGGGAAAAAAATCGATTGGCATAGAGTAAGAGCAGGCAAATGTTAACATTAGAAACTGATCAGCTCCTTCTGTACTTTCAAACGAGTGTTGCAGTTTGAGGATATTTGAGGAACATAATTTTCCGAAATTAATTGCAACGATTGGTGTCACCGATATTACAAAGGGGAAACGTTAAGAATTGTTCTTTTCTTTCTTGATGACATTAAATTAGTATAGGTTATTCATTCAATAAGTTTAATTTTGTATTAACTGGATCCACAGAGCAGCTATGAAATATAAAAAGGGGTCCCAATCATTCACTTGTTTCCTTCTCTTCGTTCGGAATTGCGCATTCTAATATTTGTCTCTGTAGTAGGTTATTTGCAAACAGATAAGAAATCCTTTTCTGCGGAATATTTTTCTCGTTTAGTACCCCCAACTGTTTCATATCTAATTTTGAATAAAAACTGGCGAAAGTGCAGTTATTTAAAGTTCAATTTCCCAAGGGAATTCGTATAGTATTCAGCTTTCAACTTTTCGCCGCAATTACTTTTCGAAAATGATGGTGCCAATTGAATTTAACAAATTCGTAGTTCAGTGAATTTGGTTTTGAGAAACATCGGGGATTGTTGCAGATGAACTACCGTAAGAATGTTTTCTTGCTTCTAAGCTGTCGCCTGTAATTTCATTTTTGTAACCTTTTATTCTGTTTTAAAAACTAAACAATAACAGAAAAAAAGGGAAGAAAAAGGGATGAAGCGATCAGTGGAAACAGCTGTCTTGCATTTCATCGGATTCATTTTCTATTTTCATGATGTCAAGGAATTATTCGCAATCTCATTTGACATTGCTAACATTCCAAATTATATGCTTAAGAAATCTTAGAAAAAAGGCTGCAGACGACGAGAATATTTGCTTTCTTAATACTTTGTAATTGAACCAAAAAGATTCGCAAAATTGTGGAATAGGACTACCCGGACATTAAGATTGCTAACGTCAGGACTATCAAATAAACCAAGTCTATCTTCCTGTCTGCGTAGATGTCATTCCCAATGAGCATCATAATAATGATCTTTAAATTTCTTCGATTAATTCATTACTGCTTAAGAACATACTATTTAGACTACCGGTCTGATCTTATCTTAGATAATGGATGGATATGATTGTGTTGATGGAATCAGTGACTGTTTTGGATGGAGGTTTTAAATGGTAAAATATGAAAAGATGATGTTGAGACACTTAACTATGTTACCTTTGTAATCATTTGAAAATTTTATGATGAGTGTGATAAAATGACTAATTTCTTTAGGAGAAACAAGGTTGTAGAAGATAAGTAAAGAGGTAAGAAAAATGCGAACAGTTAATGGCAATGTGAAAATAGACTATTAATTTTTTGGCCTGTTAAAGCTACAACCTCCAAACATGGAAAAAATTTCGTGAGAATCCCGAACAACATGTCTTGTGAAAAGAACAGGTCATTTAGAAATGCATTTATGGAGTTCAACTTAATTTTGACTGCAAGAGCTATTATCATTGTGTAATTGGATTCTGATCATTGCATTTCGATTTCATTGCACCTGGAAATAGCAAACATGAGCACTTACTGCTATTAATTACGATTTTATTGTATGACTAAATCCGAAGCATCACGAGAGGTATTTCCGGTAACAAACACTACACAAATTAAGAGAAATAGCATCTGTTTATCTGTAAAAACTGGACAGTCTCAACAAAAACCAGTAATAACGCATTGAAGAAATTAGTGTAATAGTTGACATTGATATGTGATAGTACCACATGCGTGTAAAACTTGCCATAAATTTTTATTATATTGCTAAAATTCTTTTGATTTATTTTTTTAAGTTATAGCTCATACAAATTCTTGTTCAAATCCATCCAACATTATATGCTTTTCTGTTCATCAGTTTCCAGATAATAACTAGCCATACGTATATATAAGTGTTATGAAAGACTTAAATATTTCCATTAGATCTACCTGATATAAGACTCTTAGGTAGTTTTGGAAAACCGCATGTTGGTGTACCAAAATTATCGAGTATATTGACGCTATTGAACTATCATTTTGTACCAAAATCAAGGCTTAAGTTTATGAAAGTAATAACTTTAGATTGTCAATATATTCGAATAGTATTATAAAACACATGCTTAAGTCTTTTTCCAACAAAAAATTCTTTTGAAGAAAAGGTTATTGATAAATATTTTTGTTCAAACAAAAATTAAATCAATGATTCGTAGTTAAATTACCAGCAATTTTTATTTTCATAAGAAATTTTTTGATATACAGTTGAATGTTATCTATGAAAGCATTTTACGAAGGCAGCATTTCTCTCCACTGATAAAACACTATAGTTGCTGATAAATATAATCGGATTATTTACTGATAAAAATTTTATATTGTTTTTCCTTTTTTTTATTATTAAAGTTTTCACCCATTATGTAGTAGGGATAAAACAAAGTAATTTATTATTGGAATAGAATGGAAAAGTTAGTCGTAGAATGTGGTAATTGATAATTTAGTAATGTTTATGTGAAGCGATTCAGTACACTCTCCCTTTTTATCATTTATATGAATGTTGGCTAAAGAGCAACGGATGTGCACAAAATTGTGGTAAGCACTGATTTTGATTCCATGCTATTCGATTTATAAGCGGACTGAATCCCATAATGTCGTTTGTCAAAAAATTTACACCACAAACGATTTGATTTGATATATTAATCTGAAAAGTGTTATTTTTATGTACAAATTTTCGATAAAAAATAATTGAAATCATATTTTTAAATGTCGATAAATTAGACAGCATATTTTAAATAATCTCTTCATTTTATATCATATATGTCAAATGATATCTACATCTTTTCCAAACTCTACTTCCAACAAAGAATACTTCAAAAGACAAATATAAAAAAATATCACATCCTCAAAGATCATTTATGAAATTGTATGCACTTGGAAAAATAGTGAATGTCAAAATGTAATTATATTAATTACATTATTATCCATAGCTGTTCGACTCCAACTGCATCTTATTTTCTGGCCGTTTATCTCTTTTCCGTTCATTGACATAATAGCTCGAACGGCAGCTTCCTTACTCAAATATCGCACGAACGCATATCCTTGATGCTTGAATAATCGCATTTCTATCACGGTAGCAATTGCGGAAAACGATTGCATAAGTTCTTCATCTGCATTTATTTATAGATCACATAAGAATTTTTTAGAACCGTCCAGTTCTCAGAACTGATATATCTTTCATGATTTTTCTATAGTATAATATATAAGCCTATATCTTTTAATACCGTATTCTGAACTATATGAGATTATCCATCACATTATTGCATCTTAAACTTTGCATTGAGGTCTACATAATCTTCTATTAAAAGAAAATAATAAAACTGGACCTGCTTCAAGCTATAGACAGAGGAGGAAACAAGTTTTCTAAGAAGCAAATCAGTAAGAAGCGAGCAAAAAGTATGAAACAGGTTCTCCTCTTTCCATTTATTCCGTTCATTACATATCTTCTTTTCTTGCTGAAGGCGCAAAGGAAAGAAGGATTGGAATGAACGGATTCATCTTTTCAGCAAATTCTCTATTTGAAGATTGTATAGAGGATTACAGGAATAGAACTTCCTTTCTGCCAAATCCTTAAACTCTCGTGTACGGATACAATCGACCACAAATTTCAAGAGGAAATCTTGTATACTTATCTCACCATGAAAAAAATGCACATCTCCCAAAATCTAGATTAAGGACATACTATTTACAAGATGCACCAATAAAGTAGTGGCTTTTAAAATTCAGTTTCTTAATCTTTTCTGCATCAAGCTACGATCAAAGAAGAACGATAGGCCCGAAGACCTTCCCTTTGCTAAATCATATAATTTTCAACTTCTTGGATGGAATAGGGATTCCTTGCCATTACTTTAAACAGTCAGCGATGCCACATGTCAGATAATATATATATAAATTCAATCTACACAATTTGCAACACATTGGAAGATGTCCAGCACAGCAAAGTTTACCCGTGGTAGCAGGTGAGATGCCGCCTACATAAACGGATGTGTTGGCAGCATGGGTTGCGTTGAATATATTATCGTATGTAGGTGGTTTCGTGACATTCTCTTCGCCTCCATCAAATCTGCGCACTGCCCAGTTCGTACGTATTTGTCGTCGTCCGATCATCTGTCCGTTCATTTTTTCGATCGCCTTCTCCGCGCTCTGAAAATAGAAGCACTTTTTTGGATAAAACACTGCAACAGATCAATTATTAGACCAGTACTTCTTTGCAATCAATGAAGTGAAAGAGTTTGCTGGTGGCGAAAGGCTGCATTATTTCCAAGTTGTTGCGTCGATCACTTTATATTTAAGTAGACCATTTTTGCAGACTTCTGTAGTAAATGGCAAAAATTTCTCTTAATCAAGTTAGAAAACGCAAGAGATGGGATGAACTTACCTTTTTAAGAGGGAATGAAACGAAGCCATAACCTCTCGATTTTAATGTTTGAGGGTCTCTGATCACTTTGGCTTCACTGAAACATGATATAGGATGAGCTCTTAATATCAGAAAACAACATTTACAAGACTTGTAAGATAGGGAATCTAGAGTATGTAATAGCTGCTGGAAATTCCACTCGGGGAAAACAAGTGATGACAATGATGATGATGTATGTATGCACACAATAATGCAAATCCCTTTTATAGTGAGAGAAGTGAAGTGTTCGGAAAATTTTGCAATCAACGATAGTAAACGTTGGTAAGAGGAAAAGCTCACGACGAGGATGTAAAGAGGTAAATTGTAAGGGAGTCTGAAAACTGACGAGATTTCTCCAAAGCTTTCAAAGGCGGCTTTCAACGTGCAATTATCTACTTCGGTAGCCAAGTCGCCAACAAATACGTGGAAACTCTCTGAAATAAATCAAGACTGAATTATTTTCGTCCCATTGTTAGTCCGATTTTACCCGATCAGAGGTGATTATCAACTTTCCTCTTTCTTTTTTAATCAAATATTTCAATTTTTCACATAATTCTATGATTTTAATCAAAATTCAATAATTCAGTCTCAGACATACTGCTCATGTCCACTTTTGGTGATTGACTTCCTGGACACACACTTGCTCTCGTTTTCTGTAAACATATCACTGCCAATACTGTTTATAAGTACTTTCTTTCAATGAAATCTAGCTTGAATATCTTATTGCAGTATGAAAGTAATATCTGAAAACCACATATTGGGTATTTCAATAATGTGGTTTGAATCACTAAATATCTAGTAAGTAGATACGGGTACACGAAGTTGTTTGATGATGATACCATAAATCTGTTTCTGACCTCTTAAATACCAGATTTTATAGGCATGGAGTTGTGTCATCAAAAGAAAATAAGTGCCTTGAAGGATCGAATAACTTTGTCAAATATTTTAAATCAAAATAATTTTTCTGCTAAACAAAAGAAACTTTTGAACATACGGCGATGGATTGCTGATGTGGATTATAGTATAAAGCTCCTGCTGGAGAAGATGAAGTTGACTGGGGGAGGAGGAATATTGGTACGCCTTCGAATATATTCGTAACTGGTGGAAGCATTGGTACTGGTTGACTATACTGATTGGTTAAACTCATGAACTGTGGCAGTGGCTGACATCCAGAATTAAACATTACCACCGAAGTGGAACAGATTGGTGATGAAGTATTTCTGGTCAAATGGTTCGATGCCACTGCTGAAGTTGCGCTAAGTAAATTTAATTGATGAGTTGTTAATACCGAATTATTTATCTGTGATAATGCTGTCGTTGTCATGTTTCTTTCACCAAATGATTAGTATATGTTGAATTTAAATCTTCTGATATCAACGCTGAATGTTGCTGTGAAAATCAATAGCTGCAGTCATTTGCTGGATGTGAACACTTCAAGTTTATTTCTTGTTCCAGAATCCTTCTTTGAGAGTTCTTTCTGAAATAAACAAGTTTTAGAAGTTTTCAGAAAAAAATTCAAATATCCAATCATAAGTTTAAGTGCTTTGCTTTCTCTCGAATTGATATTTCGGTAGTAGAAATACGCTTTTTGAAATGTGTTAAAAAAATTATCCGCAAACATTTCGTACCTTACATCAAATGAAACTACCATTTTTTTTAATGGAGAAATTGTCTTAACATTCTTTGATTGATGGACGGAATAAAATTCCGTAAAATTTTTTTACATTTCCATTTTCCAACAATGTTAAAATAATAAATAATAATAATAATAATATATATATATATTAAAAAAAATAATATATATATATTATTGAAGAATTCCTGAAGTTAGTGGTCACACTCTTATAAAGCATTCGTTAAAAGAAAATGAAAGAAAAAACAACCAATATTCTTGAAAGTTAAAAATGATTCCACAGAATTTATATATTCAAAAAGATAAGAAAAAATATAGTAAAAATGATCAGAAATGCAGTGTAACAATGAGATTAATCATGGAAAGAAGACAATAGTGTATGTATTCGTAACGGTTGTGATACTGAGATATGTGATATGTAAGGAATGTCATTACAACAGCAGATCGTTTTTCTAAAACATCGATTGTTGAAAACCCAACAGTTATTGCTTATGTGGAGAGAATTTATCGCATTTAAACTACGATTACACATCGATGCTTAGCTGTTTTATTTCTAACAGTTATTTCTAACAGGCATTCACTTCCAGATTCAATAACACTTTGATGGAAAGTCTCGAACATGGAATTCTTAGATTTTTCTCGATCATTCATTTTCATGAAATCAATTCATTTTCTGAATATGTTTCACAAAATGTGAACATCTTCATTCTCTCGTTTCATCATCTATATTTCACCGAAAATGCCAATGAAAGACGAAGATTTTCTAGTCCTTTAGGTATTATCAGCATACTTTTCATCCCTGCTTTACCTGGTTTACCATGTCGTAAATTTTATGTGTTGAAATTAAAAAATGCCTCAAAGTTCAATACAGCTGATAGCTTATCGTAATGCAACGGCAGATCATCAATCGACGCAATGTGCTATCTTGAAAACTGTACTTTAGCGGTTTACATAATTATGACCCTTTTTAATCTTTGTTGAGCGAAGTTGTAACGTGACTGGCGTTTGAATTTTACCCTTTTCTTACCTGTTATTTAAATTCGATGAGTTAGAAAGTGATGGAAATATGTAATTAATACTCTTGAACACTAACTTTACTCAAAAAATTAACACTAAATATTTATCTATTTGCTTAATTCTGGCCGACTTTGACGACATGATAGCGAATACGATGAAAAAATTGTAAAGATAACAGATGAAATGTTGAGGTAGAGTACGGGCTACAATCCATAATAAAATAATATTTAGTCGTATAATGCATATATGATAATGAGCTTCTTAAGAGTACAAGTTCAATAATCATGGAAGCATCATAAATGTTAGTTTTGTGGTTATCAGTCTACGATGACACAACAATTGTGTCTTGTCAATGATTTTCTCAATAAACCGTATTTTCCTAAAAATTTTGACTGAATGGTGCCTCCATCATCATTTCGTCCTCCTTTTTCAGATATCACCAGTTTTGGTTTTGGCATCAATTGATCGTTTCAACTTGGTTATAAAAAATAATTTCAATTGGTTATAAAAATTATTTTCTGTCTGTATGATTTGCAGCGGAGTGCAATTTGCATGATGAAAATAAAGTGATAGGAAGTGTTTGTTAACTATTCCCGGATATAATTCTTAAACTGAATAACTAAGTGGTTGTTTCGAACTACAAGAAAAATTCCAGGTGAAGTTACTCTTGTTACTGGGTGATCACATAATGAAATCATTACTTTTCAAGCGTTTAAAATATTTTGGTTGTGCAAGTTGTCACAGAAAGGAAATAGTGATGGCGGACTATTCATAATTAATCAGTCCTATTTGACGTAATAATAATTCAGAATATTATCTAGTAATGAAAAATATTGTGGAAGAAGTAAACAGACGACAATAAAAATGTTGGAATCAATGATGACTTAAAGTCATCCGATATTGAAATCTTTATGAAATTGTAATTAAGACAGGGAAACAACTAAATAATTTCAGGAACAAATAAAATTTGTTTAACTAAATTTTTGAAAGAAATGCAACTAAAAGTAGAATAAGACGGTCGAGAAGTAGTAATTAATGACCCTTGAAATTTATATCAAATAAAGAAAAAGAATAATATCGGGAACAGAGAGATACAAAGATGAACGGACATTTTTGGAGCAGGTAAAATAGATACCGAAAGGGTTAGTAATGGGTACAAAGATGTAATCGGAGAAATATATTTCTTGTCGTTTATTTTTAAAGCCAATTAGAATTTTCATTGTCGACCAATTAACCAGCAGTCATTTGGCTGAACAATCTACTTCTTTGATGTCTCATCACACAATTCATACAACTACTATCGTCTGTTATTCTTCTTTACCTCTTCTCCTGTTATCATTACTATCTCTGCGTTTACCATCAATCCCAGTAATTCATCACCAATGTTTATTACAAACACTATTAGTGACGAGATTATCATCGCCTATAATTGTTACACACCCAGCCTACTCTTCTATCTATTTTGTATGAAACAAGTAAAATAGCATATTAGTTGAGCATTTGCATAGCAATGAACTTCTAATACTACAGTTTTACAATAAGTATAAAATTTCGATCAAAATTAAAATTCCAGGAAACCAAGACTTCAACTGTAAATTGATATCGAAATGTGAAACGACTTGCAGTAGTTCATGGATATATTTTGGAATGAGAAAGTAATAACTATTGAATTAATGCATCCACTGATTTTCAGCTTGATCATAAAAAAAACTCGAGCAGTGCAATGTGTGCGCAGCTTGTTACACTCATTTATAGTCATGATTTCGTTCCGCAACCGGGCCCTCCGTCGAATTCCATGAAATCCATTTGTACTGTCACATTTACAAAAAGTGGAACAGTTTAAATCATATCATGTTAGCAAGACAGAATGAAGAGGATTATTAAACATTTACAGTAAAACCACCCTTCCACCCCATTCAGTTCCGCCTTCATCTGTTCAGGTTTGTATGCAAAACTTATCTATCCTCCATTTCTTCTCCTTTGCTCATTTCAGTAAGTATCTCATATTAGTCTGCCACGAGATAAACTTTATCCTTACTTTAATGTACTGAACAACCTTACCTGCCATAGTCGGTCTTGCCTAACTCAAACTGAGCAATCTTTTCAAATATGAAATAAATGAAAAAGGTAAAAAAATCACCAAGCTTTATTCACTTTGGTAAATCACAGTCCTGAATCAACAACAAACAACACAGATAAAGTCTCTCTCAAAAAAAAAAACAGAATCAAAATAACAAAAAAAGTGAAGAGCGCACGCAACAGTCCTTAAACAATGCAGTGAACCAGAAAAAGAAATGAGGTCTTTAACAGGCCTGCTGATAAACCTTAGACCAATGATTCACTTAAATTACCATCCCATATATTCTCTAACTATACAGTTCAAAGAACTAATAGAGCTGAAGTGGGAAGCGTCCTTCACTCAAGGAAAACAAATCAGGCACACTGCATAACAAAATTATACTGCTCACAGAACTGAACAAAGAACATTTCATTGCAACAAATCATTGTGAACGGATTATTTATTATATTATTGGCGTCTTTAAAAACAAAAACAGATGGATAATATGTATTTATGGGATTTTTAATAAACTGCAATATTTTATGAAAGTACAAGCACGTGCGCTTAAAAAAATAAACTGCTTAATATAGGTACAAATCACTGAATGTAATGTGAAACATAATAAAATGGAATTATTTCCTTGTCACTTTTAAAAATGAAATACAAACCACTAAAAACAGCCCATGATACTATGATATGAACAGAAATAAAGAATAGAAAATAACTTAGTTGTAGTATTGAGCGACAAAGGCGTTAAAAAGATACAAGGAGAACCAATGAGCAGAAAGAAAAATAACATTCACAAAGAATGGCCCATCAAAATCAGATCATCAGCAACACCCGCTTCCTGAAATTCAAAAGCGTCATTATACATAATAATGAGAAGATATTAACTTTGTTCCTAAAATGCACTTTATATGGGAGGGATTTAGGACTTGATAAAACAGTTTTATTATCACCTGAAAAAAACGATATAAATAGGGGAAAATTAAGCAAACCTACCTTCAAAGTAATCAGGCCTATTCTTGAGCATAAGTTGATTTTTTCGTTGTCAGATGAATCCAGCACCATGAAAAATCCGGAGGATCCTATAAGAATCAAACAAAAGATTTTGTAAAGTTTCCTTCAATGAAAAAGAAACTAGGGTTACGGAAAAACATAAATTTTTGAGCATCTGAAAATACGACAATGAAGAACAAAGAAAACCAGTTTGAGAAACTGAAGGAAGAATATAGTGATTACCAAAATCCTCATCAGATATAATGAAAACTGGAATATGCAACTAACAGCAATGTACCCTAAATTTACCTAAAGATAATATCAATGTTAAGACGAATATTTCATCAAACAAGAACATTTCTTCGAATTTTTTCAATATCTTTTAAAAGTCATCTAAATATTGTTTTAAATGAACGTTTGGAGTTCTCTAATATACATAAACTTGTCATAAGCTCACCATTATAAGATAAGGCGATAGCTGTTATGCATACCAGCCTACGAAAAATCACGGCATCTTGTGATAAGTCGTGACATCTTACATCAATCTACAACTTTATACAAAATTTTCCCAAAATATTCTGAAATGATCCATGAATGATTTTGAACACAAATGCTTTAATAACAAATTATCACATAAAATGAACATATCAGTAACAACCTGACTCGGAAATTGCTCGTAGAAATAGTCGGAAAGACTAGGTGGTCCCCATTCGGCAATATCTTGATGTAGACGCTGCCACTTAAAGAAAAAAAAAAGTATTGTCGAAAGCTAAATTTATCTAACCTTCAAATATGATAACAAAATCATAACCAAAATCTACAGGAAAAGCTCATACACAGAAATCTAATTGGTATTGCATTTCTTTTTGCAGCTTCACTCACCCACTAAAAACAAAAATGTCGAATGAATGAAGGTTCAAGCAGTAGCACCAACAATTTAAAAAAGTCTTTTTTTATCCAAGAGGAGGAATGTGGAGGCGTGAAGCCACGACCAAAACGGAATTCCAATGTAATTAGTCTACTAAGCTTTACCTGACGTTCAATTTCTTCACTGCAAGATATAGATTGTCCTTTCTCCGCTTCAGCATATGCCTTGTATTTGGAACGCATCTTTGGGATATACTGATTTCGGAGCTAAAAATACATTGTGGGTTTACAATTGCACAACATCATTTCCTGTGTAGTAAAGCACTTTCAGACTTATACTGCAGGGATAAATTACACTGCTATTCATTGCGAAATGAAAAGAGCAGAGAATTTACGTATATTTCAGCAAATCTTATACCTATGACTCTACAAACCTTTTCAGCAAACTGTTTTGCATCAAGTGCTGCACATATCATACCAATGACTTGTCGTGGATTTCCCACAGAGTCATCTTCAACTGCAACGAAGCAAGTCCGGGGCATTGCAAAACTAATATAAGCACCAATGTACCTTGAAAAAGCCACCTTCAAATGGAGTCAAGTCAGATCTTCATCGAAAGTTTAAGCAAATGTAAAAATGGATACATGTGACACTTAATCTTTTCATATAATTTGAAACTATATATACATGTGTTAAAAAGAATTGCCATTTGAGCAAGTACTAAATCTACAGACTTCTAAGTGAACAAAAGTTTGTAAGCAAAGAAAGACTAGGAAACACCTTAAAAGCAGTTCAAGGACTCTGACCAAGAATTTAAGACAGATATGCTGAATTCAAGATGCTTTTGATTGCATTATGCTAAACTTAACATATGGTTCCTATCCTTCGTCTACGAGAATAACTTACTTGTCAAAAAAACGTTCATCTTTAATTTCCCCTAGAATTCCCACGCTCGAAGCATATTCATTTTCAGATTTCCACATGTATCGGACATTTTTCTAGAACAAAATGTAATTTAAATTCAGCAACTTTAATAACTACAAATTTTGTCATTCCTAAAACAAAGAAAATGTAATATGAAGTGAAGAGTAAAAGTGGGACAGTTCAGAACGTTGGCCATAATTTTAGGGAATAAAATTTTACTTCTTCTATTTGAAAACATAAATTGTCACAGTTTGAACAAAACTTCTTGATAAAATCAAATAATTAAAACAACCACAACAATCTACAGAACAAAACAAAAAAAATATAAGGCAGCAACGAGAAACAAGACAACCAACAAATTTAATGAACTTGTTCTTTTTCAAGAAAAAAAATAAAAGGTAGAGACACAAACCGTATCTTCATCTACGTAAGGCCTAACTGTATAGCAGTTTAAAGAAAGCGGCAGCACTGTCTTTAGCAAGAATAAGTCCGCTAAATTAGCACTCGAACACAGAAGCTTCTGTAAATCTGCCAAGAAACCGCCAGATAAAGTCCACGGCTCAACATCCGGAATACCAACCCGCCAAAAACAATCACAATCTAAAGACATCAAAATAATTACATGGTTGAAAAATTTCGGTATAAATTATAACATGATAAAAACTACAGTTAATAAAAGACGTACCAGCAGGTGCAATATTCAGATGTCCACCAGCCATCCAAAGAACAAGTGCTTCCAGAATAGAAGCCATACCTTGAGCGTCATAAACGTATTGAAATAGTTCCTGCACAACGTTCTGCAAGTAACACTTATAGTACACTTATACATTTATATGTTCATGTTTTATAAGTATTTTATTAATGGTAGACTTTCATATTTTGAAACGATTCTATACATACCAACAAAAACAAAATCTATGGTATTCCCTTCTAGAACTAGTGCATGAATAAGTATGAGGGATGAACTCGAAATTCAGTTCAATAAAAATCCAGATCATAATTATTGATTAGAATTCAAAAAGCATTCCTTTATGCGAAGGGACATTTAAATAATAATGCGTTAAAAACTATTTTTACTTTCTCTTAGTTTTATAAAAATCGGGAACACAACTTAGTTAACAATAAAAATAATGGCATACACGATTAGGAAGCTGAGTGATATGTTGATAAAGTCTCGTTACATCACGTAATAGTTTGACAAAGTCCTCGCATCTTCGTTTCCATTCGTCACTCACAAATTCCTGTACTTTCTATAACTTATATAAATAAGAAATTAAAGTAGCATTAACTCACCGAGCAAATTTCAGACTGCATTTGTTACATTTGTGACGATTTCATTCTATATATTCTTAACGAATATATAGAATGAATATTTGGGTAGTTATGTCACAGATCCACTTCATCTTACCAAACATGCAGTTGGATAAAAACAGATGCCTATGAGCTTTTAAATCACACTCCTTTTTTATAAATCTTAGCTCGAAGGACCCAATCTTAACTAACACAGCAGAAAATAAAACACTGTCAACCGTGAAATTATTAAAAGAACAGCAAAAAATTTAACAACCTGGTCATCAATGCCGCTATCACTACTTCTTCTCATTACATATGAGTTCTCGTGAAGCCAAGAAAATTCCTGCAGCATTTGAATACCACGACGGCCATGTTCAAAGGGCAAATAAAACATATCGACAAAGATTGCTACCTGATCCACTCCAGTTATACTGCAACAACTATACGTCAATACAATTCATTTTTTATGCGTTACTTCATTTTTTTTAAAACTGCTGCATAGAATATATTAGCATATATAAACGGCGTCTAGTAATTCGTTAGCTACCAGTATAGTAGAAAAGAGCAAAAGAAATAAAGCAGAGTTCGAAATACTTTGTTTCCAAATCGGAATGAACACTACTGTCCATACTGATATCCGACGAAACTTCCAGCATTTCCTGAATATTTCCTCTGCTTTGATCTGATGCCTCCAATAACGGCTTTGTATCGTCCTAAAAATTGATCAACGACACTTGTGAAATATGAAGTAAAATCAAAACATATCTCTGAAAGAGATCAAAAAATGTCAAGAAACCTTGGTAGCCGACATCAGATCCATTGGCTCGCTATATTCAGAACACATTGAGTTCACTGGCTGTATTACAGAGTTGTTCTAAATAAAAACAAGTCAGTGTAAAACTTGAATTAATCACACACAATTCATCAATCATGAAGACAAAGTTTATAAAACATGCAGCTGACTTATCTCTACAACTATGGCATTACACTCAATTTTTTAACATTACAACAATTTTTCAAATGAGAACCAGTGGTTACGTAATTCTGTAGTTAGAACTACCTCAGCGTTGAAATAAACAATTGCTGTCTGATTATCAATACTGTCCGGACCATTCAGTTCTCGAGTAACCAGAGAAGTAGAGCTTGTTGACGGTTTCAATTCGTTGAGTTCGTCAGCTCCAGCTACTTTAATAGAAAAAGATCTGAAACATTTTGAAAGTAAAGAAGTTGTAAACATTCCAAAGCTGGTTTTACTGAAATAAAATGTGATGTGAACAAATTTGAGCGAAAATATTAACTTACGAATGAGAATTTGTTGATAACTCGGCATTAAAGTATTCAATCCATTTCTTGATGCCTTCATCTAGAGCTTTTAGTGGATGATATAATCGTTTCGGTGAAGCATTCTCAACGATATGTGTTGCAACAGGAACTACATCACCTGCCTCTAGTATAGCATCTGATTCCGCTTCTGAAAGGAATTAAAGGCTGCATAAAGTGGAAGGAAAAATATAAAACCATTGACTTAATGATTTTTGAGATCTTTGCTTAAGTTTTGCATGACCTCATTTAAATCTCCAAACTTCTGCTATAAACGAAAAAAATTCTTTAACGTTCTAGAATACATTGAAAAAGTGTGAAATGCATTTAAAGCTATAAGTTATAGTATTTCAAAATACATGGATGTCGGCTAACAGTAACAGACAACTCACTCCTTCAGAAAAACTGTACCTTACCAATACAATCTCCAAATGATCAAAAATAAGCATTTTGGCGATACCTTCCAAAACATCAGCATCTGCATGACACTTATTCCATTCCGCTAATGTATAGAACGGCAAGAAATTAGCCTCATAACGACAATTTGGATTCAGCAAAATTCCTGCGATCTCATCTTTCAGTCGTACGGGCCTATAAAATTTTTTATAAATAATTTCAGCACAACACAACACAAAATATCTTCTTTAAAACATTACAAATACACACCTTCCTGCAAATGGACCCAGAAAAACCCGTTTAGGATCATAATCATTGGCATGCAAATTATCCCAAACCACCGGTTTTCTCTGTAGCACTGCGGCAACACGTCGAATGTGCTCGATCGTAATTTCACGGGACACCACTCGAGGCCCTGAAATATACCTATTTAATTTATTGATCCTCCATCAGATTATTTCTCAGTATCAAAATCTCACGTAAAATTATAATGAAGTTTCAACTTTAAAAAGACTGGTATAATTTCGAAAATGACAAGTTCTCAAATGTAGTTTCAATATACAATGCAAAACACACCTGTCCATAGAATATGTATATCAGCAACTAGTTTTTTACCCAGCGTAAGTAAATAATCCGATTCCTCCAGTGATGGATTCGCTCGTGACTCGCAGTATTCTAGAAAAGAAATTAATCTATGGAAGGGCATATTGCAGTGAAACCGTAATGATAAGAACAGCAACGCCTTCGAAAAAGTGATCTCAAATAAGTCAGAAAAGTGTTAAATAACTGGCTAACATGTGTAAAGCAAAACTTGGTATAGGGTCACCTGTAGGACAAAAGAAGAAATGAGGACACTTCAAAAATTCGTATAGAGAATTAGCAACAGTTAACTGGGCCATAACAATAGTCGAAAACTGCTTTTTATCTGCATCATTCAATGTTATATCAATATCATCAAACAGTAGCGCAAATGCATCACATCCTAAACAGCGTACCTAGAAAACGAGACCATAAGAGAAAGATGACCAGTTGAATATGATATAAAGACTCTGTTTTTCGAATTTATTTCAGAAACCGTCATTTAATGTTAGTCTTTCCAATAAACAAGAATTTACGGTTAACCTTTCCTGTCTCACAAAAATGATGTAAACCATAACCAACCTGCTCAGATTTATCATGCAGAGCTTTGATTTCTTTTTCACTTGAATAAATAATATCAATTCCAGGAGATAACGCGTATACGAATGTAACATTCTCCATCCTTGCTGTTTGGATCAAAGATTGCAGTAACTCTGCAAGTAAACAAACCTACTATTCCCATTCTAAATTATTCCCCGCTATTATTGATTTATAAACCACCAACCTACTTCATCGGAATTGTACAACTGCCTCCATTCAGCTCTATGCTTCAGGTCGTCTTTTGGTGCGTAAATGTAAGTGTTCATTCCCAGACGTTTCATCCTGGCAAATAAATCTTTCCGCTGATCAGCTGTCCATGGTCGTCCATAGAATCCTGTTTTAAAATTGCCTTTTTTAATAGCCAAATATCGCTAATTAAAACTAAAACGTAATATTGTATATATCTTGCATTCTAACTTTTTTGGTACCTTCAACTATACCACACAAGAACTGTGCTGCACGGCGTTCTTTCTCAGCTTTTGTTTTAGAGCGCGTCTGCATAGTATAACACCGAGAACATCCAATACAGCGCACCGAACAACACCTCGGATATGCTGAAATTGATTGCTTGCATTGCATTTAAGCTCTCCTTACAACACACTAATTACAGAACACGATGTTCATTTACTTACTACAGCTATCATAATGCTTGTACATCGTAGCACAACAACCTTCAATATTGCATAACTGTACGATGTCAACTACATCAACACTTCCACCTTAAGAAACAAAAAATACCAATGAAATCAAAATTAGGGATGTGAAGCACCGATAAAGTGGTATAGTAATGTGATGCCTGAATGGATACGTTCACTCTACAATCCTGAATGCAACTTGTATCATTAGGATAGAAAAAGTAATCGACGACATTGTGCAAAGAATCCAGTAGAAACTAGAGTCCACTACGGAATGATATGATATGATGCCTATCTAAGCCTAACGTCATATTTTTATACGCTGTAATGCATGCTTCAAAAGAACACGGAAAATTTCAATGTCCATTCTATGTCGAAAATAGTGATGATCCTTGTTCCACTGAATTGCTTCCATTCATCTCATCTTTTCTTTCTTTCTCTCTTCCGTCTTCTTCTCTTCCTAATTCTAGAAATATTGAACTATGCTTTTCACAGAATTCAAATATATCAGGAACTAACATAACTGTGACTTATACACGAAAGAACATCAATGGACAATAGCAACAGCAACATATGCCAAATTGGCAAACCGTATTCAAGCCCATTTCGTGAATTTCTGATAAGTTGTTCTGCATGAAGTGCAAATGTTTGAATTTATGGGCAGCATGAACTAATCAACTAATTTTCATTCATTTGCTCATTTTTCTCACTACCCTTTCCCATTTCTTTGTTCATATCAGCCTATCGTAAATAATAACATTGGTCAATTCTACAGATGTTTTCTTGAAGATATAATCAGGCTGTTGCTCTAACTTAATCAAACTTTATCCGATCCCACCTATTTATTTGCTCAGTAGTGATCACCCGACTATGCTTCTTTTAGAAAAGAACTTCAGGTGTACATTAATTCTATGAATTCAGTCTTCCTGCCAACGGTTAAGATATACTCTTTATATGCTTTTCCGACGAAAATGCCTAAAGCCTTATAGTTTGCACATATTAGGTAACAGATTGATCCAGAAATGCGATATTTTGTGAAAGCTTCTCACGCAAATGTTATTTTACAAAAAATAGATTTTTTTGTCATTTCTTTCTACAATGCTAAGACGCACACATGCGGAAGGATTTGAGTAGCATCATCAGGCTTCATACGCTCGATTCCGATGTAGTGGCTATGAATGAGTTTTGTTAATAATCAAATTTTCAAGGTTATGGAGTTATCGGAGGCAATAGAACGGCCGCGTGTAGATAATGTATTCCTACGAAAAGGTCCTCGACAACCACAGCTAGGTTCGCTTGCTCTCATTGGACATCATATGATTTTTTCATCGTCTTCCAGTTCATCAAACTCTCCGAATGGAAAGGAACATAGCAATGAACTTTGGGTATCTTTAATTGATTTAGTAAAAGAATAACAATTTGGATTTCATGCGTCACTAACTTAATAGGTTTTCAATCAGATGGTATTAATATGAGTAGCTATACCTCCTCTCTCCTCTCCCTTCCTCCCTCCTTTCTTTGCCTATATTTATGGTTCAGTTGTATATTAAGACTTTTTGAGCCTAAACACAGGGATTGCTCCTAAACCCGATTTAAGTTTCCAGACGTATTTTTTTAGCAGTACGTTAAATTCAGAAGATGTACAACACTACTATCAGAAGTCCTTTTTGGATCGGACTTTCATTTGATAAACTGTTAGTGCTGTTGGGTTAGTGTTCCTGAAGATTATGCAAAAATGATGAAAGAGAAGCAGTGGTTTCAGCTTCTTCATCGTGCAGTGGACCGTGTCGTTGTGGAACAAATCGTTAAAGATAGCCTAAGTCGTAGTGGAAAGCTGATTTTGAAGTGCAAGAACTTCATGATCTGTATTTTTGAAATCGATGATTTGGACGATTGTCTGGCTGTTGCACGTTCTATCGAAAAACTGTCTAATTTAAGCAAGTTATTATTACTATTATTACATTGTTGTTATGTGTTTGTTATGTATTATTGATTACTCATCGTTATCATTGATCACTGTTTATTATTATCAGTTATTACTCAGTGCTGAAAGATGCATAATGAGTAGCTCTGAAAAAATGGTATGATAACTGTGTCGAAAGTTTTATTGTAATATGTGTAGTTTCTGATATTTAACCATACTATTCTACAGTGATGAATAGATTTTTACTTTTCAGAAGGAATACAACACGACTATCCATTTTATTACCGATGTCCTTTCACTGTACTAGATGATGGATGGACTGCTTTTGATGCTGAACAAGAGTATGCGAAGTTAATGATACGTTGCAAAGATGGATGGCGTGTAAGTGCTGTCAACAAGGGCTTTCGGGTATGATATCTCTTCTTCTGCTTAAAATTATCAGTCTCTTATTGATATGAATAAAAATCATACTTGTTATATCTTCCCCGGCCCAGTTGAGGTGCAGTCGAGATAAGCAAACCTATGGTATATTTGCACATGGCAACTTTGTGTGGAAGTTTTCTGATTACTAAATTCGAAATATGTAGAAGCTATTAATAAAAGTAAATAAAGTAACGAAAAGAAGGTAGTAGCCGAGAACTTCATTTTGGTACTTTTACGATCAACAAATAACCATAAATATACATGAATAGACTATTGAGTAGTTCTGAAATGTCTACAAAAATGTGCTGGTCGGTTTTTTTACATAGTTTTTTTTTTTAAATAGGTGTGTAATACGTATCCTGAAATGGTAATTGTACCGAAGGGTATTGGTGATGATTATCTTAGAATATCAGCTACTTTTCGAGATGGTGGACGTTTTCCCATACTAAGCTTCTATCATGGAGAAACAAAAGTTTGTTGCATTACCCGTTGGTTTCATAATAGATATTTCCCTCGATACATCTTAGATAAAACACATTATATATAAGGTATTTTATATAAAATGTAAATAATAATATTTGGTATAGTTAAGTGTCTCTTTAAAAAGTAGTAATTATATTTTTCAGTCTTGCCTTATCCGTTGCGGACAACCTCTAGTTGGCCCTACAAATCGGCGGTGTAAAGAAGATGAAACGATTCTGAACTCTTTGTTGTCCTCGACAAGTAAGGGAGTTATTGTGGACACACGCACGAAAGCTCTTGCACAAAGCGCTAAAAATAAAGGTACATCCAGTGGCATATCTTGTTTAACTTTATGTTTGTTGATTGTTTTGCAAAACTTATCGCTACCATCAGAGGATGCAACTTTGCTGTTCAGCCGCTGCATTTTGGGCAAAGGCAGTAGTGAGTGATATAATTCTCCAAATTCTTCCTAAACTATGTTGGTTATGGTTGCAGATATTTCGAAAATTTTATTGAAAAGCTCTGTACATACGAAAATTTATGCAACACAGTGTAGCAGCTTTTTGAGCTATAGAATCCGGCGGTATGAAATTGCATTTTCATCTTTTCTGGCGGCATTTTCAAGAAAATATTTTTGAGACTGGATCAAATAACTTGAAGGAATCAGATATGCTATGCAAATATATTACAATCTGCAAATATTTATTTTTGGATGTTAAGTTTGGAACTACTTATTTTTTCTCGTTAAAGGTGGCGGATGTGAATCGCAGATGTTTTATTCGCAGTGGAAATATATGTATGGAGGCACTCCACGAATCAAAGAAATTCATGATGCATTGGCCAAATTAGTTGAATGTGAGTTTCGTAATGACTTCTCTATTGCCAACGTGTTTCATTTAAAAACTTTAAACTCATATCTGATTCGGTTCTATTACAACACTATCTTAGTATTTGGCGTTGTTATCCTACATATATATACTGTTATTCTTATATTTAGTGCTTCACATTCCACATGCAGTGAGTTATTCATTTTTTTCTACGGATAATTAAACGTGAATAATTCACGTTAATTATCCGTAGAAAAAAAGCAAAGAAATTTATTATGGCTGTTTATGCAGTTCCTCTCTCTTGTTTTTAAACAGCATTCGATTTTCTCTTCCAAAGAATGACCTTATTGCAGTATGTACAGAAACGAATATCAGTGTTGACCGTTGGATATCTCGTCTTGGTTCTTGCGGCTGGCTGCAGTTTGTTTCTGATATGCTAACTTGTGCAGCAACAGTGGCCCAGTGCGTACATTGTGAAGGTAGTTCAGGTTTGTTATCCCCACTTTTTTTATTTTCTCATATGTTTAATCAACTTCCGCAATAAATATGCTATTACAAAAAACTAGTAAGATGTTTGTTTTATTGAACGGATGAATTAATATCCACATATTCGTAGAGTTATAACCAGCAACTCTTCAAAAATGATGCATATTCCTCAATCTGACAATTTAAGTCGAAGCATCATCCTTTCATTGTTTGTGAATTTAGTAAAAAAAACTGTTATAATATCTCTTACGCATTCCTTTAAAGATTATCAAATTCTCAAGATAATTTATTTCTTTAACTTTTCTGAAGGATTTGCCAAATAATTCTACGAGCTAGTTTAATAGGACTATTTTTTATTATTTTTTCTTTTCTGTTCCAATTTTGATGAGTTGGTAACTCATCTATAGAGAACGTTTGACTGCAATAAACTTTATTTTGCAGTTAACGAACCGAATGATTTGGTTTGTTTGGTAATTGGGCATATTGCTTTTCTATCATAATGTAGTAAAAAAAGTCCCTATACGTTTTTGCACGCTAGTTGTTTTTTTGAACGGCTATGTTTTAGATCCTTTGATTATGAAACATATTTTCCACAAACAGGGTAAACAAAAGAGTTAAAATTATTCGGATATCGTTGTGCGATTTTGGGAAAGGTGGAAAGTTTGATTGATCTCAGTTTATACGAACTATAAATCTGACTCAGCAGCATCAGTCTGCATTGAGCTTGATAAGCACATAAAACTGGTTTACCAATTAATGTTCTGTAACAGTACGTTTTTATGTGATCATTTTGCCTAGCTATTTCTGCGAAATTCTGATTTCTTGGTTTTTAAATTAAAATTCGCACTTTCTTTTGATAAGTTATGCTCAAACCAAGTTGTTTTCAGAAGTTCCAGTAGTGGTGCATGGTGCTGAAGGAACCGATTCAACTCTTTTGGTAACATCATTGGCACAGCTTTTACTAGATTCTGATTCTCGCACTATTCGAGGGTGAGTTAAATTATCTCCTAATGTTAATTCGGGAATTGTTTTGTGGAAGTTTGTTTAGATAAATGTTTTTCCAGTTTCGAATCTTTGATTGAGCGAGAATGGATTTGTGCTGGGCATCCTTTCACCTATCGGTGCGCCCATTCAGCCTTTGCTACTGGTGGTATCACAGGACCATATGAATCTCCCATGTTTCTTTGCTTCTTAGATTGTGTTTGGCAGGTCAGTCAGAAGTTATACTATGCGTTTAAATGCTCTGAATTTTCACTGACCATTTTATTGCGCACTATTTAAAGGTGTGCCAGCAGTTCCCGTGTTCATTTGAATTTACCGAGGAATTCCTCATACTTTTGTTCGAACATGCTTATGCTTCCGAATTTGGATCTTTCCTCGGTAACTTTCAAGTCGTATTTTACCCAACTGTGTAAAGTGTTTAATTAAATATCGGTTTTTGAAATATTGCTTTAATTTACTGGAGTACACATATTAAACTTCATTTATAGTGGTACATCAGAGCAATTTTATAGCTTTATTCCATTGAAAAAGTTTAATGGTATATATAATTTTAGCATGATCGTTTAACTTATTTCTTTAGGGAACAGCGAAAAAGAAAAGGCACAATTTGAAGTTAAGACGCGAACAGTGTCGCTTTGGTCGTACGTGAATAACCCTGAAATATTGCGTGCCTATGTGAACGCTTTGTATGAACCCAATCCAGCGGTGTTGTGGCCCTGCGTTGCTCCACAAAGCATAGTGAGCCTTGTATTTCATGCATTTTGTCTGATGCGCTGTTTGGTAATTTAGTGTTTTTGAACTTTCAGATATTTTGGGAGCGTCTGTTTTTGCGATGGATTCGTGATTGGAAGCAAATGGATGGCATAAAGCAGACTGTGATGCAATGGAAAGTACGTGAAAAGGAATTGCAATCAAAAGTGCTGATAATGCGCAGGTTTTGTTCATCATTCTTTTTTCATTCTGCTGTGGCACTTTTAGGATGCTAAATTCCTTCATTTTGTTTAAAGTTAATTTCTTCAGATTTATTCGGCTCATAGTGACAATCTCTGTAATGAAATTGCTTTCAGACAACTTATGGAGCTGTCGAAGGACATACAACTCACTAGCGCAGTACACTGATGTGTTAACTCTTTTTATGTCGTCACATTCTTATGTGTTATGAACATTTACCGCGGAAAACATGCATTTGCTTGTAACGAGAGTGAATCTCTTGAATTAATAATAAGGCTTAGCTATCCACAAACCGATCTGCAAGCAGTGGATTAGGTCTGCTCCATCATTTTTGTTATTTTGATCATCGCAGTTGCACGCATTTTTGTTTTTATTTTATGTTTAAAGATTTTGTTCCCAGGTCTCCAATTTTTGGAGATAGTTAAACGAGCCAGAAATTCGTCGAATCACTCCAGTGACTCTATTTGGATGCAAACACACTTTGAGCAAAGCTATGATTGGACGATCCCTCTCTAATTGATAGCTAACTTCAAAATTATCACTTGATGGTAATAGCTCATCCTATCTGAAGTTTGCAGTCAGCCTTGCCAACTACTTAAACTACTTTTCCTTCTTATCTGATTCTTTTAAAAGCTTCTAACATGTTGTATGAAAATGATTTTAAAAAATTTCTTTGATCTCAGTCGATGTTTCTCTGCGCTTTGTTTTCTCATATTTTTTTTTGGGAACGTTCTTGATAGACATGAACAAAATAGCAGGTTTTGAAAGCCTGAGGTGAGTGGTGTACCCTGCAAGATGGTTTCACGGATGTTGTTTTGGAGAGATATTTTTTGCATTTTAAAAATCCCAACATTCCGGTGGTTTTTTTTTTCATATGGCTTAGACTGCCCTTATTGATTATTTATTTTTAACTACATATAAATATTGCTTTGTAATCCTTATTCAACTTTAAGGCTGTTTTACTGAAGTGGTATGCAGTACCACACCGGTGATAGTGTCCCTGTTCTAGATTCTGTGTTGTTCAGTAATTTTTTTCTTGCTGACTACATATATTCCTGTAAATTATAAATGATGTAGCTTGTACACATTCGCCATTGCAGCCTTAGTGAACACAAGATAATTTTGAATTCATTGCATGAAGAATTGCAAACCCTTACGTTAAAGGTGAATAAAGTAGAGACTTATATTCATTTCCAACTTTAGAGAAGGCATTCGTGAGGAAAACACTGCGTTGCATGCATTACAGCACCATTTGAAACATTGCTTTTGAGAGCTGCACCATGGAAGCGGAAGTTATTTCATACTTAACTCATCAATTTTCCTTGAAATATTAACGAAGAAGTTCTTCACATCCTTGATAATTTTTTCCTTGTCAATATCATCATACTTCGTCTTCAGCATCTAAACAATCGGTTTTAGTGAACATAGGAAAAAACCTCCACTTTTCATACCTTCTTACAGCATTAACTGAGCTGAAATCCGGTTTGATTGTAAGTGCACTACAGTTTTTATTAATGTAACGACAAAATTTTTACCTTCCATAGTTTCACCATATAGTTGTATAATATCCTGTAGTGTTTGTTCACTTGGCACTGGAAGTCGCATGTCTGAAATCAAAAATTGTTTTGAGATGTAGACCTTATTATGTAAAAAACTTGAAGACAACAAGAGGGTGTCACAGTTATAATCCTCACCAAAACAGGCATGTTCAGCAGTGAAAGGAACAAGGCTGATAAAAAAGTTTACAGTGCTATGCCACCCAGTTCGTCACATCGCAGTTGAATTAATTAAACGACACGCCTGGAAGACGGCAATGTTACAAAGTGCTTTCTTTTCAATCATACGAAAAATGGAGCTTACGTCAGTCGACTCTTCAATATTCGGTGGACTTTGATTTCTTTTTACCAGCGGTTCGGTCCCGTTACAATCACTGTATATCTGTAGAGATGATGAATAATATTTCTGGTTTTCTAAGGCTTCAAGCTTAATTTGAAAATAAATTTATAAATTGAATAGTTATTTTACGAATGCCATAACTGATATTACTCTGGAATGAATATTAATTGAAACAAGTAAGGTTCGCTGCATCTTACTTTAATTTCTTTGTATCCTTTCAACGATTCGCAATCAAATCGTGCATTACCTTCCACGTCAATGGCCTAAATTCATTTTGAATTATTTTCCTCTCAAAACATAAAAATAACATTCAGTTGCTAATGTTAATTTATAATTACCAGAAGGTCCGGGAATAATTCCAAAATGGAATTTTCGTTAGGAAGCTTCTCGATTGCATTATTTGTCAATCCTATCACTACAAAACCCCGTAAACGATCTTTCGGCAGCTCAAGCTGAAATTATCACCACTTGATGCAATATACGGATGAAATTATCAACAGTTGATAATTGTTAAAAAATTGAAGAAAAACTCCTAAACACACAAAACTTCACATATTAAAAAAACATTACTGAAACCTTACTGTAGTTCGACGGCCATTATGGCAATAGATTACTTCGTCGTCTGTATCGCAATGACATTCATCCAAACAAGGGAACACATATCCTTAATTAAATATGACGAAAAAAACATGCTAAAAGTTTTGTTAAGTAAATAAGCAGCATTATGGGAACTGCATGGAGATATGTTATTAATACGATACATTCATCTATTAAATTTAGTAACTATCGGATTAAACACCGTGTGAGACTATCCATTTCTGTATCACACGTATCTAGCTTCCAACAATGCCTTTTTTCCGGAGAAACTTGCCAGCATACGTGATGTACAGCAGTTCCTTCGTTTAACCGTGAAAAGATGACGCTAAGTCACTTTCAGTCGTATGGAATAAAAAATGTCATAGGTGAAATAATTTTGATGGAGCTACTGTATGTACGTGAGTGTATGAGTAAGTAGATTTGCTACCAGAATCCGAAGATAGCTAATCACATATGAGTATGAGAGAGAAACAGCTAATCACATATAAGTATGAGAGAGAAATCAGTTCGATATGATCAAGTGTTGTTTTTAGAACTTACCGTAAATTGTAGATGAAATGATTGAAAGATAAAATGTCGCAAAAAGGGTAAACTTGAGCATTCTGAAACAAGAAATTTGAGTGAAAAACAATGTTACAGCGAAGCAAATTATCATTGATTGAAGGCAACTGGTCGACATTGTTCCACATGTCATTTTACCTGAATCGCACCCTCACCATTGATTTCTTAACACATTTCGAAAAATAAAGAAAAGTGGATGGGAGAACAGAAATTTCTAGAGGCTGAGAAATGGATCATTAAGAATTGAACAGCCGCATTTGTGTGACTCATTCACTTGATCATACATTGTAATGGAGAAACAACAAAATTTTTCAAATGATTTTTTGAATCAAAGATCAACTCCGATTATTGCATCTCTCATTGCAATCCATATGAGATATCCAATTGTAAAGACATGATAATTTCCATTATAAGTCGATAGTTTTCTATCTTTTATTAAATGAAGTATTTAATAAAAAAAATGAACAAAAAGAATAAACAATAAAAGTTTGAAATTTAGTCATAAAAATATCAAAGTACACAGAGGTCATTTATTACTACAATCAATGCATTTTAATCCTCACACATCGTTCTTACACATTTGGAACTAAACTGTAAATAATGAGAAATATGAAAAAGTCTTTAACTGGAAGTGAAAAGTTACATTTTAGTTAATCTAATCGTGCAGTTTGTATGCAGTCTATTTGCAAGCAAGCTGGATAAATTATAGCAAAAATAATTAGGAAAGTTAGCTAATAGCAGCTGCATCACTACAATGAGATAAGGCATCTCTGAACAAATAATCAAAGCAGAGTGGAAGAAGCAATGACATATGATCCAATCTGATTTAATCGAGCATCGAAGAGATCTATAATTAACCCTTCGTTGACTTTGACTTTGAAGCAAGGGAGAGCGAGGAGCAAAAAGAAGCAGACCATAAAAGTTTTTTTGCAATGAAGAATAACAGTGGGAAGGTCAAAAGAAAGGAGACATGTGACCTTTGCAAGTATTTAATGGTTAGCTTAATTAACGGTTAACAACATGTATAATATATAATAGTGATGACTGTGGTGCGTGCATAGTTCTCTCTCCAGAACGATCTAGAGGAGTCCCGCCGGTTTATGATCAATACGGTTTTTTAGCACTGAATTATGCATGCATCGTAATGATTTTTTCATCATGAAATACGAACTGAAATGAATGCATTTCTTGCATAATTTCATGCTTAACATACACTTTGAGCTGAATAACGAAAGCTTACAACAGAATCTTTCTACTTTCTTTGCCCTTAAATCGAAAATAATTGCTATTATTGAAAAGTGCTGTTACTGCTGCTAACAGACTTTCTGTAAGAGACGCTTCTGACTTCGGCTCTATACTGTTCGGGAAGAAAAACGCTTAAACAGTAAAGCACTCCTGCCGAAAATGAATGTTGAGAATTAAGCGCAATGGAATGCTTCCACCCTCTATTCCGTTTTTCATTTCCTTGTCTCTCACTTAGCCCATTACATATGCTCTGTTTATGATTCCCACAAAAAGGCACTAAATGAACCATTTCCCATACAGTACACTATTCGCTATCATGCCTCTTTCATTTATCTCCAAAGTTTATCTGTCTATTCAGAACTATGATATCACTTACAATTACCCGTATCTTTCCCACTAATTTTCTAAACAGTTAATTTATTGTTGCTCATATCATTCATTCTATCTGTTTTATGAATTTATTATTTTGCAAAAAATATGAAGTTTCAATAATGTACCGATTTGTAATTTGAAACGAATTTACAACGTAATATGTAAAGGAAAATGGAAATCGAAAAAAAAGAAAGGGTGCATGCTTTTGTTTTAATTGATGAAAAAGATCAAATTGAATTTTAATCGAATGTTATTGTAATCTAGCTGTTATCATCTAAGTCTTGTTTTCATTATAAGAAGAGTAAGCTAGCGCGGGAAAAATTTTTTGAATTCTTGAAGAGTGAATTATTATGTATCAATCGGATATCACAAGTAAAAGATAAACTGGTCTGAGCGGTCAACCAGTTTGTCTCACTACAAATATAAAATGTTAATTATGTAATATAATAACACTTTGTCTCAAAAAATAAGATGACGAATTCTAAATACTTTTGATAAGAGTCAGCAGATAGAATTAGTTTCATGCTGTAATATCAGCTGATTAACTTCTTCAGGACTGGTGTCCTTTCCATTCCCGTTATTGTTCTGTACTGTTATCGAATGTAAAACCGGTATAGCTCGTGTCGTTTACACATGTATTTATCATTATTTCATAGCAACTTTTATTTTCTTAACATTGTTTGAAAATATCTTCGAATGATTAGGCGTCTGATCGTATATTTTGGATTATTGGATTCACTAAAATTTTCAGCTCACTTACAGCCTTTTCTTCGAATAATGCCAGACGAGGATGGAAAAGAAAGTACAATCTTCACTATCAGATGATTGCATTTTTTCTATTTTCTGTATTATTTATATTTTAGATAAGATATTTCCGAAAATTGTATTCATGGTATGGAATTTAACCCGGTCAGCCGGTGAACAAGAAGACGAAGGATTGAAGGTTATTATCATATGATTAAGAAATAAAGCTAGCAGCAGATCACATTGGGATGCAGAATATCCTTTTTGTATGCTCATAAATATCATAAATACAAATTCCAGGTGCTGCAGAAGTTTTGCAGGAGAAAATACAGACACTCTCTTACGAATGCTTTAATAAGCTCAAAAACTCACAAACGAGAATCCGTGACGGCAGAAGCTCAAAGCGCGGAATCTATTGGTTTGAGTACAAATAATGTTACCAAGGTAATGTTTACCAGAGTAATATTGTTCAATATGTAAAGTGATGTATCATATAAGTACTACTTTTTTTCCTCCGCCACCATTTTATATTCCTGCTCTGCGCTACTTGACCGCTCCATTTAAAACTTTGCTCATACTGATATCACTTTTTTATAGATAATAATGTGATAAAAGGGAGGAATCAATCGAAAAATGCTAATAATACGAAAAGAGATCAAACGCTAAATATAATAAGTAAAACTTCTGAAGTGCAAATGTCAAGCTTCTCTTTGCTCTCGAATGACTTCTGAGCATTGTATCGGTTTCTAAATGCAACAAGGAACAGACATAGAATAAAAATAAATCAGAACAATGTTGATGATCGTCCAGAAGTACTTGCTGAGGATATTTGGAATAAAACCCAATTTAGAAGGGAGTACTTAAAGTTCTTAACGGTTTAAATTTTAGGATGCTATAGATCATGGTGAATACAATATTTATAACGAAGAAAGCAGTCAGCCAAGTGTGTACGATGTCATTGAAGAAATCTTAAGCAATCAAAGCAAGTAAATTGTTTCATTTATATTAAACATATTAAGAGGAATTAAACTATTCAAGATGCACGATGTAAAAGTATGGAACATTATTCAAATTTTGTTTGTACTCTTTAGATGCTATCCTTAGCAGTGATGATATAATGGATATAATTAGCATGGATATAATGCTTATTCAAATGAATTTGTCGTTGTGATGCTAAGAAAGCTAAGATTAGGTCGGTTAAATGCCACTGTAGGTGCAAAGATGAAGTTTTATTCTTGAGAGTGAAAATGTGAGTAGATTTGAAATGTTGGACATTAATGCGGCGACCTTAATTTTGAAGTTCTCTAATGAGAGTTACTTTTTAACTAAAATTGTGCAGACTAAATGTTTCATTCGTTATCGCTTACGAACAGACCAACTCGCTGCCATCCATTCAAGTTGATGTGGTACAATCTTGAATTCAAATTTGGGCGTTGGATAAAATGCGCATTATTGTTGTTAGTGCTAATTGCATATGCACTTTTCGGTGGATTACTTGTTCATCAGTTTGAAGCACCTGCTGAACGTGAGCTGAATGCTCAACTTGACCAAGTAACTTTATTGTCGGTATCAATTGTTGCGTTCCTGTTAATCCTTGTTCTCATCTTCCACTTACAGGGGACCATAGAGCGCCATAAAATTTATGCGAAAAAAATATCAGGATTATTTATGTCGTCACACTGTCAGTCTACTACAGGACACAGTGATGAACAAAATGGTACTAAGGTGAGCTTTATAGAATATTCCTAGCTGGCACAATAATTTCTTCAGTATAACTCCTTGAGAAAATGGGAAAAGGATTTAGTCCGTGAATTGAATCAAGTTAATTAATCAAGTTACTAGCTATCGACTGACAAAATTGTTAGCCAAACAGATAATTGACAGATAACCTAATATCTCCTGTGCCATAAATACTTGTATCATAAGGCTTTTGTCAAAATGAGGAAAAAATTTCAATCGTGCGCTTAGAAATTCCTTTATATCTTGATTTGTCGTTAAGTTGAAATGTGGGCCATTTAATTGGATACTGCAGATAGCACCACTTTTAAAACAGATAACATGTAATAGAAGGCTTGAACTGCTACTAGAGGAGTACGACGAGCTAATAGGCATTTTGGCCTACAAGCGTAATCCCTGGAAATGGGCCGATTATTGGAATGCTGTATTTTATTGTGGCACTATTTTTACCACCATTGGTTTGTTCTTCCGTATTTTTACTCACAAAACCTTATAAAGACTTTCTAAGCGTTATTATCTTCTGAACTCATTTAACTATTAATACTATATTTCGTGCTGTTCTGAAAAGTTATCTCCCAATAAATACTGTTTACGAACTATGAGATCAGCAATACAGTACGACTCGGATTATAAAAATAAATGCAGGATATGGAAATATATGGTGCCGAACCACTAAGGGTCGGGTTTTTACAATTTTATATGCTTTATTGGGTGTGCCGTATATGTTGGTAGTACTGAACGAATTTGGAAAGCTGATTCTTCTGTACGTACGCAATATCTGGTTTTTTATCCGGAAATGTTTCAAGTGCTTTGCACAATTTATTTTGAGGTGAGTTGATTGAAATTTCGGCATAAATTACAGTTCTATATATTCTTTGCTCATACTACAATCGTTTAAGGTGGAGGACAAGAGAATACCAGGTTTCTAACGAAACTCAAATCCAAATGAAAAAAACCCACGAAGCAATAAAAAACAATAATCGTGATAGTAATGAAAACGTTTGTTTCTACTTTTTAATGCATTTTTCTAATCTGGTGTATAACTCGCATCACACTGTTAAAGTGAGGATTTTTTTTTAGGAAGGACATTCAAATACAATAGGATGCCTCATTCTTACTACATTTCCTCGCCCGATTCCTCATTCAACCTACTTTGGCTGTTTATGAATGATTGAAGAATGATGTTTATGTGACAATGTACCATGAAAAGATTGTTTCTTAAGATTATATTTTGAATAAGGGGAAAGCCTGAACTGATAACGATAGTCCTGCTAAATTAGCGTCAATTGTAGCATAATCATTTAAAAAAGGAATAGAGAATCGGAATCGTACGGAAATTAACTCACCCATTTCATTTAATAAAGATAATTGAAATAAATGGATATAAAAATATAATTGAAAATATTAATTGAAATAAATGGATATAAAAAAGCTTAATGTAGTAAATTTATTGCAGGATGCTACGAACAGTGAGAATGATGATTACGAAACATTTCCAATTTACGGCGCAATACTAATTATCGTCGTTTACACTGCACTTTGCTCATTCATATTTCGTATATGGGAGCACTGGGACTATTTCACCGCTTTCTACTTCTTCTTCATCTCTTTAACCACCGTCGGATTGGGAGATGAAATGCCAAATCATCCTCATTTTGCATGCGGTAATCTCCCTTTAACATTAAGCAGAAATGTTTAATTTTTCTATTTTCTTCGTAATCCCATCTTTACTGACTGCTAGTAGTTGTACACTTGATGAATCTCCAATATAACTTTCTGTTTTCCTGACCTAAATTCACCAGCTTCCAGTTTAGATAAAGTATTGGATGTAATTTGAGTAATTAAAAATTTATGCATAAATGAAGACTTTGTTCTCAGTGTTTTTCATATTTTTCATCGTTGGATTGGCGTTAGTATCGATGTGTGTCTCAAATGTACAGATGGAATTTGAAATGAGATTCATGAAAGCAATCAATCTGATTGATGAACATAGCAGAGCGCGACAACAACGAGATCAGAAAAGTTTGTTGAGAACTGTCGGTAATTCTACACTCGTCCTCCTTCCAAATGATAAAGAAAGTCAAATAATCATTGTTCTTTCCGGTGATATTGTTAACGAAAGAAAAATGTAAAGGAAGGAATGTCAAGGCAATGATTTTCCCTACTAAAGGCTTATCATTTTTGACTTTTTTAATATAAAATGCAAATTATATTTCAGGAGGTCCAGTAAGATTCATCAACTCAGTCCCCGTGTTGAACCCACTCGCGTTCATACCAACTGTTTCAAATGGTCTTACAAGAGAACGGTACCTATTTTATAACCACCTATGCTTCGTATGCTGCATGTAGTGAAATCATTCCAGTCAATATCATCATTTCATGCATGTATTTAGTTTATCTTCATCTTCCCAATTCATTTCACCAACCTAACGTGATCACCGCTCTTATACATCATTGTACATTTGAAGTTCTCGGATACTTAACTAATCTCCGGTGCAAAATATCTAACCATTTCTGACTTATTGCGCAAACAGCTAATGCTTGACACAATCTCTCCCAATTCCAAACTACTCCAATTGTGTCGATTCCAGCAAATCACACATGAGCAGGAGTGAATTATTCGGCAGGAACACATGAAGACGCAGTGACTCACCATATTTCCAGTGTTTTAATACCTGCCAGTCACAAAACCCTGGTTACATTATTAATGCCATCGAGCTATGCCTTTATTGTCATACCGTTATAAATTTAATGTTGAAATGAAATTTCAGATGCAGACATGAGTCTTCGGAGGAGTTGCAAAACACCTTCCAAAGAGTACCTTCCGTCCTTGAAACAGTGTTGAGTCGAACAAGCATACGGCTTTCTAGAAAAAAAAAACAGGAAACCATGTCAGTATAATTGCGAAATATAACAATATATCATGAATTTGTATTTCTGTATTCCTTTGTCAACTGCAGCTAATTTTATAGAGCCTTATGTACTATATAGAATTTCTCATAAAAATAAATATATATAGCCAATCTCTACATTATCTGTGATCTTCTAAAACCGTCTTTTTCTTCCTTCGCTCATTGGTACTTACTTTTTTGTGTCATGGACAATGTTTTTACTGCCGTAAGAGGATACTTTGATAGCCCATCAGCATTTCCATCTATTTTTAAAGAAACACTGCTTTGCTGCTGCTAATATACTAATTTTCTAAGTCATCACCAACTAATAGTAGCTTATTAACAAGTCCGGCACACATCAATACACTGTAAATTCTTCAGGAAAAAGGTGCTCAAGCAGGTTGATGACTTGTCTATAGCGGTACCATTAATGTAAGGTTTCGCAGTATGAAAATATGATTGCTTTCAAGAATCGTGTTTTGGACAACATTCTTTTCAATCATGATTTGAATAGAACATTGTTCAAAGCAGCGCACAGCTCAATATAAGTAGCACAGAAGCACTGATTACACAAGTCTATTTGTAAATAGGAACACTTCTTCATGCAGGGTGTCATTTTGAATGAATTTTTGCTACTCTTCTAAAAGGAACTGGTGAAGAAGGAGGAGAAAGAAATATCCCAAATAGAATTGAGTTTTAGACTCCTCGAATTCACAGAAGCAATATCCTCGTAGCTGGTGATAAGTTCTGGTTGAGTATTTAGCACGCATCCTCACAAAATAAACAGGGCTGCGGTGGGTCAACATTCAATCCGACAATATCGATATCTTCCATTTTGCAATTACATAAACAACCGCTTGCTGCGCATTCCGCATGACCATTGAACCAGTGCCATAAATGTGCCATATGACCTCCGTGACGGCATTTCTAAACAGAAAATCGAACTAAATCCTGCTGCCCCCTTTAATCAATCCTAATTTTATCTATTTACTATCTTTTGAAATTTTTAAATCAATAAATGTCGATGAAAAAAATAACAGTAATACAATAAGCAACTCTAAACATCATCAATATTTAACGGCGTCATTTGAACACTTAGGCGGTTGAATTTTCCAAAGCTAAACCATAAATCATTTTTTGTTTGTTAAACAGTTCCATTAAATTACGGCACCCATAATGCAATAGATTTTTCTTCAAATTTCTGACTATGAAACAGCAATCAGAAGCTAAACGTAAAACTTCCTTCTATTTCGTAAATAATCTAAAATAGTCCACCACTTTTTAAGAAAGTAACGTTGTTTTGCACTGCATCAAAGTTAACCACAGATCAATGGCAAATTAATGTATCAAATTACATCAATTTTCAAAGTTTCAAGAGAAAGAAATATTTGTAAAGAGTACCTGACACCAGGTGAACCAAGAAGATAAGTGGCCAAGTTCGTGACACTCTGTCTGAACATATGAACCCATGTGCCTACGACACAGTATGCATTTTGGAAGTGGCTTCAAGCAATGGGGACATGCCATTTCTCGAGCTGGGATCGACGGAGAAGCTAATGACCTGGAAGCAAACGTTTAGTCGTTTTCTCTCAAGAAATTTAGAAAAAAATATTCTCTCGGCATACATAAGCTGAATTTTTTGTTCCCTTATAATCAGCGCACTGAGTGGAAAAACATTCACTAGGATAAACAACTGTCAACTCGCAGTAAGTCTTGAGTTTGATGCGAAGTAAACCTATACATGTAAGGTTGGCAGACTTCACTGAATAAAAGTGAAACTGACGTTGTAGAAATATTCGATCGGGTTGCAGGTACGAGTACTGCAGATGGCACGGAAGTTGCCGAAATATCCGACTTATCCAATGTGATATTCTGCGGACAAAATTGACAACAAATTTCAGCCTGAAAGTCAATCTATAAGAAAATAAATAATTGTACAAAAAAGCATATAAAAACACTTCAAAAAAAGGATACAAACCTGCACAGTATTTTGATTAATTCTTGATTCCAGCAAAATAGCATCCCGTCTCCATCCAAGTATACAATCAAGACGAGCCCTTTGAACCCACATACCCCATATGTTCAGCATATCTAGATAATCACATACAATGGTGTAACTTCGTCTGATATGTCCATCTCTAGAAGCATCCATTTTCTGTTATCTGAGAGGAATAATAAAGAAAGCAAATAAAGAGAACAGGTGTATTTACAAGATCGAGTAAATAACTTATTAATACACGGCTTTCATAGCACACCTCTGCAAATTTAGCTTGCTAAAAGAGCTGAAAGGTTCTTACAATTCATTGCATACTTCATTGTCTTCAACAGTTTGTAAGTCGAAATCAATGCTAGCAACCTCTTCAGTTGAATAAGCTACAGGCCACGATGGTTCCTTCATAAAACAGCGTCCCACCACTAACAAAACTGTAGCTGTTTGTATGTCTCCCGTGTAATCCACGTATCTGAATTAACAAAAGATCTTTAACACTATTTCAGAACACCACACCTTAACCCTACTTTTTATACACAAAATATACTCATTCCGATCAAAAAGCTCATAGATTAATGAATGCGCGGTTTCCTTCAAGCAAATATGATAATGGCACTCACTGTGACAATAAGTCATGAGTAGCCTTTTCATACGAGATACCGATGATGAGTAAACCGAAAAGTGTTCGATATAAACACGCATCCGTGAATAACTCCTTCATTGACTTCATAAAATACTGATCGCTAAAATGAATCGCAGCAAAAGCAATCCTATCTTCCAAAGGAATGTCCTAAAATTTAGCTCCCTACACATCTATTTTTCCAGAACAGCCAACAACTCTTTGATTCGTTCATTTTCAAATCTTCTCGATAACCCCTTTTGAATTATTTCACGAACTAATAAGATGTATAACTCAACTGCTGATGTATAATGCAGTGGAGGTTGGAAAAATTATCACAACGACCATCCAGAAATGTTATGATCATAGTGAAATATGGATCTTTGACAGTGCTCCTGAGACTTCCAGAAAACGACTTCCTAAATTAATTTTGAAGCAGTGACGTAAATGGATCACAAGTAAATTTGATTACATGTAAAAGGTCACCATTGTTCTGGAAGCTCTCGGTAATGCTGCAAAGCTTCTTGAAAAGCTTCCATCTCCAGCAAGCCTTCATCATTTGACTCTCTGGCCTTCTCCAACATCGAATTTAAAATCTGGAATAGAATGGAAATATGAAAAAAAAAATACATCATACACTCCTCTAACACCAGTTGCAAATGAACTTACTTTTTCCATCCTGGATGAATTAGCTGTAATCAGTGCTGCCGCTACTGCTCGACTTTGTGTCCTCCTAAACAACAGTTAAGCCTTTAAAAATATTGAGAAAAAGCATCTAATTTACGCTCACGGGTAGTGAGCATCCAAGATGAAAGGTTAAAAAGTGCTTAGCAAATGATTATTGCAAGCGAATAATTTTCAATGACACATGTAGCGGTGCTTAACTTATTGCTTTTATTTATTTTTCCAGTGAACAGCTACTGTACGACAATAAGTCTTAACGAATGAAATCAGTAAGATACCTTTCTACAATATTTTCGTCAATAAATGCATCGAGTTGTACGATGTCACCAAGAGCAGGCCAGCCGCACATCCGAAGCACTCGATCTCGTTCTTTCCCTCTGTACAACTGCAGAATCAGCAATAGCGATATTTACGTTTACCAAGATAGATGAAAACGAATCTTTACCACCTCTTTCTTTATATAACGTAAACTAAAGGGTTGTCAAATGACCAGAATAAAAAGGATATTCAAGAAATGCAAAGGCATTAAACTGTTATAAAGGAATCACACAGTTCATTAAGATCAAAATGCACTAGAGCTTAAACTTTTGAAAAGAAAAAAATTGCAAATGGGGTAATGATTTACTGATTTATCTTCGATATTTCAACAAACTGAGAAATTGTCTCACTTTGATATAAGTTAAGTAAATATGTATTATACATCACAAGGATAAACGGAAAAACCGGAAAACAATGAAAACACAACTATATGGGATAAGAACTCACTCTGATGCGCCCAAGAAATGGATCAAAAACGAATATTCGTTCCGTAGTAAGTTCATCTTTGTCAGGATCTAAACTGTGTTCCATTATATCCATAACACCCGGAAACCTGCAAGTTCAAAATAACAGCAGCAAAAAGATAAAATTTGAAAGTTCATGAACTCAAGCTTACAATGTTCCATAGATGCACGGTTTCCAGTCCACAATACTAATCATGTGACGTATCCATTTCCAGAGCCATTTCACTTCAGATGTTGAATACGGACAGCAATCAATAATCTCTTTGCAAGATCGTGTATATGCTGAAATTAATTTCAGGTCATTACTAAGAGCAATGCAACTGGACTCATCGGACATTTGAAGTAAGCCTACAATACTTTGGGAATTACACTGCAACAAAGAAACTAAAGCTCTGGTTTCTGGTTTACCTTCCAAAGTTATGCTTGGAGGAGAACCAAAATTTCTGGCAGCACGACTTTTCATCACAAACGATATATCTGCTGATTCATCGGTTACAATTGGATCTGCATTACGCACATAAAGCTGACAACCGGAAGCATGAGCGACAAAGCCTTGCGATGAATAATCGCCTGTTACAAACTTGTTAACCTGCAAAGAAATAAAGGAAAAATGTTTTCATAAACGAATCAAGCATAATGTCATTACTTCAACGAGTGTGCTCAAATTGAATAAAAAACCGTAGCAAGCCTGATTTCAAACGCGCCATGCCCTCCGTCTGGTGCCACCACTAACAACCGATCACAATTTTCAGGATGCCAGGTAAACCCAGAAACTCTCGAAATGCCAAAGAACTGCAAAAGAAATTTACAAGTGGAGAGGATAATTATCATTAAAGCTAAGATTTCAAGTAAGATGACTTACGTTTTTAAGATAGCAAAATAACAAAGATAAAGAATAAGACTTATCCTCGACGTACCTTATAATTCAGTTCCAAATATGGATGTGATAACTTCATGAAGCTGGTATCCTCTGAATATCGAGAGCTACGAAACCCGCTTTGAACCAAATCAATTGCGTCCGACATTGGAAACTAAACATATATTCACTTGCAGAAGTACATGTGTTTTTCCAAAGAAAAATTATCACTTATTACTTCTATCAAAAATAATAGTGCAGAAACAGCTAACAATTATCAATGAGAACAAGAACTTGAACATACACTTAGAATTTCTGCTATGCTATGCTCCAAAATGCTTTCACATGGTGATATAAGTTCTGTAACAACCCTAGAATTACGGCGAAAACAGGACAAGCAAGTTGGGGAATGAGGATTCCATAATATTTTCACTGCACCAGCGTCATTCTTTTTCTAAAATATTTCACGTTATTCGTTCATTAATCAAACGGTATTATGCAACTGAAAGATCATTCTTTACTTCATTACTATCTAAGTTAATTGCTGAAATAAAAGCTCAGTGTAACATGGCTATAACGATAAAAGGCTAAGATATGAGGAAACAAATAAGATTGATTCAAAATAGTAGAAATAACTTACAAAGTAGGAAACTTGCATTCTATGTAAGGGAGATTTCAAATGCCTCCGATCGTATATACAAGCAAAATCGTCAATGATACAAGCAATGCAAAAATGTACATCACCAGCACTTATGCTTCGCACCTGATTTGAAACAGGCACGGAGCAAACTGGTCGTGCGCATTCTCGTATATCGAAAAATTTTATTGAGCGCGAACATCCCAAGCATAACATACTCGGATCATTCCTACAATTCAAATTATATAGGCATTTCCATAAATTTCAGAAGTCAAAACAACCATTGGAAAAGTAAAATATGAGATGTGAACGGTTTCCAATTTTGAAGATTACTTAAGTAGTCACTTATCAAACTAAGGTCTTGAACAATCTGTTCTTATCGTCAAAAGAAATAGTATTACCTGAGCCAAGTTAAATCCATTACACGTTCATTGCAGTTAACATAAAAAATATGACTTTTCGGACTGCTGATGTCATAAACACAGACAGTATAATCTTGAGAACGTCCACTGAAGAAAGCATATTATGGGATATTCAAAGAATTATTTCTTTAAGCTATCGATCACAAATAGAATATACACAAAAAACTTACCCTTCTAAACATGCAGCCAAATAAGCATCTGTTACAGAACTGAAGTTTAAGAAAGTAATTGACTTCGGAAAATCACACACTAATTCCACAGTGTCGATCAGATTCCTGAAACAATCTAATGCATGAAAACGAAGGTAGTGAGTATTCGAATTCTGACTGAGCAAATTTACTGATATTTTCACGACGAAGAACTGTTAATGAACGATAATGTAAAAATTTACCTAATATCTGGCTCAGCAGCTACCTTAGTTATCACCACTTTGCCATTCTCATAACCCAATGCTAAAGCCTCATCAGACAAAGGGCTTAGATCGAAACATTGCAGATATCCCTGAAAAATACTCAAGTAAGTTCTATTTCCTGTACAGCGTTCTTGGTAACGCCATCTCCTACTGCTAATATTATTGAAGATTGTTTTCAGCTCCATCTAGTCTGCATTGAGGTTCATGGATAAACATAATTATGCTTATATAAAAGTTTTGAAACCGTCTTTCATAAATGTCATCATCTTGTGATGCTATTCATATCATTACATATTAAATCATTTTCACGAATTGATTTAGTGTAGATGTTTTAGGAACTACTTGCAAGACACATTTTTTTTTTGATTTTCCTTGCATATATGTATTTCTTAAAAAGCAAAGTGCAGCAGTTAAACCACTAAGAACTAAAATTGCACGATTTTATTTGAGTTTATCATCACCACTCTCCAAAAAAAACCGTTCTTTACAATTAACAAGCGTGAAATCAAACGGAGCACAATACCAGTTCATTGGCTTGGTTGAATGGTAAACATCGAAGCAACTTTGGTCGGACCTCACCAACATCTTCATAAAATGCCATCTGTTCGGTAGAAAGAGCAATAAACTGTTGTCGACGACTGCTGAGCCAACGTATATCTCGAAACATCATTTCTGAAATTATATGATCAGTTAAAAGTCCCGCATTTCCGCATGCCACCGTTTCAACTCAAGTTCCAACCCACCATTATATCACTTTTGAAATTTCTCCGGTTACTAATTAATGAAAATTCACATTACCGTATTGTATTCAAAATCGCAGTTAAGTGAGACTACTGTAGTAGCACAAAATTTCCAGCCGCTTCGATCTTTTTCACTCCTTTTTTCGGTTTTTTGCTCCTAGCTGCTGCATAATGTCGAAGATGAACCTGTAAATCTCTTCATTTCTTTCTACTGTATCATTAAAGTTCAGAAAAAATTAATTATGAAATTTTCTCACAAGACGATCATTAAAGGAAAGATAAGTAAGTTCCGGCAAGAGTACTAATTCGGCGATCGGAATTGATGTAGATAATCCAGGGGGAATGGAACTGATGTAAATGTTTCAGGCACAATCTTATGCAATGGAAAAGGAGACAGTAATGAATTGGGATCTCTCTGGAAGTTATCTGTATGGCTATCTTATAAATGAAGCAACTTAGAAACTTATAACCCAAATCGATTATGCGATGAATTAGTTGTAATTCGGAATCCTACACAGTTGGAACATTCATTCTTACTTCCATGAAGTGTTGGGGACATCTTTATAATCTTCACTTGGAATTTTCTTCAGACGCTGAAAAGATTTTACTAACCTAGTAATTCTGCGAGTTCTCGTAACAGCTTTCATTTAATAAGGAGGTACTGCAAATATGCCTTTATTCATTTATAAAGTTTTTTTAGAGAAATATGGATGCCTACGTTCCACTGGTTTCCTCTCGAAGTGCATTAATCAAATTTCGAATATTACACTACGAAATCCCTGAAACAATGCTTTTCTTGTCATTGTTCATTCGGTTTCAGCTTGAAAGCATCCAACCAATAATGCTGTCACGTCCTTTAAAAGTGGCCAAATAAAATTTATACAAAAATTTGACCTTATTCGCAACGAAGACGCGATGAGCATAGCCAAGCATTCACAAAATTTGAATTCGAGTTGTTCTATTCCTCACAACTTCCTAAAAATTTCGCTCGCCGATACAAATTGAGATTAATACTATCATAAGGCGCCTTTTGTACAAGCAGCAGTTATCCCTCAGATATCGCCATTCCAAATAGGTCGAAGGTTCTATTTGGACAACTAAATAAAATTGTATGATTCCTCAATTCTTAAAGCTTACAGTAAACCAAAGGCAAGTCAACCGCTCTCATACGGCACTGAGTGGTACCGCAATGTCGCTAGTTTATAATCGGAAGAGTGTATTGGCTAACATTTGTCCAGTTACAGCAAATTATCCGAACACGGTGAAGCAAAACTAAAACGAAAATTGAATCGTCATCCTCCTCCGCTTTTCCCAAAGATTACACTTTTATCGAATTTGCACGTAGATCAGTGCCGGATAGATGACTGATCTTCAAACTGAACCCGAAACCACCACGCATATTGTTTTGCATCACAAACTTATTGAATATTGACTAGCATAGTTTATTAGGTAGTAGCATATGGTTTATTAGGCAGTAAGTTATCATACAAGAGAGACCACAATGAAAACATCACCAGATAAACTGTCATCGAAGCATTTAACTGCTATATATATTTATTGATTTATCACGCATTTATCATGTATATTTGTCACGTCAAATTTTTTGCTACAAAGGCCTAATATCAGGTAATTTTATTTCCTTCCAACCTATACAAAATGGTTACGTCCATCCTAGAAGTCAATTTCGTTTCAAAATACTAAATAAGGAAATGAACAAGACTTAATTGTCCTACGTGTGATATCCCACTCAAACACATCAGTTCCCGCCAAATAAGGAGATACCGCGAAAGAGACTCTTTGTGCTCGGTCTTGCTGTATTGGCTTATTCTACTCCATACCATTACTGTTAGAACACGATTCATCGGCAGTGCGAGGGGTTGCTGCACAGGACCACCCACGATGTTGACTGGATGACGCACCGCCGCACCGCTTGCTGATTCCCTCCGATGCCACGATCATTCCCTGCCATATTAAAATTTTGGTAATTAATAGTATTGGTCTTGTCATTTCATTAACAGGTTACCAGAGAAGAAACGGGTAACGAAACAGACAAATACGTTGGACCATCCCTCTTCTTCTCAGTTCGTCTTCTCTCCTATCCTCGTTGTTTGGGAGCTTTTTAGCCAGCGGAATCGACTTTAGTCTTTCTCCAGTTTAAATATGGAATGAATGCTATCCGCTTGGACATATTGTTATTGCGTTGAAATTCTCGCCTTCCAAGATTTCGATTTTGCAGATTCTCGTCAACAATAATTTGAGAGACAAAGTTGAATTAATGCAACACAACCCAGGTTCGCAATAGAATGATTCCTTTATTGGTCCGTCATCTGAGACTAAAGACACAGTTCCATACCGATAATTTCCTCAATTTGATATAGCACTACATTCCATCAAGCCCCTTGCAATATGGGTAGATGTCAGCTTTTTGCAGATGTTCCAGGACTTGTGTAAGTCAGGTTAATAATGTGCATCAATTAATGGTTTTCGTCTCCAGACTTTGATATCGCATTTCTCAATCTACATTTTGATACACGATATCAGAGGTAAGCCACAACCTATCTGCGGCGTGTTAAAAGTGGAATAGAGTGAGTGCTTGAGAGATGTTGCGCCCAAACTTCACCACAGAAGCTTCTATGTTCCGAGGTCATCTAGGCCGGTTTCGACTCGTTGCTACCAACTGTGGCTGATCACCTTGTCCACACATTACTGCAGCTAACAGCTAAATATATAGGTACCAGGCACACTTTACTTCATACATGTACCTCTAACCCATTAGAACTTGATCTGATTAACGGTTGATGGAATGAGAACATAACAAAACATATAGCAAACTAGGTGGTACTAGATTCTCGTTGCAAAGACGGAGTAGCCTACGAAAGCATCAGCAGACCAACCAGTGAATGAATTAAGTAGATGGCTCGACAGCCAACACACACTTTTTTTGAAGTCGCTTACATTCCACAAATACGCGCTACTTATGCGATGGACAGTTACATATCGCTATGAAATGTGCTGCATTTGAACAGGCGCGGTAATATATTTTCATTGGAAGACAGGATGAGTTAATACATTCTCAAAGTGAAAATTTAATGAGTTAATTACCTCAAGAGGCTCAATATTACACTTCACAACAGTTACGAAAACATGCCTATACAATGAATTCTTTGATGTAACATTGTTCTCCTGGCAAGAAAGAGTTAGAGAAGATATCTTTTCTCTCATTTCATCGCCGCCCAAAATGGTGAATTCTTGCTCGGATTTTTACTGTTACATCATACTATATATTGTCATTGCAGTTGTACACAGTAAAAAATATCGAAACTTTTTTTTTCATTGTCACATTTCGATTCTAACTGGAGGTTACTTTATTGTCTTACAGTACTACGCTGTAAGACACTAAGAATGAGTTATGATACAACTTTAGATTTCAGGCAGTTGTCTTCAGTTAACTCAGTGGCTCTTTATATTATTTTGTATGAAGTAACATTTACTCTGACACTTCCCTGATGACCCGCACTAACATTTTCAATTTTAAGAAATAACCAAAATTTCATCCTCAGGAAATGAAAACATTTATCGTCGCTAAATTTTTGCAACTTAGCAAATAGTTGCTGCGCTCAAGCTACATCTCCTGGGGATATTCTTAAGTTACATAACGACTCAGTATTATGTACCCATTAAGAACACTTTAAGTCTCTGGAGAAGTATTGCAATGATGTGGTAAGGAATGTGCGAAGATATCGAAAACGAAGATTGAAGTCGAAAAATATCAAGTCCCAAACGATGGATTTAATCTCGAGAATGTTTCTCTTCCAATCGAATTTCTACATTTTACTGAAATGTCCTAGTGGAATCATCAAACTAATGGAGCCTCAAATACATGAACCTTACCTAATGTTCGGGGTCTAAGGTATGATCAACACTACCGGTCCATAAAATCTATCGTTTATGTTCTCAAATTTGTTGAAATTAATTTAGCGTTTGCATAGATAACCTAATCAACCCATAAGGCCATTTATGAGAAATAAGGCAATCAAATCATGTATAACGTCCAAAAATGCAAGTGGAGAATAAAACAATAAAGTGAGCAAGCCGATCCATTAACCGAATCTTTGAATGTAGCTCACATTCTCTTGAATCTTTTGGTGATATTTCACTGTTTTTAGTTCCTTCCAAGTCCATTTCAGGATATCACCATTTCTCATTTCAAGCTAGTGATAGCGGTTGCGAAAATATGAACGATCTTTCGGTAACAATTCAGGACGCACCCCATATACCACCAGAGAATCCAGCACCCCACAGTCTTCGTTTTCCTGTTGTTTTTGGCTTCCCATTATTGAATGGTCTGCAATGGAACCTATCATTTTAAAAACACGAACGCTTCAAGATATAAGCCACATCGCCATAAAAATCAACATTCTACATTTATTCATTTGATTTTCATTGTCAGATAAAAGGTTAGAAAATGAATAATAGTTTCACAATTTAACTCGATAGCGGTTTCACTATTAGCAGATCAATATGTTACTGCTCTTTCTCTGAGCTATACGTCGTTCTAATAGAAACAAGGTTCTGTGAATAGTCAATTTCTTATCAACACAAAACACATCACTTCAAACTGCTAGTAGGTGTTGCTGAAACAGTGCTGTAGTACTTTTTTTTCATTTTTTTGTAGGAATTGAGATGGATTTGTTCAACTTCAGCTTCGTGCAAAGTGAGCAAAAGCAATAATTTGCTAAGGCACAAAAATTCCACCTTAAAATATTCCAAGGGTCAATAAAATTAAAACATTTTTAAATAAATGGTATGTACAGATGAGTTAAACATGCCGACTTTTGCATGCTATGGTAGTTACAAAAAGGAAAGATTAGTCGTGATTTGACGTTTGACAAACAAATAGCTTATGGTAGGAATGCTGGTAATCAAAAAGCTTTTTTTAAATAATCAAAAGTCTATGGAAGAAGAGCAGCAAATTATGAAACGACCCAGCCGCCTGATTCCTGGTTTAATATTGCAAAAGTATTTGGAGAGAATGAAGCAAATAAAGTGAATACACTTTACCTCCAGGATGTTTTTTTGTTGATACAGATGCCAATAAAGAAGGCGACAGCGGACAGCAAGATGGATACGATGATAACAATAAAGGCCCAGTTAGGTATGTGCTCACGAGCTTTCGATCCTTCTCCTGTAGTAGAAACTGTTGATTGTCTTGCCTTCACATCCATTATACTTAATAATTAATTCATCAACCAGCTGTTTAGTCTTCACTTCCGTACTCTCCTTTGAACTGAAATAAGTCCTGATATTTCTCATGCTGCCATATTTTGTGATAAGACATCGAAGTCCATGTGATGAACATTTCTGTTTTTTTTCCAACTCTAATTTTATACTATTTAGTACCAATGCATAGTGAAGTATTGAAGCTGATAAGTGTAAACTAGAATCGAAAACAGTTTATTATGTCAACTGAAACCATACTTGGTCGGCAAAAAATCGTGTACTTCACATATTGTTCATAAAGTTCTGCCCACAGCAGAAGGAACTACTTTTCAATTAATGTATACTGACAGCCGTGAAATACTTCTTTTACTTCTTTCAGTACCTTTTTACCTTTTGCTGTCATTCTTAACAGGCTATTTAGAGCATTCAGGCAAAGTTTTTAAAGAGTTGTTCGAATTTAAGCGACTAAACCTTAAGTTTTCAAATTGGAAACTGCAGAAATAAGCAAGGATTGGAAAGGGAGTGAAAATTCATCTCTTCTTTACGTCATCGTTTTATCAGAGTTTTAATTAATCACTGACACTTTCCATCACTCAAGCACCTTAACGCTATGGAGGAAAAATAGGCTGCAAGCTTGACACATGAAAGAAATACGCTTTGTGCATCAAAGTTCACGATCTATTTTAAATTCTAACGCTGGTTGGCGACAACTACTCAACCACAACACTTAAAATTAACGTGACAACCAATCTGCTTTGAAAATGTCAGTAACGACTCTCATCGACTAAATATATTCTGTGAATGAATGATTTTCAGTGGTGCACGCTAAACAAGTTTCCTGAAAAAGCACTAGCAGAAGAGGCAGCTCCGGCCCTATTTACTTTCATTCTTCTCTGCCCGGCCCTTCTATGCCTTGTCTTTGCAAACTTCCTCATTGATTCCTCAATCCTCTCTTTGCCTATCATACTTCTGTTGGTGCATTAAGATTTCCATAACCAATTTACTCCTCCTCTTTAAAATTGGCACTAAAAAGTAACTGATAGATCGCTGATCTCTAATATATGATAAATTTTCAATAAACTTCCTCTATATACACAGCATAAATTTACACAAACTTGCATGATAGATGAAATGCTTTTATCTCGCAAACATTTCTTCAAACCAAATATCAACAATCGCAGCCATTAGGCCGTAGATGCGATAATAAACAGTCTTTCTAGGACACTATAATGGCAGCATACTAAGCAGAGTAGCACCGATGAGGGGAAAGTAGTGATGAAGAAAAATATCACTAAACTTTCTGCATAAATCCTCCACAGGAAACATGTTATCGGGAGTTAATTGTGTTTTAGATATCAGTTTCAATTTTTTCAACAATGTTGTCCTACATTTGCTTTCACTATAAAAATTTCAAAATGCAGTGGCAGACTAGATTTAAAACAGATATAGTAAGACAAGTACCAATAAAATCATTGCATGTTAAACCGGAAATACCATTGCTGCCTAGGTTTGCACCTTAAAAATTAAGAAAAATGAAACAGAATGAAGGCATTGAAAGATTACTTCATATGGACCTAATGTTTGTTAATCATGTCAACAAGTCATTACACAAAGTAAGAAATAATAACAGTGATTTTATATTAGCAATAATAGTAATACATGAAGGAGTTGCTGTTGCTGTGGTAACAAGAGCAGTAAGGTTAAGTAGTGCGAAGGTTAAGTACCTCAATGATAAGTTTTCAAATCAGAGCACAATTTGTTCACCTTTAAGATACTTTAGTTATACAATTCCGAATTAAGCAGAGGAACAATCGTACTGCTAATAAAACTTGAAATATGCTAACTATCAACATTCCATCGAATGTTGCGTCACCTTCTGCCTTCACTGTTTCTGCAATTGCTACCGGAATGTGGGAGTTGTTTTGGCTAAATATATGCTTAAATCCCAACCAGATAAGCAAAAGAATCACGGGATTCTCCTTTCTTTCCTCGTCCTCTTCTCGCACTATTGCAAGGAAGAGTCAGTGTCTCAAAACCTCCCTTTTTGAGCACCTGATAACATCAAGAAACATTCATATAACTTATGGATGTTTCTTGATGAGCAATAAGCTATGAATGGTTTAATTAGATGTCAAACCATTCATAGCTTATTGCTTACGGCGCTTCCCTATCAACAAAAGTTCAACTTCGTGTTCATTAGCATATATATATGTTGTTGGTACACGCTACATCGTGTACCAAATTTACGTAATATTTGGCCGCAGGGGACATACTTCTAAATTGACTCTAGCCAATTCTTTCTTTGAAACCTGTTTATAGCTAAATGATCGTCTTTTATTGCTCACTGTAAATTTACTGATGAAACAGTCACAATCACCGTTCCTCTACAAATAGAAGGTCCATTATTTAATCCAATGGCTTTTCTAGCAATGTTACATTTCGAGAAACAAATAGAAATGATTTTATCTTCTCTTTTCCAACATTGAAAGGATGACTGGTACCTACGAATCAATGAACATTCTCAATCGACATCTATATTATTTCATTTATTAAAATCACCTTCCCATAATTTCTGTGGACCGTAAAGGCTGCTCAGTCTCTCGCTGGCTTCCATTTAAGCGCGAGTCAAATCTGAAATTAAATTTATAAAATCGATCTTAGTGCATCTATATAGGCATAAATCTGAAACAATTTGAGCATGGAATGGCGTGAATACGAGACACTGTTTAGAAAATAAGTACGAATGAACCTTCCTTTGTTTATCCTTAAACATATAGCCATACATATATATTTATTTAATTATTATCAAGAATAATGAGGAGCAGTGAGAAAAAACGAGGGTTGAAACAAAGAAACCTGAAAGATATGTGTTTCTCAATATTGTTTACAAAACACTTGCTGTGTAGAAAGGGAGTACCCAAATGTAAGTCGTATATAGTAGGAGCAGCTTGTGTATCCTGAACCTATTGCGAAAATCCGTCATGCATTTACTGAACTTCAAATCTATGCTGCAGCGATTATAAGTAATATTCGCTTACCAACACATTGCAACCTAAAAATCACCTGGAAGAGGACAAATGCGTCTTAAAGGGCAAGAAAAGTGTACATTTGTACAGCAAAATACTTCTACATTAATTCATCCTAAAATTTATTGCTAAATAGAATGTATTTGAGAAATGGGATGACACACTTCCAAAATGAAATCTCGACCCACCAGCAGACATGCTAATAAAATTACATCTTTCTGGGTAAACAAATCTAATGCCAAATTGGAAATGTGAAGCTCAAAGATTGTTTGAAACTCAAATTTAAGCAAAATGCCTCATCTCTATTTCTTGTTTGCATAAAATTAGGTTGCAATGATGTATGGTGCAAATATGGCAGCATCTGGTGATAGTTTTTGGCTAATGAAGGAAAAGGAATGAATAACGTGAGTGGATGGAGTAAACAAGGATGAATAATAGAGTGAATATGGAGCAAATAATGAATAATTAATCATGATATCAAATTATGAATGAAAAGAAATAATGAGAAGATGCCAGTAAGCTTATTCGTATTTCACTGCTTTTCCGAACATTTCCTGAAAAGATAGGCTTCTCATTAGCCTCTATCTTATTTCTTGATGTACTATAGCTGCTGTGGAAAACTGACACGAAATGTTTGGAGATAGTATCTTTTGGGAAGGTTAAAATGGAATTTGTATTGCAGTAATGGTATGAGGAAAAACAAGTTGTAAGCATTACTTTAAGTTTTTTAAGTGACGGAAAAGCGTCAAATGGCAATGGGATTATTTGAGCGAAAGGGATTTAGATATGATTTGTTGAAGGCAACTTTTATTTCACAACTTATTTGAGCTTCACATTTCCAGTTTGGCATCAGATTTGTTTACCCAGAAAAACGTAATTTTATCAGCATGTCTGCTAGTGGCTCGAGATTTCATTTTGGCAGTGTGTCATCCATTTCTCAAATACATTCTATTTAGCAATAAATTTTAGGTTGACTAAGTGTAGAAGTATTTTGCTATACAAATGCACACTTTTTTTGCCCTTTAAAACGCATTTGTACTCTTCCAGGTGATTTTCACCGAAAAAAATTTATTCGTCAGAAACTTATATGAAATTCAAAGAGAGAAAAAAGAATCGAAAATGCATGAATATTAATAGAAAATGGTTAATAGAAAATACTTATGCAGAGACGTTCTATTGGAACATGACTCGTTATAGGCTCAAGTGGAAAAACTAACAGGAACTTCCAGATTGCTTTCTGAGCCTTCCAATTGTGTGATACAGCTAGCCAGTCCTCGTTGGTGACCTGATTTTGATTACATACAGTCAGCAACATCCATAAAGGCAAAAAATAAGACTAATCAAAAAACATCATATTTTGGAGCACATTGAAATATTCCTTCGCAAATATCTCTTCTACAACAGTAAATGTGTTCTCTGGTTGCTAGATAATAATGAGAGGAAGTCTGGAAATCTCTCAAAATGTCTTTCTCTTGGGGATCTTTTTTTCCTTCACAGAAATAAATAATCCGAAAAATCAGTTGAACAGTATTTGCGTGCAATAGGAAGCTTTTGATAAAAAAAATGAGCGAAGTTCTTTAATGCAATTTATTGAATAAGATGCTTATAAAAAAATTTTTACAAAACATCCGAAGTTTTCACTGCGTCTGAATAAGAACTAATTCATGGTAATGAACCAATTGTCCTAGAATGGCTTCAAATCAAGGAACAAATCCACAGAGCAAGCCCAGAGTACTTAAGAGAGAATTGTCCTAAAAATTAAAATATCGCAAAATTTATCTTTGTCATATTAATGTAGCAATTCTAGAATCACGCTGTCGCATAACTTTTATCACCATAACAATACTATTTTACCATCGTATTATCACTATATAAACATCATGCATCATTATATTATGATCCTCCCAGGTCGTAGTATGATGCTAGTATTATGATGCTATTATATATAACTTGTGCAATTTAACACGTAATAAAAGAAAATTTTATTACAGAAATAGCTTTTTTGAGCATAGAGCAAAATCATACATTTGCCCTACCCAACCCTACCCAACCTAATCTTAGTTTTTTGTTTTGCGTTTGTCTCTCTTCTAAAAATAAAAAAAACGAATCAAAAGAAAGGAAAACTAGGAGGGATAAAGGCTTAAATTTGACCTCTCTCTCTCAAAGCTGAAAATATTTGCACAACCAGTTGGTTGCAACTCATGTAAGTCCTACTGTTGAACAGTTGCCAAGTTATTCATTCTACTTATAGCGAAGGACGGTAATGAACGTTGCGAGTCCCGTGACATATGGTTTCGAATACGTGGGATTTATTTTTGGCCTAAATATTCTTAAACAAACAACCATCTGAAATGAGTTCAAGAATACGTTAAACTTTCAGAGCGTGCCTCAAGTTCGTTTAGAAATTAATCTGGGACGGAAACTTTTCAGAAACAGTAAAAATGATCTACTACTTAATCCAAGTAAGTTCAACACAGGAATATTTTCAGAGACTGAGTAATATTTCTCAAACAAAGATTTTTAGTTAGACTTAGAGTTTTCGTACGACCTGAAACAAAAACAGTGTGGAAACAGTATAAATTAAAAGATGTGGAAGGAAATTTTTGGAAACTCTTCTTTCAACCTGAATTTAAAATTAAAATGATTAGGCTTACGTTGAAAAGTGTAGATTAAGCTTGGAAGTTTTCTATTCAAACTTATACAATTCCATCTTGATGAGAAAAATTTGACTCTAAGCTTGATGGTGTACATAAAAGCCTAAGATCAAGCCCGATTCTGGACCTCAGCCTAATTGTAAACACAAACTTATTTTGTTTTGGCTATCACATCGTTCTTTGCGTTCGTGTAATGTACTATTGAATGTCACTTGACACAGACAGAACAAAACAAACATGAAGACAGCGCTCGCACCCACCCAGTCAATCTCTCCCTCTTGACCTTTTTCTTCTCAGTTAACATTTTCAGATTAGATGCGCCAATCAAGAGCGGTCTCGAAGTGATTGTATACAACACTGTGGCATTTGAGACGCTGTGAAAATTAAAGTCTGCCGTTGCCAGTACAATCCCTTCGTTCCTTTTCTGTCAACCATCACTTTGCTTCCTCGTTCACTTCACTCTCACTATCTTATATGAGTCATGTCATCGTTTGTACTGCGATGTTCTCCGGTGTCCCCGGATGAGTCTCGCGGTTGGGGGAAGAGAAGGTATGACCAGGGTTTGCGCTACTGTGTATATCTTCGTTTTAATCTTATGGAGAAGTTATTCAAGTTTTTACATTCAAACTTTATGTGAACATTCAGTGACTTGACGGTTTCAATAACTTATGTCACATGCTTCACTTCGTTTTTCTGGGAGTAGCAATAGTGATCTTGATCTGTCTCATTGTTTTGTATTCTATTCGCAGCATAGAATAAGTACGGAGTGAAGTTCGAATTATATCTATCGTGTGTACTACTTGAATCTAAATGACATATTCTGTGCACATAAATAGTAATAGTATCAGTGTTAGTAACAGTAAAGGTATTATCCACTTTGTGCTGATGAATTTAATATATAATATAATGTGAATGGTATTTATAATGATTCGGTGTAATGCGTTATCAGGTCGCTAACCGTCTTGTACGGCTATATGCGGGGTTTCGCGAAGAGGAGCGAGCATGACTGACTATGGTTCATTCGCTCAGGGAGAAGGATTTTTCACCGGTCAACGGGACAGGTTGGTTTTATCTCTCTCATCTTTCGAAGTATCATTCCCTTCAGGCATGCTTTCATTGGATTACATATTCCTGTCCAAATTTTCGTTCTAGCTATGCTTTATTCAGAATTTCCTTCAACACGTTTAACCTTTCGATATTTCGAAGGAGTGATGAGAAAGACTTCGCGTCAACCGGGCAGCAGCTTCCGTCTGGCAGCGTCGTGAAGCAACTGCCTGCTACAAGCTTTGGGCAAAATTTTCCAACTTGTATCAGTCAAAATAATGAAAAGCTGCAGCTTCCAAAGGACGATATTTGCACACCAGATCTTGAAGACGTCAGACGAGCCGCAAAACGCTTTATTGAAACAACGATTAGTAGTACATACGGTTAGTTTGTTTAGGCGTCGCTTTGAACTAAACGAAAATTTTCATGCTTGCATTTAAAGTGGTATTGGGAGATTCTCAATGTTATTAGATTACCATGGGCTTATAATCGAAAGGATGTTTAAGTTTGGATGACATTTTGGTGATACCGCTTCTATGTAAGCAGTCAAATCGTTCCATCCGTGCAGTTCACTAATGGGTGGACTATCAGTAATTTGAGACTTTTCCCCATTTTGACTAAGACGTGATAAATATCTCCTTTATTGTGGAAAAATCAAAAGTGACCTTACATGGCCTTTCAATGATGTCACACATGACTTCATCTCTTCTGTTTCTTTTGTTGCACTGTAGTGAAATGTTCAGGTGGAACCAGTGGAAGCTGGTTTTTCAGGCTTACAAGAACAATCTGTGGACAAGTGGGACATCTATAATGGTGAAGTGGAAGATGCCGAATTTGCGCATGTTTTGGACAACTTGCCGACCTCTTACGATGATTTTGAGTCAAAAGTACGTGTGTTTTTAAATTTGGAAAGTGTTTTCAGATTTAGATAAGCTGTTGCTATTTGATCTGAACATCAGGTTGTTTTACAGGAACTGCACCTTAAATTAGAACGCAATTTGTCGAGCCCACTGATGACTTGTCAGAGTCCTAATGCAGATTCTGGACGTGTATCTGCTGGTTCAAGTTTAACAAAATCTTCCAACATCTATCTTTGTGATGCTGGAAGTAATCCTCCTGATGCAGACGACCTTGAAGTGCGTGTTCTTCCTTATACCATTTGAAGTACTTTTTTGTCGTGAGGTTATGAAGTATTTTTCTCTCGTGGGGTGTATAGTCTTCAAGTACGTAACCCACTCTATTGACTCCGAATATTCAGGTTGCGATGATCAATCAGTCATTCGAAGAACAACAAAAGCAAACTAAGCTCTATGCGAGTCCCGGCTTAAAGGATCTGTTCTATTCACAGCCGAATACTACTGATGATCGTGTTGCAGTTAAAAATTTTGACAAAGAAACAGTTAGCACTGCAAAACACTCATTGCTAGTTGCTTCAGATACCCACAAAAGTGATTGCAGTGATGGACCACTCTTTCCTGCAGATTTGTTGCTTACCAGTGTTTCTACAAATTCAATCATTCCCAAAGAATCGCTAACAGTTGGTTCACCATGGACTGTCTGTCAAGGTTGGAATTTCATCCTATTATTTGGATTTCGATTTTTCCGCCAGAAATTTCCGTTTTGCAATATTGCCGATAGGTATTCAAATTTCGTGGATATTTTAGTGACATATTCTACTTGCAGAAAAGTTTGTAAAAGCAGAGCTTGAAACAATGGCAACAGTCAAATCGTCCGATATTCAAGAGATCGGAAACAATTCACTGTCACCCAAAACTAATGCTGGATTCGGTTCAGGTGCGGAATTTCCAATATTTTTTCTGGGCTAATTGGAAAGCATTGTTTGTAAGATTCAAATTCGGTCTTTTTGGCGCTTTTTTTATGGATTCCTGAATTTATACATGATGAATAATTAACCTACTACTGGTGGGATATTCTCGGAAGATGTAGAATTCATGTAACATAATCTAGATGAAAAAATGTAGTTATTCAGTGACTGTTAAACCGTTTGCCTATCACAGCTTCTCTCATTTTATTTGCTGGGTTTTACTTTTAGGCCACTGCGAAAGTATCAGAGAATTTGGTTATAATGGTGGTTATTTCGACATAGAAGAAATGATTCTTGATGATACTTCTCTTCGACATGGTAATTAATGAAAGAATAAATAGATGTTGTTGATATCATTCAGTAGTAACTAACAGTATTTGTAATATGTTGAAAATAGTCGATGTTGATTTGTTCGAGATTTCTGAATATCACCGTAAGCTAAGAGTTAGTAGTTTTTGGTAAGTAGATGTAGCGTTTTTAGGTTATGATTACTCATGAATATCTTTTAAGCATCTCAAGAGGCGTTTGGAAGTTCACTTGTTGCAATGAAGGCCGTTTCAGCTTTGATGAGATCTCAGCATGTGAAAGGACCTAAGGCAAACAATTTATTTCATTGTACCATGTTTCAGAATTTGGGAAGAAAGATTATGATCAAGCATAAAAAAAATCGGTTTTTCTAAGTGCATTGCAGTCGGTTAAGGCATTTTAGAGATTCTTTCCCCTGTTATCTTCCAGCTTCATTGAAGAACAGTAATTTTTCTCTTGAATTAGTAACTTATTGAACTTCAAGCTTAAATTGCATTACGTATATGTTTGTCATGAAAATTTCATTTTTTATAATAACTTCAGTATATTTACAGGACACTTCAGCATTTGTAACAGATCACAGTATGGATGCTACTGAAGCTTTGGCTGTGGATGTGGTCGAAAGTCTTTTCGATAGAAGTGGGCTAGCAGAATCTTCATGTACCATCGAAGATTTTGATAATGAATTTGTACGTTTTCAACGTATTGAAGTTGTACTTCGATAGGATAATTCTTTTTTAAAATTGTCAGGGTTTGCAGTTTCTAAATAATAAATGATTGTTTCTTCATATCACTAGACAAAATAATGTAACACATATAGGTGCTGTTTGTAACTGAAGTCGGAAATAAAACTTTTATAAACTGAATTTCTCCAAACTGTTTGCAGGATTTGGTAAAAAGCAGTAATGAAAATGATGTGCTGAAACCAGGCAATAATAAGCTGACTTCTCTGACGGAATTAATGGATGGGAAAAAGAAGCAAGAATCGGTAGGTGAAGCAAAAAAGAGAAAAGATGAAGCTGTGGTACCTAGCTGCGGTGCAGTCGATTCATGGGAGGAACTGGACAACGATGACTACAGTTCCAAACTTGTTAATGAGGTTCATATTATCGTCTGAGAAATTGATTTTCCAATTTGCAACTTTTTTGTCATAAATGTTTAATTTCTTCCAGTTGCACTTCTTGTAAATTAATTGAATACTGGAAATCCACACATTTGTTCAGGTGTATTTTTCCTGTCTCCTTTTAATGATAGTTCATGGACGATATGAAATCACAAGTCACCATATGGAATCACTGGTATTATGTAATTTTTCTAGATCTCATTTCATATCCTTTTTACAGATCGAAATAGCGATGTGCAAGGTAAAGATTCGGAAGCCGAAGACCACTTACTTCAGTGGGCTTCCTATTGATCCCTGGGATGATAATTTACTGCCGCACGTTTTGGAAGCTTCTAACCTTCCTGTTAGATTTACCGAAGACTATGTGAAGCAGGAATTGGCCAAGCATGATTGCGCTGACGTAGCCATTCATCCTGTTGATGACACGCACTGTTTGGTCGTGTTTGCCTCAAAAAATGCCGGTAAATTTTAAAGTGGAATAAAGTGACATTGGTAGTCTAAGGATGAGATAAATTTGATTGTAGCGCTTCAAGCGATGATTGCTCTTCGACAACGGCAAAGTGTTGCTAAGGTGCGACTTCGTTCACTGTGTGATGCAACTAGGGCTACACAGGAGAGGGCTCGCAAATATGAAGCAATTCTTCGCCCACATAAGCAACGTCCTCAAACGACCCCACTTGTAGCTCGCCGTCTCGTTGAGGGTGCTCTTGGCAAACGCTCAAATGTTTCGGCGCAACAGATCAGCAATGAAAGAAAGCAGCTGAAGGACGCGAAAGGTTACTAAGTGTTACATTTTTGTTTATCTTTTTTCAGTGGAAAAATCTGCAACAGCGTTGAGATGATAAATAAGAAGATTGGTTTCTAGAGTAAATACGACTTTAAGTGAGTGCAGGTTATTTCTAACTAATAAATCTTTCGGTAATTATGAATCATGAGACGTATGATTTCTCAATTGTAGTAACGTTTCAGATTTAAAACAAGCGAAGGCTGCGATTTGGGAAGATGGTCCATAAAAATGTTTGTGGGGCGTGTCATTCTTTTATTTTCATTTGGCAAACTAAAAAAGTGCAATTGCAAATAATAAAGGCAGCGTAGTTGGTCAAAATTGGTGGCTGGTGCAGATTGCTTTTTTCGGAGTTTTTCAATAATTCATTCTTTCTTAATGTTGTAATGAAAAGTTATAATTGTCCAACTTTCCTTCTATTTAACAGTTTCTATTTTTCATTTTTCAGTAGTCATTTTCACTTTGTATTATGTTCAACATTTTTTCAATTCTTTCATGTTATGACATCAATCCCCTTTCACATTATTGCATACTTTTTCCGCAAAACAAACGTAAGTCTTTCTTTATCCTACTATTTGCAAATGTTATGTTGTTATCTGTTTATGGACACAGTTATCAGTAACATCTTTTTCTATCTGTTTTTAAAATCAGCACTTTCTTTTGAAAAGAAAAATTCACCAACATATTTTATTTTTACTACGATTGCTTTATATTACTGCACTTTTCATAAGGTTTATTTTGATACGTGCGTTTTGACCTCTCCTAAAAAGGAAAGTTTTTGCTGTGAAAAAAGTCATTAACAAGTCTCACATTCATTGTAAATGGACGTATCTTTTGGCACGGGCAGACTTGGATTGGACATTTTTCATCTTTATATATATATATATATATATGGAAAATGCATCCAAAGTCTGCGGCTTGCTGCTTGGTTGCAGGACGTTTTCAATTACTGGACATTTAATCCAGCGATTGTGTTAGTGGATTCGTCTCAACCTGTTACAAAGCTACACTCGGTCGCCTAACAGTAGATATACACGAAGTTCAATGCATGGACTAAACTGATTATTTGAAATAAACTGATTATGTGACTAAACTGATTATGTGTTGCATTATTCACACCCGTTTCAGATAGTTCCATTGCACTGATGTTTTATTTGTTGGAATGTCGCTACCTATATTTATCTTCAAACAAATTTTTTTGATGATCTGATGATTATCTTTAATGATTGGCGGTCTGAGTAGCACCTATGTGCACGCAACGAAGAGCCTTATTTTCTGCGCTCTTTTCGTTTGCTTTTTCTCTCTCGAAGTGTTTCTCTCGCAGTGTTGTCTTACTTCTAAAATTTTTCAGTGTTTTTCGCGCAAAACTGTGATTTGTTCATTGCTGTTCGCTGTGACACTCAATAACGACTTTCTTCCCTATCATTTTTGTTTGTATGCTTGATCTGAAGCACGTTTTTGTGTTTCTTAATGAAAGACGCAATTTTTTTGTAGCACAGGTCTTGGGCTTAAATTCGAGTTTCGCATGTTTTGTTTTTGCCGAAATTTCAATCGCATTATTTCAATTTCATTTGTGTGTGTGTATGTGTGTGCGTGTGTGTGTGTGTATTTGTGTATGTGAATATGTAATATGTATCGTAGGTTTTTTGGTCACAATTCGTCGCAGACTGTGTTATTGTTTACTTGCTGTAAGAAGAGGTGGGACGCCTTGCAGCGTAATAGTTTTTCTAAAAAATTTGTTCTGAATTTGCTCTGATTTGGTAGTATTGCTTCTGTTGGATTCATTACCATCATCTTCAGTAATAAAGTTCTATAGAATTTTGAAATGTCGTTATAGGCGAATAGACTGAATTGCGGGACATCTGGAATTCTTACTGGATTCAGCATAAAAAGTGTGGCAGTTGTGCAGGTAAGAATTCAGGATAAATATAATGAATTGATGGCAATAAAAGGTGAAGTAGTTGATTCTTGAAGTAATGGGGTTGGGATTTCAATCATTAAAAGAAATGATGGAGGACGGAATCGGTTGTCTGCAGGATATAGAGGTGGTACTTAATGAATGTGGCGGATGGATGGTGATAAATCGTTCAGGCATGTATTGTTGAAAGCTTCTACATGATTTCATACTTGAGGATAAAATTATTTTAACAGTATAGTGTTGGTTTTGGAAGAACGACAAGAATCGCTATTTTGTAAAGAGATTTTTTAAAAGTCGAAATTTCATGTAAGAAAGTAATTCGAAAGAAATTAACGATGATTAAGCATGGCTTTAGGATTATATGCGTAAATGCAGCAAAAATAACAGTATCGATTGTATTTGGATTATTACGAATGCTTATTGCATATGAATTTTTGTTATTGGCCTGTAATTTAATATATTAAATGATTAAATAATTTAACATATTAAATGGAATTAAATAATTAAATTATTAAATAATAATAATTATTATTATTAAATAAATAAATAATTTAAATATTAAATGGGATTAAATAATTAAATAATAATAATTATTATTATTAAATAAATAAATAATAAATAATAAGTAATAATTATTAAATAAATAAATAATTTAACATATTAAATGAAATTTCGCTCTAGCTGATTATGTTAAGAGTGGAATGGAACCAGTAAAAAGCATGGGCTTCACTATTATTTAAGGCCTCATCACTTTATACATTGTTTCATCACAATAACTCCAAAGAAAGGAATGTTTCCTTGATCATTTGAAACTATTCGAAAAAAAAAAATTATATAATCATCGCCTAATTGATATTACGATGCTCAATTTATTGATGCAATGAAGTGACAATTTCAACAGCGTTTGGTGATGAGAGAAATTTTTCTCCCTCTAATATATCTTATTACTTCCCTTTTCAATTAGTTCATTATATGCAAGTTGTTTAATTTTAGCTTTAATAAGAAGTAATCTTGAGAAAGTATAATTATATCTTATCGTGCTTGCGAAAGTGATTGCCAAAAACTTTTTGCGACAGTCATTAGTTGCAAATAAAATGCCTTCCTTTGTCAAAAAAATGAAAATGTTGTTTTTTTCATTTCGAAGTAAATCATCTTAATCTTTTAAACTGACTCATTTCAATGTTGAATATTGAAAAAAGAAAGATGATCCTTTAAATGTTGTACAATTTCCTTTTTCATTAGTTGAGTAAACAATCAAAAAAACGAAGATGAAAATAAAGTAACAAAAGAAAATCAACAAGAATAATAAGGAAGTTTTATTCAAGAAGCCATAAATAGTTAAATATTAAAAATAATTAAAAAACTGACACGATAGAGAAGTTTTTGAAAATAGATTCAGATTCATTATTTCAAATGTACTATGATATGTGTAGTGGATAATTTGCATCAAGTTTTAGTTTACAAAAAAAAAATGAATTATTGAATTAATTAAATCAGATTTATTAACTTAATATTTCATTCATATAAGCATGCTATAGTTTAAATATTGCGAATGAATAAAAATAAATAAATGAGACAAGAATATTTGTTTACTTTATAGATGACATTTTTCATGTAAATTGTTGTCCTAACATGTTTTGATGGTAATAAAGATAAAAGAATATTTGGATCAGATATTTCAGCGATTGTTAACTGGTTGTGATAGGTGGTAAAGGTAAAAAAATATTTGTACCAGACATTTCAGCGATTGTTGATTGATGAGGTAATATTTTATATGAAACACGTTTTATTGATCAGCGAAAAAGTGGATGATGAATGCTCGAGACTGTCTGACTGAAAGAGAAAAGGTATGGAACGAGAGAGAGAGATGGATCGGGATGCTACTGGTACCATTAATACTAATACTACTACTAGGGGCAGGAAAGATCAGACAAGATGTAAGCATATAAAGTTAACATTTTAGTAGTAGTAGTAGTAGTAGTTGCAGTAGCAGTGTAATAGTAATGGAATTAGTGCAATTGATTGTGGTTTATTAGTTTTCAATTGTGGTTTCCATATTTGTTAAATTAAAGAATATAATTTCATTTTTCTTTTTTAACATTTCATTTGCAACATTAAGTTGTGAAAATTATTTTTATTATCTTTATTACTACATCTATCATTTCTTATCATTATTATTTTGTTTTCTTATCTATTCGATCTTTTTATTAGCCCTATGATTATCACTATTTTGAAAACACTTTCACACTTCAAAACATGACATATTCGAAATTTAACCGTCTTGTCATTTCATTGTTTCAATATTGAAAAACAAAAAGAAAGCAAAGACATTGAAAGTATCATTATAAGGGCATGTATTTGCTTCCTTTTCATATTTCTCTGTTTAGAAGTTGAAACTGACATCTTGAATTTTTTATACGTCTTTGAGAAAAGTGAAAGAAATAAAACCATCAATTGAAGCATTCCTTCCCTTTCATAACTAATTTTCCACCAAACGTTTATAAAATTCTTCCACTATTAATGCACATTTTGTATATTAAACATCCATTGTAATTGTTATATTGATTATGTTATTATCATTTTCATCCTATTATATGCCTAAACTCATTTTTATAATTAAATTTAAAATGAAAATAGCTTTTTTTGCGCATGCTAAAAGTCACATAATTCATTTTTTAAAACCGCGAATTGTGTGATTTATTTCAATTTTAGTAATCCGTAGTTCACTTATCGAAAAGATATCCATTAGTAGAAATAAAAATGCAAATGGCAGCAGACATCAAACTGTCATATCACAATTAAGATATATAATTGATGAATTTCATTGCTATGAAATTCCTGAAATCATTCATTAAAATTTGCTCAAATAATCTATTACAGTAATCTTCCCACGCTGATAGCTTCTTTTTTTTGTTCGCACCTTCTTGAATTATTATAGTAGTGAATGTTGATGTATGTGATGTTGTTGCAGGAAAATTTAATTTTCATTTGTGTTTATAAAACATTTCCTCAATTAACATAGCAAGAGAGAAGTAATTTTTTCAATTAAATCCGGACAAATGAGCTCTTATTATCCATGATAACAAAATTATCACAATATCACAATCCATCAAATGGATATATTTTGAGGGATTTGGAAACTAATGTTGAAAAAATTGCAAAAAAGTTATGTATTTTGAAGTATTTCTCAGGAAATGTCATTTGAAAATTCATATCCACTCGTAACATTTTACTACAAAAACATATATACCTTCGTTCTTATCATACTTTCATGCCTATCATATCTCGAACTAAAGTTTTGCCAAAAAAAA